AATTACCGTGGTGATGGAGGTCCTTTGTCAATGCAGCTGATGATTCCTTTGTATAGTTGGTAACAATTACTAATATGATGATGATGGAAGGATTTCATTTCATTTCTCTTTGGTTCCCTCCAATGTGATATCGAAGGCCAGACGTAGGATTAGTCAAAGGGATCGACCTCCATGATTTTGAAGGAGGCAGGTTTTACCACGTTATTCTTTCAAATTGTTATTTTCTCCATTACTGATTTATTACACGATATTTGTTGTCATAAAGCCCAGAATATAGAAAACAGTAGAGGAATATATCAAAACCTCTCAAAACATACCTTAAATAAAATTTGTGTCTGATCAACCGACATTTATGGATGACTTACTCTTGCTCGAAAAGTATCTTGTGGTATTCAAAACGCGTAGAAAACACAGTAGATCTGTGCAACATTCCCTCAGGACGCTGCATGTTTGACTTCACCCAACGGACAGTTTCGACGATTCAAGATCCAAACGTCGTCGTTGCAATCTTGCTTGATATACATACCTTTCAACTTATCTACAGTATTCATCATGAATTTCACAGGCTGCTTTAAGAATCCAACAGCAAAGCATGCTTTTTATTTGTCCGTGATTGGTTGCGCTGTGGAAGGCCTCTTCACTGCCGTTGGACTCGCTGGATACTTTGTGCTTGGATCGCCACTGCTACTGGTATATGGACTTGAGAATGTAGTGGACTTTATTAGTAGTGCTGTGGTGCTGTGGCGGTTCTACGCTCCTGGAGAATTGACAAAGGCACGAGAGCTGGAACTTGCAAGTCGTGAAGAGAGGGCCGGTGTTGCCGTCAGCTTTCTAATTCTACTGCTGGGTTGCTTGGTCGTTCCTGCGGCCGTGGGAGATCTAGAAGAAGGCGCTCCTACAGATCAAGAAGTCGATGCTGCCCTGGAATTGGTAATGATCATTTCGTTCTTGAGCGTTACGATCTTTACTAGCTTGACGTACTTGAAACTCAAATATGCAAGAATTTTGAATAGTGAATCTCTTCACAAAGATGGACTGTGTTCGGTCATTGGACTATTGCTATCGACTCTCATTTTCATCACCTCCTGGCTCATTAATAAATATCCAATCCTTTGGAAAATCGATGCTTACGGCGCAATGCTGTGTGGTTCCATTGCCATCTTCATTGGGTCGCACGGTATAATAACGGCAGTCATGAAAAAGGATTTGCCGATTTTTTCGATTACATTCTGGAAGGGTGAGACCGGAACTGAGCCCACCAATCTTGCAGCAGGAGCCAACGAGCCAAAAACACAGCTTTCGGAAGTGGTTTGAATGTCTTGCCGTGGAACGGAGGAAGATCCTACGATACTAGCTAGTATTCTTTGTCAATACGACGTTAGATTTCTGTACTTTACAATTTACTTTACCGCGTTTTGTATTCAACAAGTTTGCAGTAGCAATACGTGCTTTCATAGTGATGAGAACGACTTTCGATGGTACCATGTGTTGGGTACCAAATACCTCGTAACGATTAAAGTCTCAGTTATTATTATTATCAGTACTGTATTACCGGTATATGTTTCATGGTTGGAGAGTACTGTAATAAGATCCTTGTACTGGCAGGATCCCTTGGAGACTATGCAAGTACTCCACAGTATAGCAGTCGAGTCAGTCAGTCAGCGGGCTACACTCTCCTATTCCACTACTGCTCTATAGCTAGTCAAGTTGGCGGTCACGATGATGCTGGTCACTATGCTGGTCTTTTGCTGGTTTCACTTCAACCTACCATCTCAATTGATCAAGCACTGCAACGGGTGCATGTGAAAGGTAGAGTAGCAAGCACCGGTAGACCTGATGGATGATGATGAGGCCTACCTGGTACTCGGTACCAGTGTGCGGCATCGCGTCGTCGTATCGCGTCGCGAGCCTGCGGTGCTGATTCTTGGAGTTCTCCGCCTCTTTTACTACTGTACTATTTGAAAAGCAACGTTCTTCTTCATAGTGTTGCAACAAATCGCTGCACTTCAACATTGGATTCAGATTTAAACTACAATACTAGCGAAGAGCCTCTGAGCATGAGTCAAACACACTTCGAAGCCAAATGGGTAATGGATAGAGCTCGTACAAGAACCTTGTACGAGCACCGGTACCGCTCCATTACCCTCTTGTTCAAATCACGCGTAATCAGAACACAAAAATGAACACAAATGAACACCATATTTTGGATCGAACAGGGTTTCGCCATTTCAATACTTTTCGTTTGATAAGGACAATAAGTAAGGGCTCTCAAAGCGATATATATATCTATGTACAAAAATGCAACCAATTAGCAGCCCGAGCCCGTCTGTTTCACTGGTACGATAGTTTGATCACTTCAACTAAAGCTACCCGTACGGTAGCAGCAAATTTGGACAAAAATGTCTCGTATCTCGTATCCAGCATTTCCTTTGCTTGACGACGGTAAGAGTTAGTCCTATAGCCTCTACTCGTACTGACTTTGCAAGAGTTGTTGTTCAATTATGGCAATGCTGATGCACCGGTGGTCACGCAGTGTCTGTTGGAGCTGAAATGCGTCGTCGACGTTATTTTGTCCATGGATCTCATTTTCTCATTGTCTCATCACCTTTACCTTCTTTCAACGTATCTGCCACCATTTCAGTTAAAATTTTAAAACACCGAAGCAATGGTATCCAACGAAGAAGAAAATTCCTCTCCCCCTGCTCCCAATGACCGATCTTCGCGAAGTCCAAAAAGCCCGAAGCGCTCCAAGGATAGGGACTCCAAGGCAAAAGAACGAAGTCGTCGAGACCGCGGTCAATCAGCAAGTACACCAGGAGCCGTCCGCTCTTCCAGCACCAGTGAGAGAAAGAAGAGAAGCTCGGTTGCTGACAAATCTGGACGGACCTCATCGAGGTCGTCTTCCGTAACCAAAAGTCCTACCAGAAGTCCTGGAACCAGCAGTGGCAAGAGAAAGAGTAGTTTTCCACCACCCACAAGTCCCGGAGCAGTGTCGTCTACCAGCAGAGAAAAGAGAAAGAGCAGTTTTCCACAAGCAACAAGTCCTGGAGCAGTCCCTTCTACCAGCAGAGACATGAGAAAGAGTACTGCTAGATCCGACAAGTCTCGTCGCACCTCGGATGCATTAGTATCTCCTGGCGCGTCGAAAAGACGAGGCGCTCGTCCCAGCAACGCAAAGAGCAAGCTAATGATGGGCAATACAACACGCAACGGTGTCGTTTCATCGGCCAGCAACGATATGGAAACTGGAATTGTCGCAGAGACAGTGGATGAAACAGAAGTTGAAGTTTTGCGAGCGGAATCCGACATGACTGCAAATGCCCTTCTCGAAATGAATCGAGAAGTTGGAGCCTTGCGCTCCGAGCTTCAGCGCACAAAGGAAGAGCAAACGACCCGTAGTGGAATGCCCCTTTGGAAAAAAATATGCTTGGTCAGCTTGGTCGTCGTTTTTATTGGTGGCATCGCTGCGGCTGTCATTGCTTTCACTGGAGGTGATAGTGACGATGGTGCGCAAAGAACAGCTGTTAACATGCCTGAAACAACCAGTGGACCAACAGGACAAGCAACCACCGCATTTCCAGAAGATATTGCCACTTCTAGTCCTACGGTCGACACATTCCTTCCACCAAGTCCGGATGTATGCTCGGCGGTAGCGGAAGGCCGCCCTGTCGACGGGCAAGAAGACTGGATCGAGCAACCATTTTCTGTTTCGATGAATATTAACCTGACAGTGGATACTGAAGGCGATATATGGTGGCCCGGGCTTCAGAGGAATATTCAGCAGCTTGTAATGCCACCTATCGTTGGATGCGGCAATACAACTGCTCTTGATGTTTTCCTTGTTGGAAACGCGCAAGTCAACGAGGACTATGTCTCAGTGGTGCCATGTGAAGCGGGCGAAGAGGAAACAGACGGATCTTGTTACATTGTTGAATTACAGTTGGTGCTTTTTCTGAAGCAGATTGTGAGTTATGATGTCGTCAACGACCTGAGCGAACACGTTGAGCAAGTCTTTCAGAACAGTACAGATTTATTGGTTGATGCTCAAGACGAAGATTCCAAAATAATCAAAGACATTGGGACTTTGGATAGCAAGCCTGTGACTGAATCACCTTCACAACACCCATCAAATAGTCCTACCAACGGTCCAAGCGAGTCGCCTTCCTTCAACCCAAGCGTATCAACTTCTGCGGAGCCTACCAACCGATCGACGCCTGGCCCAACCACATCGCCAACGCCCCCTCAAACTCCTGGACCAACACAAGCTCCTGTCTCTGGACCAACCCTACCACCTACGCCTGGACCAACGGTAGCTCCCACCCCACTTCCAACTCCAGGACCAACATTTGCACCTGTATCTGGACCAACATTGGCACCGACATTATTTCCGACTCCTGTACCAACATTTGCTCCCACTCCTGGGCCAACAACAACTGCCGCCACCCCTGGGCCAACGACAACTTCTTCATTGACTCCGACTCCTGAACCAACGCTGACTCCTTCATCTGGACCAAGTGCTCCTCCGACTCTTGCTCCGACTCCTGGACCAACGACAGCAACACCATCGACAGCGCCATCAACAGAGCCATCGACAGCTCCCACTACAGGGCAACCAAGTCAATCGCCAAGTTCTGCTCCTACATCGAAGCGTATGGCACTGGAAGCCATGTTGTCGCGATTTGCTCCTTTTGACGGGAACAAGGGATTGGCAATGGATTGGCTCGTGGCAGATACCTGGGACATCGCAAATGACGAATTGCAATTATGGGAGGAACGATTCGCACTTGCAGTATTCTATTATGCAACCACCGGAGATGGCTGGAACAACAATGCTGGATGGTTGACTCCAACACATGTTTGTTCTTGGTATGGGATAAACGGATGCAATGCGAACGGTTCGGTGCTTAGGCTTGAACTTAGTGAGTATTTGCCTCCATGGTTGATGCATTTTATCTTCAGTGTCACTGTGTTCTCACTTTCAAATGTTTTGATGCACTCTTTCCTCAAACGGCAGCAATTGATCGTGTAAATTTTAATTTGGTTGGCGACTTGCCTGATGAGTTGAGGGCACTGACCAATCTTGAATTCATGCAATTTGGTAAGCGTTCAGTAATTTCATCTCGTTGCGTCGTGTTGTTGACAACCGTTTTTCTCAATTTTTTGTGTGACTTGAATAATATAGCTTGGAATAAGGATCTCAGTGGCAGTATTCCTTCCTTTCTCACCGCGATGACCAAATTGAAAGAGTTATCTCTTTGTAAGTCAACGAAGCAGTATGCATGCCGAATGAATCGCTTGGCAATTCAATTTCTAACCGTATCTTTCGCGTTACTTCGCCTCTTTCAGCGGACACAGGTCGTACTGGACCGATTCCTCCAGCGCTTTGGACTTTGACGAAGCTAGAGAGACTGCGGTTGTCAGGAAACTACCTGACTGGGACTATACCACCAGGAATCAGCGCCTTGACAAACATTAGAACCATCGGTTTGCCATTCAATGATCTGGTTGGATCCCTACCTGATGAGTTTAGTGGGATGACTCGGCTTGAAGGACTTGGTGTCAATGAAAACTTCCTGACTGGTACCATACCACCTCTTCCGAATGTGGCTGCTTGTAACTTAGGTACGAGGAAGCGATTGTTTTGCTCCAGTTTACAGTTTGTATGAATGATTGTAACTCATTTGCCTTGAATGGTAACTCGAACCCTTTTGCACCCATCTATTTCCTTGCAGCCGTTGAGTCAGACGCATTCCATTTCGCAGCTAGAAAAACAGAGGGGAACTGTTTTACCGACACTACCAATGCACCTGGTACTTGCAACCTCAGCGCAAACCAGTGCTAATGCAAAAAGCTCCGATCTTAGAGAACACCATACCAATGACGATCACATTGGAACTGACTCTAATGACTGTTCCTATCTCAGAGTGCCCCACTAGCGATCATGTTGGGAATCCAATCTATTAATGACCCCAAATCATGACTGTCCAAAGATAAGATAGCTTGAGTTACCCTCTGCTTCTGATGATTGTTATTGTGCGTTTTTCGCTTTGCAATTTTTGAAAGTTGAATCAATCAATCGTTCGAGTCGATACTTGTATTCTTCGAAAATCCATCCATCACCCATCCGCCTACGTCCACACATAATCATATATTCACATCGATCTGCAAAAACCATCATGCACCGACTTGCCATTCTTGTACTACTACTGTCCTTTATCTTGGACTGCCTTTCATTCCAAGTACAAAGGCCATCATTCCAAAGATTATCAACAGATACCTTTGCAAGGGGCAAGAGTAAATGGGATGACTTGAAGGATGACGATGAGGATGAGAATGTGTACGATTCGACTCCAATTGCCCCTGGTGAGTGCTGACGATGAGGATCAAGTGCAGTACTACTATACATGCCAAAGAAAACATGCTAACTTTCCTCTTTTTCAATTGCTTATTGTATATATATATATATAGACATGACATATGAGCCTCGAAATCTGATGAGGCAATCCAAGAGCTTTCAGGCGATTCGGGAAGTCGGTGGGAAAGACACTGTGAACGATATATACATTCACGGTATGTCTACTGTTTTGGTTATTGTCCTTGAGAATATGAATTGAATATAAGTCTCTAATCTCCTGTCTTCATACATATGAATGCGTTGGAAAAAAAAAAGAGCCAGGAACCGATACATTTTGGGTACGTTGTTGCTTTGGCGGAATTGGTTTCCTGCTCTGTTATATTGCCGTATAGGTTGATTGTTTGATTGATTTTTCTGTAGGACGTGTGTATGATCTCATGGTGTGTCACTTTGTTTCTCTTTCTCTTGTATATAGTTTATTGGCAAAATTGCCCGTGCCGACGTTTCTTTGGAAAAGGCAGTGGCTCGACAATGGCCCATGATTGAACGACATGGTTGCAATCTTCGTCCCATCGAGTTGATGCCACATTGGGGGAAATTACAGTTGTGGGCAGCTCCTGGAGATTCCGAACTTGAAGTAGCATATAACAGACCATCTTGTGAGTTTCAAAAAATGGAACGAGAAGTGGAGGGTGCGAAAGCTGTCAAGTCGAGTTTCCTTGGATTTCAGGTACGTGTTTTTCTTTCTTTCGGGCAACAATTGTATGTACTAGACTATATACAAGCAGCATCCTTCTTGTGTGTGCTAACGTGTACCTCTTGTCTTGTTGCGTTTCAACAAAACTAATAATAATATAGGGTGAGGCCTATGAGAAGGATGAATATGGCTTTCGGACTGCGAGAAACGACGATGGTACACCAGCAAGACCTGAACTCACTGGACCCGGAATCAAAGATCTTGCCGAGTTGGAAAAAATGAGCGAGTAGGATGCTTTCTTTACTTTTAAAAACAATGATTGAAAATAGTAGGAACATTATTTTAAGAACATTTTACCTTGTATTTCTCGTATCATTGCATGAGAGGTCGTGTACCAGCATGTTGACCATAGGCAAGATTGACGAGTGCCATGTACTTTGGAACCTCTCCTGTCACTTCCAAACCAGCATGGAGGACGGCATCGTGACTCCCACGACGAAATGCTAGGACTCTGCCCTTGCGAGGTGTAACATCTTTATATATGGAACCATCTCTGGACCACAGTCGAGTTTCACCACCCTCCAATCCGTCGTCCGCATCGTTCAGATAAAAGAGAAGAGAAAACCCTGAAACAACGCCAGTCCATTCGTCCACCCCATCACCTTTTGGATTGGCACCCTGCCCTGGAAAAAGACCATCAATGTGACGATTGAATTGATCCCCCTTGTTGTACTTGAAATGTGCAACCTTTTCCGAGAGTTTGTTGTACAATGAGAGTCCACCATCCAAAGACTTTGGAACTAAATGTTCGATCCGACGATAAATGGTTGGTAAAAAAGACGATCCATGGGGCGGATACCAATGAGCGGCTTCATTGATACGCATGCCAGGAGGAGTTCGAATGCCAGGGGCCACTCTGGAATGTCCATTCGCATTCAGAATTGCCTCGGCACACGCCGCCAGAGCATCCGATTCTTCTGGCGTCAAGACATTGTCAATGATAAAAGCTTGTCGATCGGGTCCTAGGTCGATATCGATCCGTTGGAGTTCTCCTTCTTTGAATGGCTTCTCTTCTTTTATGAGTGCCATTGGAAGCTCATCAATCGTATAAAAGGCAGCTTTCCCAGACTCTCCATAGTTGCCGGATCCACTGGTTGACACCAACACTCTGGGAGTAATCGAGGCAGCAAGAGACGAAATACGTGCTTGATACGCACTGCAAGCTGCTGTGGCCATGGAAACAGGGTTGGGAAGCTTCATATATTAGTTATCCGCAGTAAACTTTCTTATACACTGAGGCGCAACAATCTAAGACTGCTTCATCGCATCGTCAACGGGGTTTTCCATGACAAGAAGAGTGAACATCCAAGATGTTCCATCGAAATCACAATTGTTAGAACTATCTTAGTGTCATTCGAACGACAGACTGTGCGGTTAGTCAGAGTAGTCGAGGATCGACAGCAATCTGAATAATAAAATGAAACTCAACAATAATTCCCAACTCCGTAATAAAATCATCAACATTCATTCACCTTCGTCAACAAAACAAAACCATTATGTCCTCCAATCCCCCTTCCCCCGAAGGTGCTGCTGGTGCGGGAAACAATTGGAGAGACAGTGTTGCCCAATCCTATCGCAATGTGGAAGCAAGAGAAATTGCCAAAACGCTGGCGGAATTGGAACCAGGAGCCTCGGCCTCCAACAAGCTGTCACTTGCCATGAGATTTGAAAATACAGTCTTTCAATCTGCCATTTCTCTAGCAGATTACCGCAAAAAGCTGACCAGACGACTCAAGAAACTAAGAAAGAATTACAAACCGCCAGTACAGCAAACCACCCCCACCAGTGCTCTGTTGTTGCAATCCAATGTGACTTCCAAGGAACAGCTCTATCACGTGCTACGTGAAAAATATGCCGACTACCTCTTGTACATTATGCAAAATTCTCACAAGGCTGTTCAGGATGTTTTACTCAGGCATGGGAAAGCCAAGGCGACTCAATTGCAACAGCATGCGGATTGTGCCGTCACTTGGGCTGGCCAATTGGGACTGGTCGATGCGGCAGACGTGGCGGCGGCCAAAAAGGGTACCTTTCTGGCTGGTGATGCTTCTGCGGCGACTTCTACCACCATGTCGTCGTCCAATCCACCCAACAAGCGCAAACGAGAAGATATCCCAAGTGAGAGTAGTCTACTCAAACTCCAACAACACTTGGAGAAACGAGTGTCCAACATTCGGCAATACGTTGTCAAGCACGCCGACTCGGACCTCTTTTTGCAAGAGACATTAGAACGCAAGGACAAGGAGCTTAGCTCAAGAGCCAATGATTTTATTAGTCGCCAATTGAAACAGCGCATGCAGAAATTGGCTAGCACTACAAGTACCACCACCACTTCCACTGCGACCGGTACCACCACCACGGCGGGTGCCAAAGACGAGGCCAGCCTGGAAGGAGTGGCTTTGTTGCAAGATGCCATGGACAAGGCTCAAGTTCCCATTCCACCATCGACTCGTACACAATCCAATGACAAACTTGGTCCCAAACTCTACATTGATAAGATGCGTGCGGCCTCCACTGCCTTTTGCACCTACCTCACCATGGCGGACCGACACAAGAGTCTGCCACCATCCTTGGCAGAAAGCGTCTTGCCCAAGACGAATGCCATTGTCAAGGAAGGTGTGGCCTTTTTGAAGGAAGTCGTCGAAAAACATGGTCTCAATGATGCCGAGACAGCGGATGGCACAAATAAAAAGCATCCACCCTTGGAAGATGCCTGGAACAAAATCTTGGAATTGCCAATGGACGAACAAGATGTCATGGCTGGTGACGAAAGTGCCCCATCCCCACTCAAACGCCGACGCCTCAATGCTACTGCTGCTACTGCTCCATGTACCAAAGCCAAGGTCCTCTTTCGGCCGAATCGTAAAACACCGGCCAATTTGCTTCCAGCGCTCCAACGAAAACGGGCCACCTTGGTTCGACCAAAACCAAATGGACACGGATCGCACTTGGTGCTCGACTTTGGAAACTTTTCCATGACCATTTACTTCTCACCACTCTTGGTGACCCTCCGTGCCAATGAAGAAGAAGAAGAGGATGACGAAAATAATGACGATCCTGAGAAAACTAGCAGTGAAACAGCGGACCATTCCCGGTTTTTCAGAACGCGCCCCTCGACTGGATGCGCCTCTTGGAAACCTCTTCACCATGGTTTGGCACATCGACGGCAACCCAACGATTTGACAGTCTATGGAGTATCCAAGCAGTCCTATGAAACGGTCGGAGGAGTGGTCGAAGAACGATTGCGGGATGCTTCCACCCAAGCCACGCACACGCTACGGACCTGCTTTGCCAATCATGTGAGAGACAAACAACAAGAGATGGAAGTGGAGATTTTGGAGGGATCCGCTTTGCTGGAATTCGTGCAAGTGGCACGGACAACTTACATGCCTAATTGGAAGGACGATGATATTAGCACTTGATTGGATCGAGGACAATCGGTCATCTGTATTCATGTCATTTTATTTTAAAATCATAAGAATAGGAGATATTAACCCATCCATGTTTTGGACTCGGCCCTGATAATACAAACGTATCCACGAATTCATGAAGGTTGAGATAAACCCTTCCAAATCTGATGAAAAAATCAGAATTAGTTTATCATCCTTTTTTGTCGACCATTTTCATGCCAGTTTGATCATTTTTATATATTCGGAACACGCATTTATTGTGGCGGGTTTGAAGATAATCTAACGTAGACGAAAGCTCGAGAACGAATCATTGGATTCCTTTCATCATACTGACGACGGTCGAACGACCGTCACAATAGCATTGCTCAGCAACACCAAGTCCGATCAGTTTATCGAACTTGTGTGCGAGTATACGTCAAGAAATAAGGTTTATCCAAAGGGTTAGGGTTAGGCTTAACCAATCCTGCCATTAGTCAGAACCCAACAGCATCGTAAAACCAATTACAACCAGCCATGAAACGCTTCAAAACCACCATGAAACGCTTTAAAAACACGATGAAACGAAAGCAATCTAGCCTTAAGGGGGCAACCGAAGACATCTGCAATGCTACACGCACAGACACCGCCCGCTCATTCGATGATGTCAAGAACGTGGGCATCAACGAAGTTGCCTATCGCCTTGTCGGAACCCCCATCCGTATCAGCTGTAACGGAGGATATTTGGCTGCCGAGGATGGCAAGATCAAGACAGGATATTTCTTTGACGATCCTTCTGAATTTGTCATGGAGTACGTCCTTGTCGATGACACCAACGGTAAAAACAGTAATTTGAGAGGAAGGAAGAAGGCGACAGGATCCCAAAACTTGGTGGCATTCCGACTGAAAGATACCAATCTATATCTTTCTCAAAATCCGTACGGCAAATTGGCTAAAGCCGAAGCATTGAACAGTATTGCTGCGCTTCCTATTCCTCCAGAAATATCTCGAGAGATTGTAGACTTTGCCGTGGGTCAAGAGAACATTTCTTTCGAAGGCGAAGGCTTTGATTATCGAGCCATGCAACTGGAACAAGGACCACCAGGACTGCTGCAACAATTTACTCTCGAAGGATTGAGATTGAATCAAGTAGGCGTCAAGTCTGTCTACGGAAAATACTGGAGAGGGCCGCATTTGTCGAATACTGTAATGCAGTCCTCCCATCAACTAGACGAGGAAGACTTTTCCTTTTCTCGTGTTAGAGATTGGCGTAAAAAATGACAGCATTACAATAGATAAATAGAAAGCATATGATACATAGATAGAAAAAGCATTTGATGAAATGATTCCTTCGACACGGTATCTTTGCTAGTAAACCCCAATCGGTGGTTATCTTTCTTCTTTTTTTAAAAGCATCTACTAAAATGGGTCTTGCCAGCAACAATTTTATGACTAATTTACAATGTTCTTCCCATAAATTCTTCAACTTCCAAACTCATTCATTCATCAGCAGGACGCGCCGAAAAGAAGCGGGTCATTAAACTTACCATATACTTACAAGTTCAGATCGACATCAATATTCTCCGCCATTCTCCCATTTATAAGCTGTACTCTTTGGTTGTCGCCCCATTAGGCAATAAAACATTGCAACTTGCATGACACGGACACAATCCAAATCAATCCCAGCCCTCCGCGCCCCAACAGAATAAACTGATGGGGTACTCCTTGAGGCCATCCTCAAGAATTGGAAGAGATTACTCGGATCTGGGATATGATTTGGCTTCAAAGGACCGCTTATCAAGGCCCTTGCCGATCTCAGATATGCAGCCCCATCATACGAGGGTGGGCGGTAACATCCAATCACAGCAAGGCCCTATGAAATCGTCAGGCTCGGAGCTTCCTTTTACAATCCCAACAGGAGACCAAACCTACTGGAACCGTAAATTCAACAACCAAAGCCGTCCGAAGGATCCCTTGGTCCCGAAACGACGCAAACACAGTCCAAATCAATCCCAACCCTCCGCGCCCCAACAGAATAAACTGATGGGGTACTCCTTGAGGCCATCCTCAAGAATTGGAGGAGATTACTCGGATCTGGGATATGATTTGGCTTCAAAGGCCCGCTTATCAAGGCCCTTGCCGATCTCAGATATGCAGCCCCACCATACGAGGGTGGGCGGTAACATCCAATCACAGCAAGGCCCCATCAAATCATCAGGCTCGGTGCTTCCTCTGCAATCCCAATGGGTGACCAAACCCACTAGAACCGTAAAGGTTGCAACCAAAGCCGTCTGACGGATCCTTTGGTCCCAACACATGAAAAAAGAAAACTCCCCTTGGCGAAAAGACGCCGGGAAGGACTAACAGCAACATCGCCACCATCATATATCATCTTCTCCCAAAACACCAACAGTACAAGTTCTCGACTTGACTCCATCTTCCATTCGCTGTCCAATTAGCCAAAGATCTCGAAATTACACCATTTCGTGCAATTCCACGCGAGTGATTGTCCCCTCCACGCCTGCCTCAATGTGTCCAGGGGCGACAGAAGCAATGCGAAACAGTGTGCTTGGAGCAAAAAGAACTTCTTCTTCTTTCTTGCACCGAGAGAATTGCTTCACATTGACACCATTGCAATGACTCGTCAATACAAAAAGGTACCGCGCTTCGTCTACCTTCTGTTTCGCCAAAAAGTCAACAGCAATCGACTTGTGGAGACTGGTGCTGTAAAAACCTTCATCAGACATGGTAGCTCCGACTTGTGGTACAAAAGGGAGACTCCCTGACCCACGAAACAAGGTCTTCTTGCTGTTGCAGACTTTGAGTTCTCCCCAGCGGAGTCCAATCTTGAATGCCATGATCGCATCCTTGATGGTCCTTTGCAGTCCTTCCTCCTGGGAGTCGACGGTTCCAGATCGCAAAGCTTCGTTGATTTTGCGGTACTCGTTTGTAGTGTAGGTTTCCAAAGCCTTGGCAAATTCATAGTTCTTGAATTTCTGGCGGCGTTCTTGGTTCTTGGTAAAGCGCTTTCGGAACTCTTTGTGTCGGCGACAACAAAGAAGTTTTTGAAACTTTGCAGTGACGGCAGCGCAAGCAGTGCGAACAAAACGAGGGCAAGAAGTAGCCTTTTTGGATGCCGCACGCTTTCGGCTTTGAGATCGAGGTTTCGATTTCGATTTCGACTTGGAATTGGATGGTGGTGGAAGTGAAACCGAAGCAGCAGAAGAAGCAGAAGCAGAAACCGAAGAATCAGAAGATTTGAGAGCTAGTCTCAAACTGTATCGGCTGTGATTCTTCCATCCAGATCCCAATTCTTGGTGTGCTTGAAGGGCCAATCGAAGACTGGAACGGGGAGAGATTGAGACAGTGTTAGAGAAAGATTCAATTGGAGAGCTTTCGCTGTTGGGGAGAAAGGATAAGATGTTGTCGATGATGGTGATGTTGCTGTTGGTCAATGTCATCTGGTCGATGACGGTAATGGTCTTGGTGGTCTTGGTCTTGTTGTTTGATAGAGTTACGTTAAAAGTCTTCATATTCTTGTGATTGTGAGCTTTTCCCCTGCCTGAAATTCCATCGTCAATCTTGGTTCAGTCCATCGTGTTGCCTGTCACGGCAAACTAGGCTCAAAAGATCGTCTTTTTTGAGTCGTGCGTCGCAAGATCGAAGAGGAAACACGGGCAAAAGCTTGGAGAAAGAAACGCCTCGATCGTCCAGCGAAAGTTGGTTGTTGTATTGTCACGTTGTTACGTTGTTACGTTGTTACGTTGCCATGGTGCTACCGACATCTGTTCTCACCATCATCACGGTGATTTTGATTTGATTTGATTTCTTAGTTTTATCATCGAACGGTTTGAGCAATGTGCGTGCACAGTGTCGACGGCTGGACGACTATCTTGGTCGACTAGGTCGATCATACAAGCCCACGGTCGACGAACGAGCAACGAATGAATCAATCTCGCCCATCAACAAATTTAGTTTTCGAAGACAACAATAAACATCACCAAAGATGCTCATCGGAAGATGGGTTCTGTTTCTGTTGGCAACCAAATACAAGGATGTACATAATGCAATCCAGAGAATAAAGAATTCGAATGATGGAACGGTATGGATTGATGTTGAAAATGTCCGAGGGAAGTCTGGATTTGAAATGGACCATCATGAGGTGTTGAACAAGACAAGTCGTTGGACAAAGCATCATGGACTTGAAGGAAAAGTCATCGCAGTAGTTGATCATGGATCAGAAACGACTGCAGTCTATCTCAATGATCTTGATATAGCTGTAACATTCTCGGGCCGAGAGAAGGCAGATGACGTTATTGCAAATGCTGTTGGTCGTTTTGACGCATCCATTGTGGTGACGGCAGATGGAGGCTTGCGATCACGATGCACGAGGGCGGGTGGGAAGAATGTGATCAACATTGATCCAGTACGATTCATCGATGATTTGGAAGCTACGTCCGAAGGAGATTTGCCACACGAGATGCAGAATACAGAGCAAGATTCTCCTGGAACAAGGAGTGATATGGAAAGAAGGATGGAGGAGGAGATCAAAATCCGAGCGCAGCTGTTGGATGCAGAAATACAGTTAGGGAAGAAAAAGAAGGCAACGAACAAGAGAAAAAAGAAATTGCAAGCGAAGATTGCTAATCTGCGAACGAGACTTGCGTCAAGAGGCAAATCGCTGTTGCATGAGATGACTGACGTTTCCATGAGCGAGACAGCTGATCCAATGGAGCAAGAGAAGCTGCTCGCACGGTGGCAAGAGCTACGACAAAAGTTTTCCCGTCGGGAACAAACAGGAGACAGAATTATATTAGCAGAATGGCTTCGACGCCAATTGGTGACGTCGTCCGCTGCTTCAACAGAGTTTGCTGAAGCAGAACTATCCCCTGCAAGGGCTTTTGTGAGGCACCTCAATCAGGGCGATCTGTCCATATCCCTTCAGAATGAGGCTGAGAGCGAAGCTTCGAGTAATCTTTCAAGCCAGCCGGGAGTTTCGACGTTTGAATTGTTGAGCCAACAAAAAGACGACTATGTCAATCAGGACGAAGTCAAAATGACGGTGGTTTCGGATACGCATGGCTTTGAAAGCCAGCTCACGAATGACGGAACAGCATCCACTCTTCTACCAGAAACCGACCTCCTCCTTCACCTTGGCGATTTCGCTGTCGATTCGTACAAGTCCAAAGAGAGAGGATTGGAAGACTTTGACAAATGGCTTGCTATGCAACCACACAAGTACAAGATTGTGGTTCGGGGAAACCATGATCCATTGAAATATGACTTCCCTATTTCAGGGGCTTGGTACATAACAGAGCCGTGCACCGCAACAATTGAGAATCTGACGTTGGGTTTTGTTCCATGTGAGTTTGCCTGTATGCATGGACAGCCTCCCCTTTGCGATCTATTGACTCTGAAATAATTATCCTCTTTATCATCTGGTAGACGCCCCGGCGCGAAAGCTTGCAGCTTCTGGAAAGCTCCCGAAAGAATGCGATGTCTTTGTGTCGCATATTCCACCTTTCAAAGTGCTGGACAGAACACTCACCAAACAAAACGTTGGTAGTTCGTTCTTGTCAAAAGTTGTTCGTTCCATGAAGGGAAAAGCTACTCCACGACTTTGGCTTTGTGGACACATCCATGAGGCCAGAGGCCAAATGAAGCAAAAATTTGGGGACTCTGTGATAACAACTGTTGTGAATGCTGCAAATGCCAATTCGGGGAGAGCTACCGGTGTAGTGCATGGGCCCATTACTATTTGTATTAATACTACTGACTCTACTGAGATCGGCATTAAGGGGCTTGGAGAAAGGCATAGGGGTCAGTTGGAGCCTATACCTTCCCACTTTCAAAATGACCAGCAGCGTGAAAATGAGTTGCTGTTGGCTGTGGATCTGGGACTGAAAACTGGGTTTGCTCTTTTCAACAAGCAAGGGCAACTACTGCGGTACGAACAACATCTTTTCCACAAAGACAAATTAGATGAAGAAATCAAGACCATAGTAGACGGCTGGGAATCTGATATGCAGGCAATCGAAGCAATCGGCAGTGAAGAACCTTTGACCGTTACAAAAATTGCGGTAGAAGGAGGGGACATTGCTATCTTGAACGCATGGGAATCGGCAACCAAGGACGTCTCGATAACTCGGATATCGCCTGAAGAATGGCGTTTTCATCTATTGAGCGAGAAAGAGCGGACCTCTGGTGCGACATCCAAAGCTGCAGCCAGGCTGATAGCTCGTCAGGTGGTCAGTGATTTTGGTATCATGGGCAATCACCAAGGAAAGTTCAAGACGGATGTAGCTGAAGCTGTTGTGCTGGGTTTCTATGTATGCAAAAAGCTTGGCTGGGTAACTCGGGATCCAGTCGTTCGTCGATATACAAACGGAAATGTTGTTGTACCAAGATAACTCCAAGTTTGCGATAGAAAATCAAGAGGGGGTCATACAGCACTTCACCTGTCTGTTTGTTTTTGTGATGAGATGGTGGAAACTTTTACTAGTAAGGTCTATCTTAGCTCTCTCAACTGACTGACGAGCGAGCAAGTCTCGCCGAAAACTCTCAAAATTTCGAACCCACTGTCAACAATAGTTCTGTCAGAATCTTGGCAGTGTTGTCAGCATCATCCTTTCTCTCTAATGTCAATATGCCTGTGGTCAGAGCATTTAACAAGAGTGCACAATGTATAAAAGGCATTGGTCGAACGAGAAACGTTCATGACGATATTGCTTCAATGGAAGTTGAAAATGGCCCAGTTGTGCTGGGCGACGAGACAAGACTGGACTACAGCACGTTGTCAAGAATCCTCAATCGCAATTCTAAAAAACTTCAACAAATATCCATAAACAACCAAGTCACTTTATCAGCAGAATATCTGGCTTTTCTGGTGTCGACTTTTCAAAAGACAACTTGTTTACGATTGCAAGATTCTTTTCACGACGCTGCAGAATTTGGTTGTTTGGTGGCCGGTCTCGCGCAGCCTGGTGGACTTCGAGAACTGCAGATGAGTTTCTTTACCCCACATAATCGAGACTTGAACAATCATTTGCTGCTTCTGCTCAAGGGCATTGCTTTCGCTTCCTCTCTGGAAAGACTCCATTTGCTTCTTCGGTATCGTCTTGACGTGTTGCGGCCGGCGTTGATAGATGCTATCCTTATGAACAGAACCTTGAAATCACTATGTCTAGACATTAGCTGGTATGCCGACGATGGCTTGCTTTTTCCTGAAGTATTTCAAGCTGCTGCCAGGAACAAACACATTCAAGATCTAACTCTTCGGGTTTCAGGAGGACGCCAACCTACATTGCTGAAAGAAGAAGTTTGGGTGCCTACTCTGTGTCATCAAGAATGCACCATTGAGAAAGTTTGCCTTTTTGGAATCAAATTTGGCACTGATTATGGAGAAGTGATGGGACAAAACACTTCTGTAAAGGAACTTGTGATTCAAAGCGCAGATCTCTCATTCGCCGACACCAGCAAAATATTGTACCGCTTCAAGTCACTGGTATCCGTGGATCTAGCTTTCAACAATTTGGGAAGCATTTCAATCTTTGACAATTTTCTTCTGGGAGAGGAACCGACTTTGGAAAGTCTGAATTTAGAATGCAACAATATCAGTGAAGAAGATATGATGAACTTCTTGACAAATCTGCCAAAAATGAAAATACTCAGAAACCTCCAACTAAATGGCAACCCTATCCTTCAATCAAGATCTTGTATGCAGGCATTCAAAAGAGCTGTCTGTTCTAATACTGCATGTTTAGAAAGAGCCCAGTACTATTCAATCGGCTATGAGGAGAAAGACGATGCGAAAGGATTTGGTTTGAATGTTCTGCCTAGCCAGTCTTCCACCACCATGGAGGAAAGCCCTCAAGGATATCAAGATATGGAGAAAATATTAATGGTTCAGCTCAGTCTCAATCGCTTTGGTCGGCGACATTTGCTGGGGGGCTCATCAAATTATTTACCCTCAAATCTTTGGCCACTTCTATTAGAAAGAGCTTCGAATCTTCGTTATTATTCGTTAAGGGATGTATGGAAGCGACCAAGCCTTGAATGTACAAGATTGGATGTAGCCTATTGGCTATTGAGAGAAAAGATATTCGTGTGATGATGCCTTTTGTGTGATGATTTATTCAAGGGGGGACAAAGAGTTGAAACGGATGCTCCCATCAATTTGACAATCTGGTTGTCCAGGATGACCCCATCCATTTGACAATCTGGTTGTCGCACAACACTTTCGGTGCAGTTGATAAAATGATAAATATGGTCTATGATATGGAGTATTTTCAAAATATGTAATGCCATTTTGAGGCTTAGGCTACGCTTTGAATCCATGCTTGTAACTCGTCCGCAATGTCCTTCCACTGAGGAACAAGCATGAGATCATGTGGTGCATCCACCATGAGAAGACCCATCCGTTTGGTCTGTTGCCTCTTCTCTTCAATAGTTATTTCACGTGTGGCTTCTTCCCCGTTCTCTTGCATGAGCCCAAAATAGTTGGCCGTCTCGATGCATCCCTTCTCATCGACCATGAAATCTTGCGTACCTCCAACAACTAGACAAGGAGGCAACTCGTTGACATATGATGCTCTTCCCAACCGATCCATCTTCATGGATGGCCATGGCAAATTCTTCGTATCTGTTGACACCTTGGTATCTCTGGCAAAAAACTCTTGATACTTTTGAATATCCGAGTCGGAAAGCTTGGCCATTCTAGGTATTTGTGTAACAGAAGATGTTGCAGTAGCAGCTGTAGCGGTGTCAGCAGTGTTGGCATCCGCATCCCCATTAGCTTCAGCTTCGGTATCCGGACTAGCTTCAGCTTCTTCGCCATAATCATCATCGTTGGCGGTGTCAGCAGTGTTGGCATCTGCATCCGCATTGGGTTCAGCATCTGGATTTGCTTCAGCTTCAGCTTCTTCATCATATCCAGCAACATTGGTAACATCCGTAATAGTGTCTTCATACTCTTCATTGTCGTCATTGGGACCACCAAAGAACATATCCCGACACAACGCTGGGTCGGTCACAAACTTCTTCATGGCCATTCCTTGGACCATCTTCCAAGTGTCGCCAACAGATCGCCACATCATGCGTTTGGAGACCCGACTCATTCCACTGGGCGGCAAGGAGCACATTGTAATGATAGCACTGAAAGAGTCTTTTGCCTTTTTGTTTTCCAGTCGCCCTCCAAATATTTCATCAGAACGATCCCTCCAAATGAGTGACTAATCAGAATTGGCTTGACAATCGGAGCTATTGATGCTTGTTCGGAAGGCGGAGCATGTACTTCAGAAGTGGTTTCAGATTCGATGAAAAGGGATGGGATTTGTTGCAAGAAGCAATGTAAATCTTCGCAATGCTCTTGGATCGTAATTTTTCGATTGGTAGGCGTCGCATCATTGTCTCCAGCTCCGCGAAAGTTGAGTGCCACCACAGGATATCCCAGCTGAGCAAAGTATGGTATGTAATGCTCGTCCCAACACCAAGCACCATGAAAACTCCCATGGAGCAAGATGATGGGAGGAAGTGTGAACGGATAAGTCGATTCATCTGTTGGTTCGGCTTTGAATGAAACATCGTGTGGAATGGAAATGATGATGCTAGCCTTCCCGTTCTCACCACGAGAAGGCATGGGAATCTCGCGTTCTTCAATGGCTGCCATGTTACCACTCACTGTTGCTCAAAGTATGATTGGGCCTTGCTTAATGTAGATGACAAGAGAATGAAGTCAATCATAGCTACAGTACATCTGCCATGTTGGCGACGAGTTCGGGTTGATTTTCTGACTGATGATTTGAATTCGGATCTTTGTTCAAAGGACCGACATCTGCTCTGCATAGTACCAATCATGTTGGGATGATGGATACGACCATACCAACATGACAGCACCGCTTCCCGTCCGCTCAGCGAAGTTAAGCATGTTCGGGCCTGGTTAGTACTACGGTGGGGGACCACGTTGGAATCCCAGGTGTTGTATTCTTTTTGCTCATTTGCGGTTTCAATCCCGCTCGTGAATCAATGATGAGTCAGATTTTTCTCAGAACATGACAACAATGAAGATGACATCTGCTCAACAACACGGGGCAGCGCCAAAACCAGCTAAGAGCAGCTTTTAACTCAAGCCATATATCTGAAGATGAAGTTTGTATCTGGACTTTCCCTAGCGTTTCAGTTGCAATATATCATTGGCAGCTCCCATGGATTTGTGACTTCACCTTCTCATCACCATCGACAGATTCAAGACGTCACTACACATGCAGACACATCTATGTTCCTTGCATCAAGGTCCGATACCACAGATACAACAACAACAGCAACGCGAAAGGTCCAAGATGAGACAGAGGAAGTGAATCCACGAAAGCTTGGCCTTGCGTTGCAATTGGACGATGGGACAAGGAAATCCCATAGCATGGCACAAAACACGGCATTCGTCAGTGGGTTCTTCAAGGGTTTGGCCAATCGCGAATCTTATGGAGCCCTGCTGAAGTCCCTGTATTTTGTTTATGATGCCATGGAAAAGGCCATGGATGAATCAGACGAATATCGGGTCCAACAACTCGACCTTCCCGCCTTGCGTCGAGTGACCTCGTTGGAGCGTGATTTGGAATATTTCTATGGCAACAATGGCGATTCTGCGAAATCGTTCTTGTCAAATGTACAGCCAAGTCCTGCTACTCGGACATATGTCGCTCGCATTGAGCAAGTTGCCAAATCCAAACCATACTTGCTCATTGCTCATCAATATACCAGATATTTGGGGGATTTGTTTGGCGGGCAAATGATGGGTGGTATGGCCAGCTCTACCTTGGGATTATCCAATGGAGAAGGTACAGCCTTTTACGAATTTGACCAAATCCCAAATACCCAGGCCTTTATCACAAAGTGGTACAAGTTATTGAACGACTTGGATTTGACTGAAGAGCAAAAGCAAGAAATTGTCGATGAAGCCAATTTGGTCTTTGATATGAATGTCGGCATTCTTCAAGAGTTGGAAGGATCACCGATCCAGGCTTTTGTTACTTTGGCTATTAACAGTTTCAAGGCACGATTGGGATTTGCATAGGCGGGATGTGTCACGCGGAGCCAGGTGCCATTTCTACACTTTTATACATACAATCGTTCGAATACTTTGCAAACCTAATTTTCTACTTCAAGCCTTGTTAAAATAGCAATAAGATCATTCTCCGGCAATAGGCTTGGAAAATCGCAAGAAAGGTCTTTGCTCCATGGAGGGACCAGGATTGGCCTCTAGCAATCCATATAACTTTTCATTCTCCGATTCGAATATATCAACCAGCAGTGCCAAGGCTTTCTTGGAGGGCAAACGTACTTTGTGGTCGTGATCATTGCTATTGGCTCGTTTCAATTCACCAGGGATTTCGCGACCGAGGAACTTCTGAATCCGCTGTTGTAGACTTCTTGGGTTCTCTTGTAGTTCCTGGTAGCTAAGAACTAGAATTTGAGAGCGGTCAAACAACTCAAACCATTGATTCAAATGGGCGGCATAGAGACCATGGCGAGAGCTTCTTCCAGAGTCTGATTTCGTTGCCAGACCAGGAAGTGATACTTGGGCAACAAAGTCGTCAAACGACATGATGTCACCATCGTCGTCCAGTACCTGTTCTTGCCATGAAGTCCTCTCTGATAGTGGCAAGAAGCGGCAATCGTGTGCTAAATGGTTGTAGAGTGATAGCTCCCGAAGAATTGGTTCGCGAAGAATGACCATAATCTTGACCAAACGCATCTGATTTCCACCAGCAGCTTTGTAGCAATTGTGAACTCTTTCCGCAAATTGCAAAGTATCTGGTGTTGCATCAACTCCATCGCAGCCATCAAATCGTTCGCCATAAAACATTGGTCCTTTGCAATAGCGATGATCAATGTCGAAAAAGTGCACCTCCTTGCTGTAAAAACTAGGCTCCCCATCAAAAACATTCGGTCGACTGAATCCGCCGTGGTCAAAAAGCCAATCAGCGATGGCGGAGGTGCCGGCCTTCTGGGCGCCAATGAGCAATACCAGTGGCATTTGGGCCATAGTAACTGTCGCTTCACCTTCGTTCATTCTTGAATGTGTCTGGATTGCAATGCGTGTAAGAATATCCAGTACCTGTGACAAATGGGGAAGTGAGATGTAAACTTCCAACCCCAAAGATACTTCATGTATTTAGGGGAGACCCATCTTGCCACGGGGAGTCCATAGCTTAGTGGCACATCTCTACATTTTGTACATGGTAGCTTCAGGTTCGACTCCAGTGTGTCAGGTTGAGAGGGCCCGTCTAGGGGTACCCAATGAGGGCGACACGGTAGTGCTCAATCGCGCACGAGGATCTTCGTGGAACTTTCATTGATGTTTTCATACTACTTAAGCAAATGACTCCCCTATATAGAAGACAAGGAGATTGCGACACTGGGTCTTATGCGTTCAGAAATACGAACTGTCCATCCGCGGTACTCAGCCTTGCTGAATAATAGCTCGAAGCTGGAAAGTCCGACGGGGAGTGTAAGAATATCCAGTACCTGTGACAAATGGGGAAGTGAGATGTAAACTTCCAACCCCAAAGATACTTCATGTATTTAGGGGAGACCCATCTTGCCACGGGGAGTCCATAGCTTAGTGGCACATCTCTACATTTTGTACAAATGCGAATTTGCCAGTTGAAGCAAAAGATCTCCATGACATTGATTCGCGGAATGAAATTTTGAAATTTTCGTTTTGCGTTGATGCACATACAAATGGGATTTTTTGGCCGCTCCGCAAGACGCATTTTACAGGCGACTTCTTTGGATCATCAGGAGCATGTTTGCTCATAATTCCAAGGGATCGTGTGAAGTTGGCTAGCATGGCAGAACCTCGTGCAAGTAGATTAGAAGGCATCTGTGTCGTCAATGTTGGCCATTATCGTTCTGGCAGTACTACCCTGGCGGGGGCTGCCACACTTCTTGGTTTGAACGTCTACCGAAAGTTCCCTGACCTAACGCAAGAGCAGTACCAGGATATCCTCCACGACCCAGAGAAGGCGGTGACCAAGTATTTTTCAACCCCTGATGCCATGGATTTTCTCCTTGGTATTATCAAAGAACATGATCTGGTTTGTGACGGGTGGTTTGCCTTGCTAGCACATGCACCGCATTGGCTCCTCAAGTTAGAAAAAGAAGCGAATCAAAATGGAATCCATCTCAAGTTTGTGGCATCGGTGCGAGATCCCAGTGCAACTATCCAATCAGAGTTACAGCATTGGGTCCGTCATGGTCTCGAAGCCAAAGCTGGCCTCAGTCATGAAGACCGTGAAAAGCTCCCGCTGAGTCTCAAGATCAGAACTGACAAGCATCTTGAGAGCATTCAGAAGCTAAAGGAGCAGGGAAAGGTAACTATTCTTCCGCTGGAGGAAGCAGACTCTATCTGGCCCAAAGAGCTAACCAAAGTCAGTAAATTATCGGAGGAAAGGTGGGCCGAGGCTTTCAAAACGGTCGGAAAGAAAAATGCCAACCCGCCTCTTCCAATCGAAGGAATTCTGCTAACAATGCGAATTGGAAATACGCCGCAATCTGATACTATGATCAGATCTGTGGAACGGTTGCTTGATGAACTTGAACAGGATTCACTCTGCAGATACATGGTCGTTCTTGCAATTGACGCAGACGAAGAGTCAAGTGATGGCACGCAAGATCTCCTGCAGCGACTCCATTCTCGCGCGAATTCCCATTACCAGATGCATTCCTTTCATTCCATCATCAACGAAGACAGGGACAATACTCAGCTTTTGCCTTTGTGCCGCATATGGGAAAATATGGCCGTCAAAGCTTGGGAGGAAGGTGCCGATTGGGTAGTGCTTTTGGGTGACGACATCCGTATCCAATGTTCCTACCACTATCGGGCAATTTATCGCAGCTTTTTGGAGATATCGGAACGCTTGAAAGTCCCATTTGGATTCGGCAGTCCGTGGTGGAACGACACTACCTTTCCAGGATTCCCCACTTTTCCTTGCATTGGGAAAGCCCATTATGCCATATTTCGAGGGTTAATACCTCCACATCGACGAGGCGTATTTGTCAATCAAGACTTGGACCCATATCTTCAGTGCCTGTACCTCAAGTTCAAAGCAGCGCCCCTCGTATCGGAAGCCAAACTTTCCAATGATACAGGTGGCAATGTTGGTGCTAGCCAGGCTCGATATCAGCGAATCGAAGCGATTGGTTGGCGTGACTTTGTTTGGGAAGACATTGATCCCATCCGCCAACATATCCATAGAATCGATGGAAGTGCCGACGAAGCATTGGTCTTGGACGTCATTGTCCCTTCCTATCGAGTTCGCTTGGAATATCTGGAACCGATTTGCTCTCTTACAATTCCAGACTATCTCTGTGTTCAATTCATCATCATAGTTGACAATGTCAAGAAACTGCTCCAGGTGGCTCGTTTATTAAGTGACACTGACAGGGAGTTGTCAATCCATGAAGCGGAGAGGATTCTGGAGGCTCGCTTGAGTACTGGCAACAACCGAGTTCGAGTCCGATGCAATCGAAACAATGTTGGTGCGTCTGCCAGTCGCAATCGCGGTCTTGACGAAAGTGCCGCAGAGTTCTTTCTCAATTTGGACGATGACTTGATTCCAAATTCTGACTTGCTGGAACATTATGGGCAGCAGCTGCTACGGTCGGTCTCGGATCCCACAGTGGTCGGCTTGATCGGCTTGGTCCATTTTCCTCGACACCCAGAATTGCCTTTGAAATATGCCGCTGTCTTGATGAGCTACTTGACTTTTATGTTTGAGATTGCAGGCCGAACGGATATGTATGATCACCCGGCTTGGGGTGTCACCGCCAACATTTTGTTCCGTCGAACACCGGTTCGATTTGACGAGGCCTACGCCAAAACTGGTGGCGGAGAAGACGTCGACTTTAGCCTCCGCGTTGCTGGAAATGAAGGTAAATTGATTCCAGTACCACGGGCGCGTGTGGTACATCCTTTTTGGGAAGGCTCAGTGTGGAACTTGGGGAGCCACTTCTTTAATTGGGCGATTGGTGATGGCGGCTTGCTGAGCCGCTTTCCAAAGTACACATACTGGTCTTTTCCAAACCTGTCTGAAACGCTATTCGCCTTCATTCCAATGGCCTTGCTAGCAGGGTGTCCAGAAAAGGTTATCTTTTGGATCCCATTATTTGTGCTGGTGGATGTGATTGTGGACTGTTCCAACCGAGATGAATACATGCATCGTTGTAGCCTCCTAAAGCACGAGCGGCATCCACTCTTCTACTTTTTGGCTCACATCTTGGCAAACATCTATGTGGTCGTCTTGGAATGTGGTCGTCTATGGGGACACTTGAAGCGATGGAATCTGACATGTGTTTGTCATCGATTCGATTGGCATTGCGGACGGCTGCCAAATGCCCCCTGCAATTTCCGCAAACGGGAAAAACTCAAATTTACTGGGTTTTGTATTATGATGGTTCTCGTTGAGCTTCTCGTGGCCAACAATTTGTCTTGGAGTTGGAAGGCTTTCGCACTTCGAGGCAGCAATGAAACCTGCCCAGCATTCTGAAGGGCTTGTTGTTTCATTCGATTATTCTTCGTAACTTGTAGTCCCGTGGAGCGCGTGTATACATGATCAGTGCTGAATATACATGAAACTCCAACTCGTAGTCAACATCAAGGAAAGGTGGTTACAGTAGTACATGTCTTGTTCGCATTCACTCCACTTGATGTATGCATGTTTGGATTGGTGTAACACAGCCACTTTTGGAAAACTCTATTGGTTATTGTGGCTTCTATTCGAAACTTGTCGCAACCGACTTCTATTCGAAACTTGCCACAACAACCGTGCATCGTTCCGCGTTATGCCAAGCGCTGAGCTGCAGAATCCGATGGTCCAGGCACGTTGCGATGTAATACTATGGTATATTCAATATTTTTTTACCTTTTATTTATTGCGTCGCGGATGATCGACCTAGTCGACCAAGATAGTCGTCCAGCCGTCGACACTGTGCACATTGCTCAAATGAAAACCGTTCGATGATAAAACTAAGAAATCAAATCAAATCAAAATCACCGTGATGATGGTGAGAACAGATGTCGGTAGCACCATGGCAACGTAACAACGTAACAACGTGACAATACAACAACCAACTTTCGCTGGACGATCGAGGCGTTTCTTTCTCCAAGCTTTTGCCCGTGTTTCCTCTTCGATCTTGCGACGCACGACTCAAAAAAGACGATCTTTTGAGCCTAGTTTGCCGTGACAGGCAACACGATGGACTGAACCAAGATTGACGATGGAATTTCAGGCAGGGGAAAAGCTCACAATCACAAGAATATGAAGACTTTTAACGTAACTCTATCAAACAACAAGACCAAGACCACCAAGACCATTACCGTCATCGACCAGATGACATTGACCAACAGCAACATCACCATCATCGACAACATCTTATCCTTTCTCCCCAACAGCGAAAGCTCTCCAATTGAATCTTTCTCTAACACTGTCTCAATCTCTCCCCGTTCCAGTCTTCGATTGGCCCTTCAAGCACACCAAGAATTGGGATCTGGATGGAAGAATCACAGCCGATACAGTTTGAGACTAGCTCTCAAATCTTCTGATTCTTCGGTTTCTGCTTCTGCTTCTTCTGCTGCTTCGGTTTCACTTCCACCACCATCCAATTCCAAGTCGAAATCGAAATCGAAACCTCGATCTCAAAGCCGAAAGCGTGCGGCATCCAAAAAGGCTACTTCTTGCCCTCGTTTTGTTCGCACTGCTTGCGCTGCCGTCACTGCAAAGTTTCAAAAACTTCTTTGTTGTCGCCGACACAAAGAGTTCCGAAAGCGCTTTACCAAGAACCAAGAACGCCGCCAGAAATTCAAGAACTATGAATTTGGCAAGGCTTTGGAAACCTACACTACAAACGAGTACCGCAAAATCAACGAAGCTTTGCGATCTGGAACCGTCGACTCCCAGGAGGAAGGACTGCAAAAGACCATCAAGGATGCGATCATGGCATTCAAGATTGGACTCCGCTGGGGAGAACTCAAAGTCTGCAACAGCAAGAAGACCTTGTTTCGTGGGTCAGGGAGTCTCCCATTTGTACCACAAGTCGGAGCTACAATGTCTGATGAAGGTTTTTACAGCACCAGTCTCCACAAGTCGATTGCTGTTGACTTTTTGACGAAACAGAAAGCAGACGAAGCGCGGTACCTTTTTGTAGTGATGAGTCATTGCAATGGTGTCAATGTGAAGCAATTCTCTCGGTGCAAGAAAGAAGAAGAAGTTCTTTTTGCTCCAAGCACACTGTTTCGCATTGCTTCTGTCGCCCCTGGACACATTGAGGCAGGCGTGGAGGGGACAATCACTCGCGTGGAATTGCACGAAATGGTGTAATTTCGAGATCTTTGGCTAATTGGACAGCGAATGGAAGATGGAGTCAAGTCGAGAACTTGTACTGTTGGTGTTTTGGGAGAAGATGATATATGATGGTGGCGATGTTGCTGTTAGTCCTTCCCGGCGTCTTTTCGCCAAGGGGAGTTTTCTTTTTTCATGTGTTGGGACCAAAGGATCCGTCAGACGGCTTTGGTTGCAACCTTTACGGTTCTAGTGGGTTTGGTCACCCATTGGGATTGCAGAGGAAGCACCGAGCCTGATGATTTGATGGGGCCTTGCTGTGATTGGATGTTACCGCCCACCCTCGTATGGTGGGGCTGCATATCTGAGATCGGCAAGGGCCTTGATAAGCGTTCCTTTGAAGCCAAATCATATCCCAGATCCGAGTAATCTCCTCCAATTCTTGAGGATGGCCTCAAGGAGTACCCCATCAGTTTATTCTGTTGGGGCGCGGAGGGCTGGGATTGATTTGGATTGTGTTTGCGTCGTGTTGGGACCAAAGGATCCGTCAGACGGCTTTGGTTGTAGCCTTTACGATTCTATTGGGTTTGGTCACCCATTGGGATTGCAGAGGAAGCACCGAGCCTGATGATTTGATGGGGCCTTGCTGTGATTGGATGTTACCGCCCACCCTCGTATGATGGGGCTGCATATCCGAGATCGGCAAGGGCCTTGATAAGCGGTCCTTTGAAGCCAGATCATATCCCAGATCCGAGTAATCTCCTCCAATTCTTGAGGATGGCCTCAAGGAGTACCCCATCAGTTTATTCTGTTGGGGCGCGGAGGGCTGGGATTGATTTGGATTGTGTTCGTGTCATGCAAGTTGCAATGTTTTATTGCCTCATGTGGCGACAACCAAAGAGTACAGCTTATGAATGGGAGAATGGCGGAGAATATTGATGTCGATCTGAACTTGTAAGTATATGGTAAGTTCAATGATCCTTGTTGTCGTGATCTTCGTCCCGCTTCTTTTCGGCGCGTCCTGCTGATGAATGAATGAGTTTGGAATTTGGAGAATTTATGGGAAGAACATTGTAAATTAGTCATAAAATTGTTGCTGGCAAGACCCATTTTAGTAGATGCTTTTAAAAAAAGAATAATAATAACCACCGGTTAGGTTGATGCGGCAATGTCCATCCCGTATTTTTTCTACTCGCTGATATCATTCATATCGTGGGAGAAAAGGTTTGCTAGCACAAGATACAGTTTCGAAGGAATCATTTTATCAAATCCTTGTTCTATATGAATCAAATGCTTTATATATATCTAGCGTTGTCATTTTTAACGTCGACTCCCAGCACGAGAAAATGAAAAGTCTTCGTCTCCTAGTTGATGGGGTGATTGTAATACCGTCTTCGACCAAGACGGCCCTCTCCAGTATTTTCCGTAGACAGACTTGATGCCTACTTTGTACAATCCCGATCCTTCGAGAGTAAATTGTTGTAACAGTCCTGGTGGTCCTTCTTCCAGTTGCATGGATCGATAGTCAAAGCCTTCGCCTTCTCCAGTGTTACTCTCTTGACCAACGGCAAAGTCCACAATCTCTCGAGATATTTCTGGAAGGATCGGAAGCGCAGAAATACTGTTCAATGCTTCGGCTTGAGCCAAATTGCCGTATGGATTTTGAGAAAGATATAGATTGGTATCTTTCAGTCGGAATGCTACCAAGTGTTGGGTTCCTGTCGCCTTCTTCCTTCCTCTCAAATTACTGTTTTTACCGTTGGTGTCATCGACAAGGACGTACTCCATGACGAATTCAGAAGGATCGTCTACATATCCTGTCTTGATCTTGCCATCCTCGGCATACACGCGTCCTCCGTTACATCTGATACTGATGGGGGTTCCGACAAGGCGATAGGCAACTTCGTTGGTGCCCACGTTGACATCCTCGAATAAGCGGGTGTATGTCCGTGTAGCATTGTGCATGTCGTCAGTTGCCCCCTTAAGGCTCGATGACTTTCGTTTCATCATGTTTTTGACTCTTTTCATGATTTGTTGAAGTTGGTTTTATGATGCTGTTGGGTTATGATTGTACCGTACGATTGATTGTGATTGTTTTTAGATTGTCATGTGGCAATTTTCTTCAAACCCGCCATTTTTCTCCAGGATATGTTCCGAATGATGAGCACGACTGAACTGACAGCTTTCGAATACAGAAAATTCTGGCATGTTATTTTATATACCGGTACCGGCATATTCTCAATGCCTCCTATTTTTATAATTATAATACAATACCATGAACACAGCACAGATGATTGTCCTGCTTGATCCATTCAAGTGCTAATATCATCGTCAAAACAATTCATGAGGCATTTAGGTTGTCTGTGCCACTTGCACGAATTCCAGCAAAGCGGATCCCTCCAAAATCTCCACTTCCATCTCTTGTTGTTTGTCTCTCACATGATTGGCAATGCAGGTCCGTAGCGTTTGCGTGGCTTGAATGGAGGCATCCCACCATCATCGTTCTTCGACCACTCCCCCGACCGTTTCAGAGGACTGCTTGGATACTCTATAGAATGGCAAATCGTTGGGTTGCCGTCGACGTACCAAACCATGGTGAAGAGGTTTCCAAGAGGCACATACCCAGTCTAGGGGCGCGTTCTGAAAAACCGGGAACGGTCCGCGCTGTTTCACTGGTTTTCTCATTATCACCATCATTTTCGTCACCATCTTCTTCTTCATTGGCACGGAGGGTCAGTAAGAGTGGCGAGAAGTAAATGGTCATGGAAAAGCTTCCAAAGTCAAGCATCAAGTGCGATCCGTGTCCATTTGGTTTTGTTCGAACCAAGGTGGCCCGTTTTCGTAGGAGCACCGGAAGCAAATTGGCCGGTGTTTTACGATTCGGCCGAAAGAGGACCTTGGCTTTGGTACACGGAGCAATTTAGAAGTCTGCGTTTGAGTGGAGATGCGGCAGTTTCGTCACCAGCAATGGTACTTTGTTCGTCCATTGGCAATTCCAAGATTTTGTTCCAAGCATCTTGCAAGGGAGGGTACTTTTTATTTGTGCCATCCGCTGTCTAGGCATCATTGGGACCACGTATTTCGACGACTTGCTTCAAGAAGGCAAAACCTTCCTTGACAATGGCATTCGTCTTGGACAAGACACTTTCTGCCAAGGATGGTGGCAGACTCTTGTGTCGGTCCGCCATGGTGAGGTAGGTTCGAAAGGCAGCAGAGGCCCCACGCATCTTATCACTGTAGAGTTTGGGACCAAGTTTGTCAAATGGATTGGGTACTAGTCGATGGTGGGATGTAAACTTGTCATTCCATCAAATGCTTTTATGTATCTGATTTTGCAGCTACAAATCATCAAGTTGCAATCGCTTCAAGAGCTCGGTATGTTTACCCGTCTTTTTGTTCTTCTTGATAACTTCATCAGCTGAGGCTACGTAGTCAATCAGCACCTTGCAAACTATGTGATTGCTCAGGATTTTGGGTATGCAGCCATTCAAAAGCGTTTGGCAAACCAATGTAGTTCTGGTTCTGACTTTACCCTTTTCTCTAATGGGCTCTAGTTTGTAGGCCCAGTACCGATTTTCGGCTGCCAAACCATAGGGACATGATTGGAAATCGCCAGCTCGAATTGACATGGATAATTGCCACACTGTACTACCAATGTCATCGTCACCACTAGTAGTATCATCATCAACCAGATATCCAGAAAGATCCACGCCATCCCGATATAAAAAGGGAAAACCAGGAGCATTCGACCAATACGAAGCATTCACAAAGGGATTGTGAACCCTGTTGGTTTCTTCTTGTTTGTTGTTTTGATAATATGTCTTCAGATTCTTCATAAGAATCACAGTATCGTCCATCTCAACCGTCAAATCAAAGTCAAACATACAAGCTACTAAATCTTTTGGTTCAAAGTCAAAGGTTCCCACCAACTTGAAGAATCCATATCCCTTTCCAGCCTTTGTCAGCTCGTCATGAATAAAGTATTCAACGCCCTTGTGTTCTGCATAGCGACGATATTCACCGTGACGCTCGTCTGACATGAATGATTGCGCTTGTTCTTTCATCCAATACATGTGTTGTTGAGCAGTCGCTTGGGTGCCGTCCCATCGAATCCACTGATTCTTTTGAATTTGTTGTTGCAATAGTGGATCGTCATCCAACCAAGGTGTGCTGCTTCCATCTCCATAAGACTTTTGGAATTTCCTTCCCACGGCTACAGACACAATTTGTGGTTTTGAATCGCCGTTTTCTGATTTCTTGCTCGAGTCTGTCATCTTTATTGGTGGTGTGATGGTTGGGATATATGGGTACAGTATTGCTGCGTATTTGCGTACCTATTCGTGTTGCGATGCAAATGACAATGTCCCGTACCGGTATGTGATGAAAATGCTAAAACCCCACATCTCCAATCTCCAAATGTTCCTCTACATTACTGTAATTGATTGGTTCGTTGATGAGATATTATAGAAGTCAAAATCTATCAGCCAAACAATTGTGTGCTACAGTAAATATTCCGTTTTAACATTTATTCAAAAGGTACCAGGTAGTCCCACTTTCCATGTAGCGTCGTTCAATCCTTGCTAGAGTAGGTGTTTCATTGACATCGCGTTCCTTTTATATCAGTCGTTTCGTCTTTTCTCTATTCGCCAAATATCACGATGTGCTCACATCTCACATCTCACATCATTCGCACATCGTCATCGTTGACGTCCAGCGAGCCAGACCAGCAACATTTGAAAAATTAACCCATCAATAACGATCGACTGAAGATACCGGTAGTATTGACGCCGCTGTGCCCTTCTCCCATTCCTACCGGTATCGACCTCCAGTAGGTAGATTGCCTTCTTAAAAGAAGACGATGGCAACACTGTTACGATATGCAACTCGGTTGCCAGGAGCAAAGGGCCATTGTCGACCATTAATGTTGCCAGAGTCGTGTCTGGCATCGACATCAACATTGACATCAACATTAGGCAGTCGTCAACATCCTTTCTCTTCTTGGGATTATGAACTTCCTTGGTCGAGTGCTAAAAGCGACAAAAGTAGTAAGCGGCTAGTTCAACGAGTTCAGGAATCTCGAAGAGAGCATCAGCAAAAGGTGGATCTGCAAGACGCACTTATGATTTTAGTAGAAGGCTACCTACAAACAAATCATAAGGAAGCCTTTTCCATTCAATCAGCTAGTCAATTTTGGAAGAAGGAGACCGAAGCAATCGATTCGAGCAAGAAAAAAGGTAACGATAGCAAGGATAGCGCACAGCAAGGGCGACTACAAAAGAATAGAAAGACCATCGCAATCCATGATGCTCTCATTGAGCTGACCAAACTGAATGGTTTCAAGCCTGTTGATCTCCCACGAGAGCAAGTACCATTGGCGGAAGGTGTCGTTGTTCGACCTCAGTACCACAAAGAGGAAAAGTATCGGGATCGCGTCCGAATAAAAGCAAGCCCTTTGATGTGGGCTCGAAGTGAATTGAAGACAGGGCAGTCTCCATTGACTTTCTCGTCATCTGTCATGAGTAGTGCTCAGCCTCGGCGGGACGATCTTCCAGAGCTGGTTGAAGAGGACATCAAGTTGTACCGCATCATCGAAAAAAGTGTGGATGATTTCGTAAATGCCAAAGTTCAGGCTTTACAGACCTCCGTCAGAGCACTTGAAACGAAGATCCAAGATGCTGTGAGCTCTGTAGTTCCATCCTTACGCCGTCAAGATGCAGCTTCGAAGAAATCCAAGAAAGACGAGCTAGATGATGCGAGCAATGTTGAATCACCTGAGAGCTTGCTATTTCTCGACCGAAACGAAATCATATGGGTCACAAACATGGACAACCGTGAACTTCGGCTTCTGGCCTTGCAAGATCATCACAGTTACGGCCTCAAACTGTCGTCGTGGTTGATATCTATCTCCCTAGTCGTGTTTGGAGCAATGCCTTTGGCCTATCGGAGCTATAACTTTACCTACGATTATCCTGGATTATCCCAAAGTGTGGCTGCTTCAGTTGTTTTGACCATTTCCTATGGTATCTGGTCTACTCAATCCATGGCGGTCACCCGTCAATCACAAGTGGTCTCAAATGCCGTTGCCCACCGAATATATGCTCGCAACAACGCGGTCTTGTGGGCCCTTCAACAAGGAGCGGTGGAACGAGTCAGCGATGCTCTCTTGACCTATTACTTTTATTGCCAAAATGATACGCGGCAACGTCTTCGTCTTCGACCGTCATCGACTTCCAAGCCGCTGCTTGCAGTCACTCAGCCCAGTGGCGGCAAACAAGAAAGCGATGATCCAATGTTGCCTTCCACGTCGATTGACGTCGTTGCTTTGGCAAAGGAGATTGGATTGGTTCAAGAAGAGGCAACATCGAGCAGTGGCAACAGTAAGCGGGTTGCAGTTCCGATAGAGAGCGCGATCGCTGCTGCACAAGATTACCACAAGAAGATCCAACGATGAAGCGTTCAAACAAATGTGCCACAAAGATGTATTGGATAGCATGAATGAATGCTGAATCAGTCCAACGACAACTAGTATAGTATCCAACAAAGACGATCACAACCTTGTGCCAGTCTCTTTTTTTTTTGGCAATAAAATGTCAGCAAGGCAAGTACTGGGACCTCTGAGGATGCTGCTGCAGTGCACATTGCTTTCAATCGATTCAAGTTTGGGAACAAACCTTTGTCGTTGAAAATTTACTCAATGGAATGGAGATTGAATTTTGCTACACAAATTTAAAATTAAAAAAAATGATTAGACTACAGTACAGTAGGATCCAATATTTGCAAGTTGTGATTAGAAAGCTGTGGTGATTTGCTCTTCACCATCCTGTTGGTAGCAGTATTATTATTTTGTGGTATCTTTCGTCATCAGCTTTGTACCGGTACCTGTACGGTACCACTAAATAAAACTTTCCCGTTACCACAGCTAAATAATTCAAAACAGAACGAATGCCATCACTTTTTCAAAATTCAGGCCAATAAAATCTGCTTCCGTCTCGGCCACAAATCATCATACCAGAACGGTACGAATACAATACCTGGTATTGTATATCATCTTGATGCATTCGAACTCCAACCCAATAAAATCAATTTCATCATGAAGAAGAAGATTTCTATCGGCCGATTTTTCTCGGTGTTCAGTAGCAAGAAAAGTTCCAAGAAGACACAGCAGAAGCAACAGTCAAGCAGAAAGATCAGCTCGCCCACCGGACCGGTGTCTCACAATGTACTTTTGAAACAACCCGAAAGCTCTCATCAATTGGATGTTGATATCTGTCCATCGACATCTACTGAGACGGTAGAATCATTGAGAAACGAGCCCATGTCCCCCACCGCTGTAGAGGTCTCACTTGGCAGCACACCTACCAAAAACTCAAGGCATGGAAAAACGCCCAAAATGAAGAATTCAAAGAGATCTTCCAAGGGAATCCCTTACAAAGGAGGTTTCAAAGATCCGCTCGAGATCACAAGGAGACTTTTAGACGAAGAGACGAAAGAAGAACAAACTTCGTCCGGACCATCTGAACTAACAATTGGATACATTCTACGAGATCTTCGTGAGAGTGTGACAGTGGGAGAAGCCACTTCTCCCATGCAGAAGATTTTCAAAATGTTGAATGGTCGCTCTACTGATAAGTCTGCGAGAAAGGCTGCGGCTAAGAAGATTGCTCGAATGAATGGTATTGCGACTATCATCACGACGGTACAGAGATTTTTTCACGAGCAGGAGCATGATTTTTCAGCTCTTGCCATTCGGTGCCTAATTCAACTCACTCGCTTTTATCCTGATTGTAAAGAAAATATGGCAGACATCGGTGGCGCAGATGCCATACTGAATCTTGCCGAAAGCCACGGTGACGATGTTATGGTTACCGCCAATGCAGTTGGTCTTCTTTGCAATTTGTCAACCGTCTGGAGCACACAGAAACATGTAGCTGACGACAGGTGCATTGATTTTGTGGTGGAAGCGATGAGAAGTCATCCTTCTCATCGCTTTATTCAAAGGAACGGGTGCGCGTATCTCAGTTGTATTGGAAATGTCGATGGAATGCAAGCAGTATTCCGAAGAAAAGGTATTGACTATCTCCTTTTAGATACTTTCAACAACTTTCAAGATCGCCACGAGAGACCTGAGGAAAACTTATTCTTTCACAAGTGCAAGGAAATCCAAGCATTTGCAAAGCTAGGAATGGTTGTGTACATGTCCAAGATTCGAGAGAATACTTCAGACAATTGAACAGTATCCAAACTTCGATTGACAGTGAGGCCGGGAGCAGCCACTCGCTTCTTGGCCCCTTCAATTCTTCTTCATGGTGTTAATAATTAGTAATCATTTTGTAATTCATAAAGTAAAACCCTAATTTTCAAAACGTGAACGAATGAATAAACTAGACATGATGCATTATCGTGATGCTCTTGACTGGCTCTACTTTGGTAGCGGTAGACGGGCGTACCTACCCGACGAGGAGGAGAGCGGAGTAATAGAAACGAACAGCATAGTGTAAACACATCCTCCTCATAGAAGCAGGCTACCGGTACCTGGTACCGTCAACAAGAAGCAAGCCAGCGGTGACGTGAGAGGCCATTTAATCACGAACTGGAACGCTCGAGCGGTATGCTGCAACTTGTAATGAAAGCTGCGTCTTACGCTTTCGCTCGCCAGCCACGTAAAGGGACCATTTTCTCATTTTTTGGTTCTCCCAATGTTAGCGGCCGCCTTTTTACTCTTTCTACATTTTGTTTTTTATATCTGATCAACGAGAATTAGCGGATGTTGGAAAACCTTCTAACATAAAAGCGGCCGCATTTTGTTGTGTTTTCTCTGATCATCGCCGATACTTCGGAAGAGTGAATGATACAGGTATGCGTACAGAGTACCACCACCATTATCAATACATGTACGTGTCAGCAACAATAAGCAATTCCAGTCCTGAAACAGGATTCATTTCAGTCCCGATCACCGCGAATTCGCCGCGTGGAGATTTCGAAGTCAAAGGCAATGACAGCAACGAAGCACGACACGTTGGAAGCGTTGCTCATCAAATCTGACAACTGGTAGCTGCCATCTCGATGACACAATTCTCACCATGACATCAACATACATATCGGGTGGGAACATAGTCCGTGATCCTCAAGAACTGAGGTCCACAAGCTTTGTTCGGTGGGATAGAGTGTTGATGGTGTTCCTACCATTGCTCATCTTTGTCGTTTCGAATCCGGCAAACCAAGCCAAGGTTGCAGCCACGTTACATCAATCTGATTGGGATCTTTCATCTACTCAAGAATTGTTGGACTTCTACCAGACATACGGCATGTCTAGGTGGCGGACTACAAACTATGGCTTGTTTGCGCTGCAAAAACAGTTTGACCGTCTTGAGATATTTGCGTTGAACAATCGATGGGAGTGCTACTACAGCGATCCTCAAACTGGTATGATTTGCTCCGAACTAGGTAAATGTGATGTATCTATTCTACTTGCTAATAATCAGCTTTATGTCATCTCTCGTCTCATCGCCTGCTTCATAATGTCATCGCAGCTTCCTCGATGTCTGATGGATGGCCCAAATTCTGGGACCGTACCGACCGCGTCTTTTTGGCTACTCGAACTATTTCAGCGTGTCTAGTTTCATTCTGGATAATATTTTTCTTTTGTCCTGACTATTCCGTGACGAGACTGTCATTAACACATCCGACGCTCTACGCATTCATGTCAATTTTTTTACGGCCACATTTGATGGACTTGGTTACTACTAATACTGCTGTCTACATGGCACTCAAAGAGATGCGCAAGAACCTTGCCATGATCCGACCAGGATCCTTCTTTCATACCGGAGATGCAGACTCTGACTATACCTTGGGGGTCCTGATGTTGGTATGGATGATTGGGAATGGAGCAAACGCATTGGCATCGCGCCTGAACAGTTCTTACAAAGTAGTAGGGTTTGATTCGGTAAAAGCAGCATGCTTGATGTATCTTCATCAGTCTACGGTTTTTTCAGATACAATCTATTGGCTATTTGGTATTCAAGGTGTGACGGCTGCGGGTCTATTCTGGGCAAATGTTCCGATAATAGTCATGACAAATGACAAGCACAATTGGTTCCCACAGTTGGTGTCTTGGGTCATTGCTGGTTGGGCAGGGCACTTGTTGGCCAAGAACCATTTGGAGAATATATTCATTGTTGGACACTTGTTCCGGAGTTTGGGATTGACTTAGATGAGATGGGGACAATCTTGACATGAAACATGGTGCATCCTCGATGCAAGGGGCACAACCACTCTGCCGACTATCTTCCTTGAAAACGGTGATACACAGAGGCCTACCCTATGAAACCTGAATGACTCGAGACAATTATTGTCGACAAACTTCCTTTCTGTCAAAGGAAGCAACCATACGCCAAAGCGTTTCCATGCAGAACCATGTGCTCTGCCACCGGGAGCAGCTTTGATTCAAGACCCCCTTTGATTCAAGACCCCCTTTGGTTTTATTGATGAACCTGAATAGCTCGAGACAGTTCTTATTTGACAAACTTCCTTTCTGTCAAAGGAAGCAGCAATATGCCAAAGCATATCATGTAGAACGATGTGCTCTTGCCACCGGGAGCAACTTACAGTCAAGTCTTACGGGAGGGAGGCTTATTGATGATCCCGCATCTGGCTGTAGAGATGAATAAAGCAACTATCTGCCAAGGCATAAGGTATGCATCTACCTGTAGAACCATTTGCTCTGCTTCCGGGAGCAAACTTTGATTCAAGAGCCCCTTAGGCTTATGGTATTGATGAACCTGAGTGACTCGAGACAGTTCTTATTGACAAACTTCCTTCCTGTCAAAGGAAGCAGCAACATGCCAAAGCATAATATGCATCTGCCACCGGGAGCAACTTTGATTCTCAGAACCACTATGGTACAGATGAGTAAAGCGACCATCTTCTGCCAAGACAGAAGTCGAACATCGCATGCTTAGTCCGTGAGTAACATTAGCCACTGTTGCACTCTCGCTTATTGTTCAATCTGCCGAATCATGTGATGCTGTTCACGGGAGAACCTTCGAAGTTCCCGAGGAGATCGCCGTAGCTAGTATCGGTTTCTGGCAGATGATTTTGGTCTTGTGGCACCGTGGCGTTCCGGTACGGCACCCCACGCCAGTTTAGAAATGTGGTCTTGCCGCAATGTTTTACGGTGTTGACTTTTATTAGAGATATTCGCCTGGGCCGGGAGCCTTCTCCAGAAGAGGATCTTCTGTTTCTGAATGATTTAGTATCATCGATACGCTGGGTGGACATTAGTCAGTGTCCCCGTACCAGTGCTCTGTGTCCCGCGTCAGCGTGCGAGTACCCCCCCAGGTATCAGAAAACGCGACTCTAAAATGGAACGTTTCGGATAAATTTTGATCACAGTTCGGCGATAATTTAAAAATACCTGATTGCAGATACGGGATTGTAAGATGGCGTCCCCATGATTCGCAAGGACAATCCCTAAACTGCGGGATCATGATTTTTGCCGAAGATCCCCATCGAAAGGATCATGACCGGCACCAATAGGTTGAACACCGTTGACGGAAGCTTTTCCATTTCTCATTGCGGATGAGAAAAGATAGAGCGCGGATGACTGTTCGCCGCGAAACAACAACCTGCGCGGTCCTCATTTGTTAACTGAAATTCAGACCGATTTTTTACTCCAGATGAGCCGCTGAGCTGAAGTTAGTTAGAAATGGCTCATACTCGAATATAAGTCATCTGTCGTCTGTAGTTGCAGAGGCAAAGGTGAATCTATCATTCGAGAATTTCATCTCGCAAATTCTGAGCACACAAAATTGAACACAAAAAGAGAAGAATTGCATTATGGATGTTCAGAACTCTTCCCAAATTGATGCAGCAACTAATGCAGGCAATGGCTTTACCATGAACCAACAACAACAGCGACAACACAAGAGCATCGCTTGGTCAAACTGTGACGCTGCAGCTGCGGCTACAGCTTCATCCAGTGAAACTTTGTTGAACCATATGAGAAACACACTTCTCAACTCCCAAGTGAATGCAGCGCCATCTGCTCGCCAGGTTGCCAATGCCTTTTCCAATACCCACCAGCGTTCATCCGGATTTCCAAGTCTTACAAACAATCCATTTACCCAATCCAACCCTCAGCAACTAATGATTGGATCGATTGGAAGTGGTCTACCTTCTGGCATGAACTTTAATGGAAACATTTTTGATCACCCATTGATTAAGAACCCTGCTCTTCAGCCAACTCCTATTCAGGAGCTCAAGTCCAATGCCAACGTCCAAGGTAGCGGCGGTCGAGTCCAGCCCCAAGGCACCTTGTCCTTGTTGGATGAATCTTTGGAAGCCCTCTTGAAGGATGAGTCTTTTGGGCTTGGTACCGATGACCCAAGCCCACTCTTTCGTCAAGATCCTGCAGCATTTGTCTTCCCCAAAGACTCTCTTGATTCGATGCAAAAGAGATTGGTCCCCACTGGCGGACACATGATGATGATGCCAGATAATAGTGCCAAGAGGCAGAGAACTGGCTACGAGCAAAATTCTCGAGCTCCCCGCTTTAGACCCTACCAAGAGAAGCAATGGCAGGAGCAATTTGAGGAACTGCTGAGCTTCAAAGAAAAGCATGGCCATTGTCTTGTCCCACACAGCTTTGAAGAGAACCAAACCCTCTCTCGCTGGGTCAAGCGCCAGCGCTATCAATACAAGCTCATGAAAGAGAACAAGGTCACAACTATGACTGCCAGCCGTGTCGTTCAGTTGGAAGAGATTGGATTCATCTGGGACTCCCACGCCGCAGCCTGGCAAGAGCGCCTCGGAGAACTTGAAGCCTACCTCAAGAAACATGGGGACAGCCATGTCCCATCCAACTATCCAGATAACCCACAATTGGCCACTTGGGTCAAATGCCAGAGAAGACAAGGTAAATTGTACTTCAATGGTAGACCAAGCAACATGACCAACGAGCGCGTAGCCGCTTTGAATCGATTGGGGTTCTCTTGGGGAATGCGCCATGGACTTTGAGATTTTGTTGAACATTTTTGGTTTTGAGGTGTTATTAGAGTAGAATAGCGTACACTTGCATAAATTTTAAATATTCTTTTTCCATATTATACATCATAAAAATTGATCCGGATAGGACTAGTACCTGGTAGTCCTACCTTGCTGTATAATATAATCGTATATTCCATGGTTAGCTCGAAAATGCGGCTTTGAGCTGCTCTTCTCGACTGCATATTTTTTCTCTGGGTTGTAATTCACTTCGTTTGCGACTAGGGCTTCGTTCCTCTGCATCGATCCTGCGATAGCCATCCCAATTTACTGGATTGATTCCTTTCTCTTTCAAAGTCTCGTCGATGGATTTCCATCCTTCTTTTGGATCTACAGGAGAAGAGGACTTTAACGCATGAAGAATAGATGCCACAGTGTCCTTCGCATCCGTGATGTTGGTACCAATAATGCCGGATGGGCCCCTCTTTAGCCATCCAGAAACATACAATCCACCAAGGTCTTCCTTGGATCCTTCTATCAACCCGTGTGTATTCTTCAATATTCCTCGTTTGTCATCATACCATTCCTCAGTTCCAGGAATAGCGACACCTTTGTAGCCAATGCTGACTAGAGCCTATACACATGTAAAGTAGCAAAGCAACAACTGATGATGTGAGAACAAAGCAATAGCATTGACAAGCAAATAAGCAAATGAGTAGTATTTCTTTTCCACGTACCAATTGCGCCTCGATGGTTTCCATCTCTCCAGTACCTTCCGCCGATTGACTCCCAGCATCTCCAACCAGACGTGTTCGTTCACACGTGACATGTGACAGACTGGAACCATCTTTGGTTTCAAAGCTAGTCGGATTCAACAAGAATCTGAGGTGCACCTCTGCCGCTTTCTTTTGAGAATCATCATCATCCGTATTATTCTTCATGGCGGAAGTAGCAGCAGCAGCATCAGTCAATAGCTTCTCCATTCGTTTGCGAGGCCTTGCGGCATTGATTTCTTGTTTTGAAGCCTCGGTGCGTCCCATATCCAACTCGTCCTTGCGAACAACAAAGTTTGCATCGTCAAGTCGTGTCAACTCTCGAGCTTCCTTAATGGTAAAAGCCGCTTGAACGTGTCCCCGTCTTCCAATCACTGAGATTTCTCTCCTGTTTTGTTGGTCAATAATGTTCAAAGATCGCGCGGCAATATCGGTTGGATCGAGCTCCTCTCTCGTCTTGGCCAAGATTCGGGCACAATCCAGAGCTACATTTCCATGCCCGATGACAACAACTTGTTGCTGACCACTACCACGCTTTAAAGCTTTCTCTACCAATGGTCCGACCCATTCATAGTCCACATGACCATTGTACCATGATACGAATTCTCGAGCACTTAAAATACCCTCCAGTTTGGAGTTTTGGATGAAATCATAGGGTCTGACTGACTCACAGCCATAGGCAAGTACCACGACATCGTAAATTTCTCTCAATTCCTCCAATGAAATATCCGTACCGACAGTGACATTGCCATAAAAGTTTAGCAGGTTTTGGCCGTTATCCTCATTACCATCCTTCATAAAAAGACTGTCAAAATCATGGTGGACACTTTTGACTTCCGGATGATCCGGTGCTACACCGTTTCTCACCAATCCATAGGGCGTGGGAAGCCTGTCCAAAACGTCAATCTGTGAGTTTGCCATTGCATCCGATTTCAATAAATACTTGCCCGTGTAGCAACCCGATGGACCACTGCCCACAATAGCAATTTTCCATGCTGCTGCGGAAGAAGAATCATCATCCAACGCTCGCCTACTGCGGGACGTAAAGGGACGGATTCTTTGCCTTGGACAATGTCGTGATATTCTTGACGCCAACAAATGCAGCGGTTGTTGTATTCGGCGGTACATGTTTTGGGGAAGGTAGATGAAAGATTGCGGATAGGATGAAGACAATAGATATTAGTAACACTATGACGCCACGACATACAGTATTTGTCTGAGAGTGTTGTTTCAGTTGACGTCAGAAACAGATGTGTTCGGTCGTCTTGGTCAAATGTTGGGTAGTCGATGGGGTCAAAGATTGATCTCGGATCAGATCAAGATGCGCGCAAACATTCCGATCCACGATCCACCAGGAGCTACGTTGGCCGTCCAAATTCTGACCAGAACAAATTGAAAATTGAAAAAAGTAAATCTCCCCCAAGATATGACTCACTCGTGTGAAGCAAAGTCTCCCCCTCATCATTCCACCCACTTGTGGTACCCAAAAGTGGGAATGTAGTCTTCCAAAACATGTGAGATGTGGGAGCACAGGAGAGAAAGTCGTGTAGAGTTATTCCGATCAGAAACACAATCATCATCCACTGCATGAACGACTCATTTACCACCATGAGGATGCTTGGCAACTCATTCGTGGATACGACATGATCTCCTTTGATGATGTCACACAGTCTTATCAAACGAAGAAGAAGCAAGCTAACAATCAGACAACTCAGCTCACTATTTCGACAGGAAACAAGACCAACAACAACACAATGTTTTGCGCAACCAACATAATATCTAAGAATACACTTGACCAGCCAGAAATATTTTCCATGGACAGTTCTAGTAGTGGTGACAGTGGCAGTGGCAGTAGTCTGGAGAAAGAAACGTCCTCCGACAGCAGTCTGGAAAAAGATCACTCTGTGACAAGTCGCATCACGGATTACGATACCTCGGATGATGAAAATGCTTCCGCCATTGCCATTTCTGGTGGAACGCCACAAAGAGACTCCAAAGTTAGGTTCGATTCCGTCGAAGTCCGAGAATATCCAATCATCCTGGGTGACAATCCATCCTGCCGTCAAGGTCCTCCCATCACCATTGGGTGGGAACCAAAGTCGGACGTCTTCACTCCAGTCGACGAATTTGAAAAACTGCGTTCAGAGGAACGTCACAGCGATCCTGATGAAATGTTTGTATCCTCCTTTAACCGAATTGATATTTTGAAGAAACTGGGATTTTCCAGACGGGACATTAAAAAAGCAAGCTCCAAAGCCTCCAAACTTCGGAAAAAACGCGATGAGACCAGCCAACATGAACAGAAAATTGAACCCTTGCGTCAGTTGAAGGATCGGACAGTGGAATTGCTGTCTTGCAAGAAGACTACACGAGAATCCTCGCCGCTGCGTTCCAATGACGTGCATGCTTATGAAGACGTAGCAGTGTAATCCAACAGCTTGAGAATTTTTTTTTTGAAACATTCCACTCAGCTGCATGATGCAATACACATTTCCATAAATAATAAGTTTTGAACATATACATAATAGACGAAATAAATACACTTTCAAAAGGCCCGTCGATTGTTAGTTTAAAGGATTATTATATTTGCGTCGTCGTCTGTGAATCCCATACATCTCCGCTTTGCATTCTCTAGTTCGGATGTAATGGCAATACAATATTCCAGTTAACTACTACCGGGTAGGTTAGGACTACGCACCCCATATTCCCGTTTCATCATCCATTGGCCAACTAGCCAGGGCTTTAGGACCCTGGGCTTCTGCTGGCAAAAAGGCTAGTTCTTGTCCAGTCTTGTCCAATACGACAATCGCTGGCACTCCCGATCGTCGACCAAACCCAAACTGCATTGCTTCGCTTCCAGCCCAAATCTCATAGTCTTTCTTGAGTTTGGCACAAGATTCTCCAAACGGAACCATTTTCATATTCAATGCAGTTGCTCGTTCTGTGGCGGTGTTGGCATCCTTGTCAGAACTGACATACAGAAATTCCACTGGTTTGTCCGATTCCTCACATGCCTGTCGAAAGGTTTCCAAGGATGGTTCAAAGGCTCGAGTACACATGGGACACCAACCTGCACTAAAGTACAAGGCAACGCGTTTGTTTTGGAAAATAGCATCAGAAGAATCACATTCGATCTCCTTGCCACTGGATGGATCCATCACAGGAAAGGATAGTTGCTTAGACGAAGCACTAAGAGCTGTGTAGGAAGAAGATGATCTCATCCAAGCACATCGTGAGGTTTGTGACACCATGGAAGACTTTGCCAAAAGGGCCATGGGAAGTATCAAGGGGTGCACCATTGTAATAACGAACTTTTGTGTTTCTGATGATTGTGATGTATAGTGCGATGTCAGATGTGTGTGTCAACTGTCATCCTTCATTTCGAAAAAGGCCTCTTCAAATCCAAATATGGTGCCTGTCCGTCATCATACTCCCCGAAGTCCGAAGTTTGAAAATCCCAAACCCTGCACAATAAATTGAAGTATAGTCAACACAGCGTGTGCAGAACGATGTTGTGACAATAACAAACACAACTAGACCCTGATACTTCCCATTGGATAATTATTGAGAAATGTTCCTTCTTCCATACGCGCTCGTGATTCTCTTGTACGGTGGAGCAGCTGTTGTGAGGACGATTCTTAAAAGAAGGCCATCAGTCGTGAATCCTAGGATTGCCAGTTATGATAGCAATGATAAGGATACTATTGACACATCTTCTTCTTCTTCACTCGCTCAAGTGAGATTACTGCAAGCTCCAGAAGTGACTTCTACTCGAGGTGGAGAATTGGAGCATCTAGAGTTTTGGAATACTCACTCTCGGTTGATCCAGCTTGCTTGGCATGAATGGGAACGAGAGATGATTCGACGACAGAATAGTGAGCAAATACAAGGCAACGAAACCTATCTTCCATCGTTGGACGAAGACACCATGATGGAACCAACGCTGAAAGAAAGGATCCAGCAAATATGGAAGAAACCGTCTTTAGAAGCAGAATTGGAGTTGCAAGCCGCCATCTGGGAGGAACCCATTCGAAATGTCCACACCTGTTCCTCCTTCTTTAGTCCACAAGGTATTCAAAACCTTCGACATCATTTGTCGCTCATGGGACAAGCTAACATTCCAACTCGTCGACCAAATGGTATGAATCGAAATGGATTCGTCTTGGACGATGAAACCGAAGGAGGGGTCAGCTATGTGTCTGTCAATGACTTTCGTGGCTGGCTAGTGGACGATTATCTTCGTCCACTCGGACGCATGTTCTTTCCAGAATATATTGGTAGCGATGAGGACGATGAATCATCGTATGCTTTTACCGTACATTACCAATATAACGACGGCAGAGGAGACAATGTTGAGAGCACGAATACGAGTGCCACGAAGAGGCCAGATGTGAAACTGAAGGAACATTCTGATGCTTCTGTCGTGACCGTCAACATCAATCTGAACCTTCCCGGAGAAGACGAATATGGTGGATCGCAACTGCTCTTTCTTGACGATAACGACGATGATGGGCCTGGTACTAACTCGACAGAGCAGCGACGCAAACAATTAGAATTCCAACCTGGAATGGCAGTCATTCATCGAGGTTTGCACCGACACCAAGCCTTGCCAATAGAAAAGGGCGAACGTCATCAGCTCATCATTTGGTTATTTGGAAACGATGGCTATGTAAGGGTTGCTCCATATAAGCCAAAGGAGCAATTGTCTGTAAAGAAGCGTTGGTCCAAGTCGAAGAATACTGGGGGAAGCAATCACATGCGGTCTTTGGGAGGAGGCAACGACTTGAATCCTTTTGAACTTTGATCCGAAACAAACAAATCATATATAAAAGTAGATTCCATTTTTTCATTTCTAGCTTAGTGTGTTTTTTCAATATCGTATCATATCATTTCCCAATACAAAAAAGCCCGAAATGCTTTGTTACTCCAACTATTGCAACGAATCCTCCAAGAACGAATACTCGAAACGAAAGTCTTGCTTGATGCGCGTACACCAGCCGGTTTCGTAGTCAAAATACACATAAGTTCCTTGCTCGTATTCCTCGGTGGTAACTTTGGGCTCTTCATGGCGTTGGAACCAGGTCATGTACTTCTTGTGGAAGCGCCAAGACTGCTTTTTCAATTCGCGAGCAGCCAAGTACTGTTGGTAGGTTCCTTGGGCATAGTAGAAGATGAAGAATAGACAGTCAGTTCCTAGCTTTTCAAACACTGCAGGGTTCTCAAAAATTGGAGAAGGCTGCGAAGGGTAACTTGCAGGAGTCGGGTAAGGATTCTGCGGTGTGTAAGCCCTCGCACGTTCATTATCGGCAGTACCAGGCATGGTTGCAAAACTCTCGTTCAAAGCGGATAGATAGCTTCCATCGGGAGCTCCGTTTTCTCCCACTGAAGCAGCTAGGTTCAATCCACCAAGTCCAGAAGTCAACAAATCTAGGCCAACGACACCAGCTCCACCAGCACCAGCTCCAGTAGATCCCTGACTTGTTTGGCTTTGCAGCACAGGCTTTTTCTCGGGAGTTTGGGCCTGTTGTTGCAGCGCTTGTTGTTGAGCAGCTTGTTGTCGCTTCAAAGCTTCCTGCTGTTGCGCTTGTTGCTGTCGCAGCACCTCCTGCTGTTGTAACGCCTTTTGCTTCGCAGCGGCTTCTTGCAGTTGCTGTTGCTGGCGAAGGACCTCTTGTTGTTGTCGCAGTTGAGCTTCTTGCTGTTGCCGTTGCACCAGTTGTTGTTGCGCCACTTGTTGCTGTCGTAGTTGTTCCGCTGCGCGAGCCTAATATAAAGAAGTCGAGACTAAGCTGAGAGAAAAATCCAGAACAACAAGCAACAGATGCCATTCATGTCTCACCTTTTGACGTTCCTTCTCCTGCTGCTCCGTTTCGCGTTTAAGAATAGCAGCCATACTTGCTCCAGGTTGTGGTGCTGGGGTGGCGGCAGGTCGTGCAGCGGGGATAGTTGTCGGTGTTGGCCCCGCCGACCCGCCAGATGACGTTCGTTTACTCGGGGTTAACTCCTCCTTTTCATCACCGCCACCTTTGCCAGAACTCTTACGTGCCCGTCCAATCGTCATGGGAATCACACTAGCAAGCCCTTTTTTGGATGATTTCTTCTCTCTGCTTCCTTTCGTTGAGGCAGAAGCAGCATCATCATCCTTTGACTTCTTCACAGGTTTGGTGTCGATATTCGTTACTCGGTCCACATTGACAACTCCAATCTCCTCCAGGTTCAGGGCCTCATAAAAGAACTCTTCATCGTAACCTTGTTGATAATCAAGGTCTTCATATGCTTCAAGGTAGTACTCGAGGTCCTCCTTGATAGGATTAACAATGTCAACATCCAGCACATCATTGGTCACTAATCGCATGATACCTTCCAACTTGTTAAGATGGTACTTGTGACAGGTAATGTAGTGGTTGTAATCGTCAATGGTTGACTTGTTTGTCTTTTTGCCTTTTCCACTACTTAACCTCTCGATCTCAACTTCTCTATCTTCCACCGCTTGCATCAGCCTGTCGATAACCTCCGAAATCCACGCATTCGTATCCTCTTTCGCTTGCTCCTGAGGATCCAACTTTTCCTGTCTCGCAAGCCCCTCCTTGGAATAGGTTTTCGTCTTGGTTTCCTTCTCACAAATCTTAAACTGTTCCATCTTTGTCTCAATCAGTTTCCGCGCATCTATCAGTGGATCTTTATCCTTAACGTCGGATGATGAAATCCAAGTTTTGATCTGATCTCTCAGCCTTTGCAACTTTTTGATTTCCTTTTTCAGATCCATTTCGTACTTCTCCTTCTGGTTTTGTTGCTCAGCACTGTAGACCTTTTCCCAGATTTCGTCAAACAGTTCAACGCCTTCATCCACTTTTTTCATTACCCGATCAATCTCGGCTGCGAAAACAAACAGGAAAAGGAAATAACAACGAAACAACAAGGCCAAAGGTTAAAATATCATCAGACATCATGTTTGCGTAACAATAAGCTGGCATATTTTTCTATTACGCACTCTGGAGTTTCCGTGAGTTTGCCATCGTCCCCGCTGGCATATTTGAAAGGGAACTTTTTCTACCGGTAGTGCTGCTCGAAAGCACAAAGACAGCAACACAATGTCTGTCGACGACAGGTCGTATGCCATTGCCGCAGCCTGGCACTGCTACCGTTATCGAAAGCTAGTGGCATTCTACGACGATGCCCGTGTACAAGATTTACGTATGCGCGGAAACGTGCGTACGAAGTTTGGATGTTTAATGGCGGGAACTAGAAGAGGCCTTTGAACGGTTTACAGACGAACGCATACCGGTATTGCCAACTTATTTCAGTGTGATTTATTATTTTTGTTATGATGATTGATTGATTTGTTCAATGATCAATAAAATCTGTTTGATAGTGCCTGCAGCAGTCAATGATTAAAAGCGAGCATTGAAACATGCAGTTAAACGAGTACCGATTCCAAGGTAACGAGGGAGAAGACATACCAGAAAGCGTTGAAAAACTGATTGTCAATCAGGGCGTCCGGGTTTTGCCCGATGAGTTGTGTGACAATTATGAGTGTTTGCGGGAAATAACTCTTTCTGAAGGATTAATCAAGATTGGGGAACAGACCTTTTGTCGGTGCAACAGTTTGTTGGCAATCAGCATTTGTAGCACTGTAGTATGCATTGGAGTGAATGCATTTGAACAGTGCGAGCTCCTGACGAAAGTAGACTTTGAACAGTCACCGTGCTTCCCCCATCATCATCTGAAGACAATTGGGGCACACGCTTTCCACCATTGCCTTTCACTACAAAGAATCAAGATACCCTCGTCGGTGAACATGATTGGCTCATTTGCTTTTGAAGGTTGCGCCGCCTTGGTAGAAGCAATTCTATCTACAACGTCCGTCACGGAGGTTCCCAGTTCTGGGTTCGATGGCTGTGGCTCCCTGCAAACTACCAAAGTCATTGGAGCGTATTTGTGACTGTGCGTTCTATGAGTGTAGCTCCTTGGTTACAGTGATAATTGCCCTGGATTCGCATCCCATCGATATTGAAGATGAAGCGTTCTATTGCTGCAGTGCTCTAGCCAATGTCGTGCTTCCACAAAATTCGAAGGCCACAGCTGGAGACTCGTTTGATGGGTGCACGCTGTTGAAAAATCGTTTTAGCAATATAGCAGACAATATCATTAGAGGATTGATATCTCGATTGGACGACTTGCCAGTGCATAAACTTTGCCACTATCATTCGTTGGCCACTGTTGAAGGGCTCCGACAGGGCATCGAGGACCAAGAAGAAGTGGGGTCATCACTGGTGGACGAGTTCGGTATGACCCCATTTCACATTCTATTTTCGACTATTGAGCCAAGCCAAGAACTGCTCGAAGTCCTTCTCGAAAATTATTCAAACAAAACTCTGGACCTCAAAGACGCAAATGACAAATGGGCAGTGGAGTACTTGGTCTCCAACTGGACTGAAACAACCTCAGCTTTGCTTCGAACAGCACTTCAAAAGTGGATTGTTGATCCACTTGTTCGTTGGGGAGCTATCTCGTGGACGGAATCGATGCTACGGTGGGCGCAAGATATACTTGAAGAAAATGACAAGGAGCGAAGGTCAACGTTTATCAATGGAGCGTATTCCGAATTTGCACTCTATAACGGTGTGGAAATCACATCGATATTGGAGATGGTCTTGTGGAAAGGACAACTCAATCATGGACTGATCAATCATGATACCCAACGACAGGCTGTAGACCGACAAGAGCTCCGATGTGTCTGTGGATCTGGCGTTGTAATTCCGAGCGTAATTCAGTTCTTGGGAGTCCCAAGAGTAGCATCTGAATCTCAAGACAATCAAATGTATGTCCATCGATTCCATTTGGTAGTGTAGATAGTATTGGTACTTCCATCCACACTTTTGTAGATACCTGGTACCGGTAACTTGCAATATAAAGCTATATAGATCGATTGAGGAAGCAAGGCAGATGGTTGACTACGTCTACCAGTGAAGCAGATGATAGTGTTATCATATGAATATGTATCATCCCATTTGAATATGCTGACTTATTCTACTATATTATAGTAGAAATTTCGTCTGACAATAGATGAAATTGCTTTCCATCAAAGAAAACAGGGTCTTCAAGGTCGAGGGGAGTGTCGTCAAAATTCAAAAGAAAGCTTATATCATCATCAATCGCTGCAGGCGGTGGTGCAAGGTATGTTGAGAGATCTTCGGTATCTGGCAGCATAGAAGTCTGTTGACAATATGGCGTGATGTCATTGTTGATTGTGATTAAATTCGTAGGTATCGGTTGCATGTCCTCGACTGCCTGCGTCGATGACGAGATGTTTGAAGATGATTTTTTCCTTGGCTTGTCTTGACCGACAATTCGGATAATTTTCGTACACATTTCTTTGTTGCCTCGAATCAAGTATCGATGACGGTACGTGTAGGCACCTTCCAACCCGCCGTTGTTCATTATGCGAGTAAAGTTATAAAAGTTTAGCTGTCTTTGAAAGGACTTGAATTTGCTTTGATTGAAGTAGATAGGAAGCACATCTGTCATGAATCGATCGATGTCGTGGACGCGAAAGGAAAGGCCATCGGGAGCCCAGCTGACGACATCTTCCCATTGTTTTTGTCGAGCTTCTTGGAGCATTGAGTATAGCTTCATCGGGAAAGGATTGGCCATCTTTCGAGGACGTGATGCTTTTCGCTTCTTGCTGATCGTGGAGAGATCGAGGTTCTTAAAAAAGGCTGACATGAAGACTTGTCGTTTGCAGGTGTAATTTGTGAGGAATCGCTCATCAAATGATTTGTTGTTGACCATTGCTGATTTGGCAAGATCGATTATCTTCCTGGGCAGTTTCAAGTTTCGAAGGGATCTTGATGCGCGACCACATTTTTGTTCTGTACGAAAGACACCACCATTCTTTTCTAATAATATAAAAAAGGAAACGTCCAATAATATGTTTCTCAAATAACGTCGAAACGTGTACAGTGGAGGCGTTTCGGACCTCTGGTTGACAATCGACAGACCAAGAACGCACGTGTATGCGTGTATCTACTATCCTTGCTACAGTTGCACCTATCGGTAGATCGGAATGGGACCAGAACAGAAGCGCCAGTACCGGTAGTAGTGACGATGGCACTTTACCTACATCGTATCAGATACTCACGACTCAGTTGCTGTCACCTCTTTTCGAAGCTCACATTGTCGGAGGCAAGAAAGAAACGTGCAGCAGGTCTTCTGTTTCTACCAAAGGTCCATTTGTTTAGTTGAAGAATTGGGTAGACGTTTCATACAGTAGAGGAGCGCGTGAAAGTGATTGATTGATTCCCAGGACCGCGTGGAACATGCGTCGCATTTTATTATAAAAAGGGGTACTTTTACATGCGTTCCTGTTTTTAGGGTGAGTTGGTCCAGAATGCACAAACATTTCTCCGTTACACCTATCTCTAATTAGAGAACCCTCGAATTGACAACACGACAATGGGCAATTTCCAGTCGTATCGTCGCGAAGAATAGTCAGTATCATTCTTCGATAGATGAATCGTCTCCATTGAGAAACAAGAACCATTCCTCACTAGAATTCGGTCAATCTTGAGAAACAACAATCCATCTGCTCACAATATCCTTCATCCCACAAAAACAAAATCGAACCCACAAATCAACAACATAGCACATTATAGGTCATGTCCCTTTTCGTATCAAAGCTTGATTTCTCAAAGCCCTACCCAAAGCCAAAGAGAAGAACTGGTGGCTGCAAGCCGTTAAACCCTTTCCCAGTCAAGCTCTACAAGATGATTATGCACTTGGCCGAAAGGGGGCAGGATGACATTGTCAGCTGGGGACCTGGAGGCGCTTCCTTCCTTGTCCATGACACTGAACGTCTCGTGTCCGAAGCCTTGCCTACTTATTTCAACCAAACAAAGTATAAGTCGTTCCAAAGACAACTGAATTTTTATGGCTTTGAACGCATCTTGGAGGGCCCTCTCGAAGGATCCTACTGGCACCCCATGTTCCGCAGAGGACAAGAGCAAATGTGCCGCAATATTGATCGTAAAGATCAGAAGCAAACGAAATGCAAGTCTTCCGTTCCCCGAATGATACTAGGTCTCCAAGATATCATCATTCCCAGACACACTTCTGAAGTAGCACAAGATGCTGAGTTAATGAAGGCCCCCGAACCACAACAACATAAATGCAGCCGAATATCGTTCGAGAACCTTTCCGACATGAATATGGAACGCATTGAATTGGAACCTGCTTCACTCATGCTTCAAAAGAGCATGTTCACATTGGAGCCCAAGCCCTTTCCGCCACACGAAAGCATCCTCGCCAACGGACAACATTTTTACAACTTTGGCAAGTCCTTTTTCGTTGTTGAAAACGACTTGGGCGAACTACTTTCAAAGCACGCTACTATTTAAAGTTGGGCGACTGCCTTGATGGCTCATCACCATAATAGAAAAATAGAACGCTTCCATTCATTCCATTCATAGGTGTCCAATTATCTGCTATTATTCGTTATAATACACTGTTACAACGGAGGCAAATTATCAAATGCAAGATCATTGTCACCTTCATTTCATACCTCATGGTATACAGGAACGTCATCTTGTTCCTGCTTCGCCCCATCCTTGCGCTGATCAGCTGCCAGCAATAAGGATGCCATGTTGTCTTGGCTCTCGGTCGCAGCCGCAGCGGCCACAGCAGCCGCAGAAGCCACCGCATCCACCAAGGATGGATCGGCAACAGTCTCTTGTGCCACAGCAGCCGCAATGACCGAATCCCAGGATTGCTTCCACTGGCTCAGCAAGTAAATCGACTTGGACAGCGAGTTAAAAGCCTTGTCATACAACGCTGGGATGTCTTCGCTATTGGTGGCATCCGCTGCAGCATCCACAGCCGCATTGGTGGCGGCCTCTTCTGGAGTCATGGCGCTGACCACAGCCGCAGCCCGAGCAGCAATGTCAGCGACACTCTCGTCGGAACCCCCGTCCGACCCGTTAGGTGCCGATGTAGTGGTAGTATTACTCGAGACGGCATTCACTAAACGATCCGTATCTCGTACAGCCTTGAGTACATTGGCGGTCATATCAATTCCAATATCATGAAACGAATAGCCATCTCGAATGGACTTGGCCCCGTCAATCGGTGGTCCATTCAATATAATGGCATCGGATTGAAGATTGACCGTCTGACCATTGAGTTTGACCTTCTTTTGGCCGGGTCCAACGGCGTACAAGACACTGGAAGGTCCAATGTCCGACGCACGCTTGCGTTGGGTCCGTCTCTTTTCATTGAGATTGCGCTGACAGGTAAAGCACAATCCCGAGCGCATGTAGAGAGAGGATGGTTCGTTGGGATCACTATCATAGAGCAACACAGGAACACCCACTTTGGGACATTCTGGATGGTGGCACTTTTGCTTGCCGGCGCCATTGGGGCAGGAAATGTTGGGAGACACACTGGAAGCTGCGAGATCGGCTTCGTTGGGGACAATGGAATAATCAATCAAGATGAATCGCTTCTTCTTGAGACGGACCATGACTTGTCCATCATGAACGCCTTCTACACCTGGGCGACGGTGATAAATGTTGCCATTGGCTCTGCCCAGTCGTAATTCGAGATCGTCGGAAAACTCTTCCATGGGAAGAATCACTTGGACTTCATTTGGATCACCATGATGCTCTCCCATATCTTCATCGACTGCCACTGCGTCTGCCATCTAAGAACAAGCAATTGAGTTAGATATGAACGAATGCAATGGAGAAGAGATGGCTTGGATTGTGGAAGTGATGCCATCAGCCATCAGGATGATCAGAATGAAATTTCAAAAAAATTGGCACGTGGAAATCAACGCAGATTCCCTACTACCAGAGTATTATTGGGATTGAGTTCGGGTACGAACAACATGGTTTCCTTCAAGCATCTCGCTTCATTTCCAACACTCTCCATCTATCCAACAATAGGAACTCACATTTCCAAACTTTCGAGGTATCTTCCAAAGTGACTCAAATGCGCAGGTTGTTGTGCGGTAATGGTTTGTTGCGCAGTTGTTGTGCGGTTTGCTTGGAGACTGTATTTTATTTTGCATTCGAAATGAACAATCGCACATGCGGCAGCGCGGACGGAGCGAGTGGTCCGCAAGATCGCGCCCGAAAAGTGAGCATTGGAAATTCGTTTGGAGGACTTGCAAAGTCTTTCAAATGTTACTGACCTGCCTGTGACGGGGGCATGGACGGACGACGAGCCAGCGAGCGAGCGAGGAAATCATCTCCATTGATTGACTATGCCGACTACTCCAAGCTGCGTATTCAATATTCTACAACAACACCACGAGAAGCCACCCCAACTTGACATTGCCCTGCTGAACCATCATCATGGACTCTGCTAGCGCCATTTTGAAAAAGACAAATCCAGCAGAACTGGCACAGGTAATTAGAACTGTTTTTTCTTTTCATTTTGAGTCTCTGGTTGCAATAACATTGTGAATCCGTCCACGCCGACCAACACTTCGTTTGCCATTCATTTTGTTGCACTTTCATAGAACGTGGCTGCCATTGAATCCTTGATTGGTAATGACAAGGCCACCCTTCAAGCATTCCGTCACAAGAACATTCTTCCCTTTGATCCCTTTACGACCGTTCCTCCTCCGGAAAAGGGCGAAAAGGTGGAGAAACCCTTTTTGAATTGTTCGTACAATCGTGCGGAAAAGGGAGGCTACCGGAGTCCGTGGACGGGTCGGTATTATTTGATCAACAAGACCGCCAGTGAAATCGACATTAGTATTTACGAAAAGCCAGTGCCACAACAAGAAGAAGACCTCCGTCATTTGGAGAACATTGCCAATGAAGTTTGGGAAGCCTATACTCATTTGTATTATGGCCACGGAGGCATAGGCAGTGTCTATATGAAACCGCTTGACAAGGGTGGTTTTGAAGGACTCTTTGGTGTTCACAAACGAACGGAAGAAAACGGAGCTTGGGACAGTGTGCATTTGGTCAAGGTGGACGAACCAGACATGTTGGAAGGAACCTGTACCTACAGGGTGGAATCGGCCGTGGTCATGTCCTTATCTCCAGCGAATGACCAAGCCACGATTAGTTCTTCCCTCACCAAAGATACAGTCAAGACTTGTAATATTCGTCACAATCACATGAACGGAAGTCATTTGGAAAATATTGGCACCATTTTGGAAGATGTGGAAATTGACTTTCGATCTCGGATGGAACGGGTGGACATTCCCAAGACTATGGATGTTGTGGAGTCAATTTATAGAAAACAAATGGTAGGATCTGCCGTCCACTTGATCAAGGAACGAACTTCCATGACTTCTATTAGCAATGCGGGTGCCGGTATGATTAGTGAAATTGCCAATATGGCCAATAAGAAACGGAGTTCGGCAGTCATGGCGGCCATGAAAAGGAATGAAAAGCTTCGGGAGAATAATGAAAAGGTGGCGGTGGACAAGGATACCAGAGGTGATATCTTGAACGACTTTAAAAACAACCTCAAAGTTGCGGCACCCGTACCTACGCCGGTGCAAGTTGGAGGCACACCGACACCGGAATTCCTCAATTTTCGTGACAAACTGAAAAAGAGGGAAAGCAAACAATGAAGCAGGTTGTAGCTGTTGTCATGATTATTATCAGTATTAGGTGCTTTGCAAAGGCAATTATTGCACCTAGTGTAGTGCTGCTGTTATTATTTTATCGAGAGAAATAATTGTAACTTGGAACCAATGGCAACACTATAAAACTACTGTATGTTCAATGTCCGTCATTCGATCTTGCTTGTATTAATATATATTACAAAAATATAATAGTCCTAGCAAGAAAATGAAACCGAGTATGAATATTAATAAGTAACCTTTAACTTTAAAAACTTACAATACATGAAACAAGCATGATATATGTGACAACATGAATGGCCTTTTGATCCACTATTGAATGGTCTAAACAGTTTCCCGGGCCCGTGCATCCGTCTGTGTCACGATCCACCACCTCTTGAAATCTTCAAAGGATATGAGTCCACTTCCATCCTTATCAATTTGCTTAAATGCCTTGAAGGTGTACACATCATCAAATTCCAATCCCAAATCCCATAGCAACTCGGCAAATCCATTGACATCAATTTGGCCATCCTTATCGCCATCATTGGCATCAAATCTTCCCCACAAGTACGCTTCGTCCGTGAGCGACGACTTCATGCGATCCAAATTGTAAGAAGCCCTCGCACCCGCCGCAATCGCAATCAAACCCAAGCCGCACAGCGCCGGTCCCGTGTAAATCACATACTCAAAATCAATGGTCAAGTTCATGGTGCCCGCAAAAATATACAGCAAGCCACGGCCCCAGACCAATCGCAAAATATTCAAGTACCGCGTCACCACCCCCCGCACCCGGGCTCTAGCATTGAGCGGCGATCGATTGAACATGAGCACGCGGCCTTCCAAAAACAAAATCAGGGTGCAGAGGACGACCGTGTGAAAGGCTCCAATCAAATTGGGAACATTCCAATAGGCCGGCATGGACACGATGGGCCAAAGAGTCGTGACAATGCAGGCAATGCTCAGCAAGATGGCGGGGATCCGAATGATGGTGGGACCTTCTTCCGCGGCGAATTTCCATCGCATCAAGTGGCCATTGGCAAAGCCATTCAAGGTCAAATATTGGCCATTGCGGGTAATGGAAAAGTTGGATTCAGATTCTCCCGATTGGACGGTAGCCCCGTCATTGCCGCCGCCTTGTTCGTTCATCAAACTGTATTCGTCTGGTTGATTAACAGCCATGGATTCATGGGTAGATGATGGTGGTTGCGTTTGTTGAACCGTTCGTCGAGGAGAGGAATGCCGGGCTGGAGAAGATGACATTTCATAATTGCCGCCTTGTGATCTGGAAGGAGATGATGACGCGTTGGGGGCATTGTATTGGCCCGTCGACTGGGATGCCGAGTCGCCTTGTTTCTTTTTGAAGAATCCCATCTCGTGTTATATATATATATTGCCAGAGAAGAAGTTGAGGTGCAATGCCCTTCTTCACATCTACCGGCAAAGGTCAAACTTATTTTTCGCTTGGTTGAAGAGGAGAGGCAATCTTGGGGGGAGAGAAAAAATTGATCCGTTGGATCCCGCCGGCATTTTATTGGAGCGCTTTTGCAATGACATCATTGGCGGACGGAAACCCTATCTGGCCCTCCAAGAAGGAGATCAGAATGACAATGACATGCTCGCGCTTTCGGTGCAATAGAGAATAAGAGAGAAGGAGACCTTGGCAAATCTTTTTTATTGTGATACTCGTAGAGATAAATCCGTGACACACCTGTCAACATACCTACCGTAATAATGAGGCGGTCAATATGCTCTTCTCTTTCCATGTGTTATTTCTGGATCATCGTCACCAATAATGGTGCATCTCATGCTTGGATCAGTACAAGTACAAGTACACCTACACGTACATGTACATCCACTAGCAGTAGTAGAACAAGGATATCTTTTGCAATTCCTCCTCGACCAACCACCACCACCACACCCTCCACTTCCAGCACGCAACGATCATTATTCGATGATTCATCATTCTCCATTTCGGAAATTTTGGATAGTGATGCACTTGAATTTACTACTTTGAACAGTACTCCATTCTTGGTAGCATTGGTAGCCATATGCATTGGTGTCGCTGCCCAGACCTTTATCAATCAAATGCTCGAGGGTGATCAAGGGTTAGGAGCCTTTTTGAAGGATGGAGCGGGGTACAACAAGTCGGGATTTCGACAACCGCCAAAGCAAGGAGATTATGAAAAGAAGGACCCGTTGCCCTGGTTGCAATTGCCCAAATTGGATTTTGTCGAAGTGGCAGGACAGCAAGATGATAGTCTGGCATTTGCCAAATTGGAAGAATTGCGAGTGCAAATGAATGAACAGTTGGATTTGGGGAATATGGAACAAGCTTCGAGATTAAAAGAACAATTGGAAGAAGTCATGGAAGCGGCAGGCATAGAATATACAGCGGAAATGGAATAGAGTATGAATATAGAGGATATTACAATAGAATGAATGTTCCGAACTGTCAAGCACTTATTGTCTTATGTCCGTCTTTATCAAAGTCATCTCATACTCATGGCTTGGCTTGGATCAGCGGTGCAGATTAGAAAGCGATTGTATAATCCCTACCCCCTTGAACATATTAGAAGCATTGAAGCACTACTGTACAGACTCCTTCATTCAAGCAATGGCGCGATAGATTGTGACACTGCTCCGGGCTACAGACCAGTTGTAATGGATGATTGGTTCATTCATTCATTCATTCAGGTATTGGAATATCTCACGGTGTCGTATCGCAGCAATCCTCCTACTTCATCGCTACAAGTAAACCAGGCCATTGATTCCTCTTTGTATAATAATAGAGTCGGAATCCAGTCAGTACAACCCCAACATTGACCAGGAACACCATCTTCCCAAACTAAGCGTGGTCGAAGCGGCTTGTGGTCGCATACCTGAGAAATGCAATATTATCCTCCTTAGCATTCATTACCTCACTCATTCCTGACAATGATGATTCATTCCATTACGTCTCATCACTCCCATCCGGACAATCCTTGACACCATCATGGACCCTCGAAGCGTATATCCGTTTGGAAGGATCGGACTTGCACGCAAACATCTCCTGTTGAATGACCAAATGGGAACACGCCGAGGTTGCTGGTTCATCACTTCCATCGGCGCAGTCGCAATAATCATCATTTTCAAATCCTGTAACACCATTGGGACAGACTACTTGACGGGAGGATCCATGTTTGCCACGAATTCCAGTGGCCTTGTTTTTGCGGTTCTGTTCGAGTTTGTGATAAAGATATTGCATTTCGTGTTGGACTTGGTGGTGAAAGTCGACTTTCAAAAACGAAGAAAGGAAAAAAAAAGACAGGAATGAATAAATGAATAAGTGAATGAATGAATGGTTAGCTAACAAAAGGTGCTATGATGGAACAATTCATTGACAATCAACAATCAACAACCACAACGTACCTTGTGTCCAGGAAAATGGAAGCAGCATCAACGACAAAGACCCAGATACAATAGTCGCACACATTCCTTTTAGAAATAATGTACACCACACTTTGAGTCGAGTTCGTTTTCGCAGTCGCTTTCGGCTCTTTTCTGCAATCCCACTGGTTGTGGGAAGACTACTCGAGGACGGGGCACTGTGGAGTGGAAGCAGCACGCCTCCACTAGGAACATTTCGTCGCAAACGCAATTGCGAAGCATCCATGATTATGTGCTATATTTGCTTTCTTTCTATATAGTAGTGGAGCAGCAGGCTCTAATGTCCGTCTAATGAGGTGCTATTGCCATGTGTTCAGGAGAGTACTCACATATATTATGGCAACAGTCCGATATGACCAAATATTTTGGTCGGTTGTAGTCGGAGAAGTCCTTTGGATCGGTATTGTACTGTAGGTAGTTGAGACACAACTGTGTACTGCTCCCTGAGGTAGTATATCCCATCTTTGCTTGCAATACACTAGGTTTTATATCATAGAAATATGCTAATATTGATAATATATTAATGAGTGCTATATTTCGTCTCCATTCTCATCTTGCTTCTCAAGTTGTTTCTTGCGTTGACGGGCCCGATTTTTTGTCTTGCTCTTTTGTCGCTTTTGGACTGCCTTTTGATTCTTCCAACCAATTTTGGATTGCTTTCCATGAAAGTGCTCGTCCAATTTTTCCAATAAGCGTTTTCGTGCAATCTTGCGATTCTGGGAGAGACTTCGTGTGTCCTGACATTCCACCTTGAGTTGGGTTGGTTCGTGGACCAACACGACGCGATTGGACGTCTTGTTGATCTTTTGGCCTCCCGCACCACTGCCGCGGACAAAGCGTTCGGAGAGTTCTTCTTCCAACAACACAAGCGGTTCTCTACGACCAGCACCCGCAGTACCACCATTCTTTTTTGACCCTTTGCCCTCCAACCGATCCATCACCAGTGAAATCTCCGTCAACAAGAGGGACCGTAGATCAGGGTCTGGCAAGACAGCAACGAGCTCGGAGAATTCTTCTAGTGCTTCAAAATCAGTCTGTGGAATGTCAAAAGGCTCTTCACCTTGCATTTCACCTCCTGTGGTCGGCGTGTCCGACGACTCACATTCACGTCGCCGGCTCCGAAAGATACTCAAGACACTTTGGACGTAGGCTTCCACCATGGACTTGATTGAAATGGTATCGTCACCAAAGGCTTTTTTGATATCGGATGACTGCTGCTGGAGGGACTTGTAGTGTTCCGCGCCCAGTATGTGCTGAATGCGCTGGGCAATGAACTTTTGTCGTTGTCGATTCCATTCCACTACCCTATCTTGTTCTGCCTTCCAATCGCCATATGTGTCAATAATGTGGTAGATTCCGCCTCCCTCGTCACCGTTGCTAAAGACCAAATCCAGCCGTTCTGCACGGTCCCAGACAATTCGTTCCTTGTACTTGATGCCGACGATTCGGTGTTCCGGCAAAGCGTTGACCAACATGGTGGCGGACCCCTGAATGCTATCGTTGGGGGCATTCAGAGGAGATTCCACAACAACATCGTCGACACGGTCATAATGCAAAACGAAAAAGTTGGAAGATTCCTCCTGTAATCGGTAGTCGTATTCAATTCGTCGCAAGACCTCCCCTGCTGGAACCAACTTTTGTTTTCCAGTTGAATCGTTGTCGGCACTGTCGTCGCCATTCTTGTTTGAATAGTTCTTTCCATTGCGTCCAGTGACAAAGAGACGTTCATATGCAGGGCTGGAAAGGTCTTGCAGTTTGCTGAGTCTGGCTTGCACGCCGTTCAATCCTCTTCCGAGCAAAGATGCCAATTCAATGATCGATTTGGAGTCCTTGTTCTCCCACAGCAGTTTATCTTGCTCCAAGGTCCATTCACGGTACAAATTTTCCATATTCAAGGATATTGGGTTTTGGGTAGAATTCTCACCAGAGTCTCCGTCATTTGTTGTTGTGAATGATTGATGCAATTGCCATGATGTTGTCGTCGTTCCAGCTGGTGGATGGGGAACTCTCTTCAAGAGCAGGGAAGGCGAAGCGAATGTGGGCAAGAATCCATTGTGGCGATTCTGTTGTTGTTGTTGTTGTTGTTGCCGTTGAATAGCGTTTCGTCTGATTTGTCTTGTTGCACTTCCAATATGTTTTTGGAATGCCAAGCAACTGCCTTTTGGAAACATGATGATGGTATGGAAACACAGAAAGATGGCTGTCGAAAATCGAAGATTTAATATCATAGAGCAGTGAGCCAAAGGAGATTTCAAGCGCATTTTCTATTGCTCAGACCATTAGGTGCAATAATTGATATAATTGTTGCGTCGGGTCGATTGGATGTTTGCTCTGGATGGTCGAGGGTATGGGTAGTGAGAAATGATGATTGATGTGATGACGACAGATCGATGACGCGATGAGTGAAACATGTTTGTTCGAAAAGTCGTGTGAGTCGACTACTCTGCAGTATTTGATCATATGATCTGAAATTTAACTTCTACTGGTACAGTATGTAACAGTACGATACTGATTGGTACCATGGTACCGATGATGACTGGTGGCCGATGCTATATTGTCGGTGTGGTGGTACTACGACCTTGTTGGCATTAGGATTCCATATTATGGAATCCTTTTGCGGCATCGAATATTTCAACAAGCCAGCAGTACCCCCCCTTCGATCGCACAAATTCTTTCGGTCAAAATCAAATATCCATCATGACTTTCAAATACAAATGTTGCTCTGCTATCAACTTTTCAAAGGCTGGACGGTCTCCCGGAACCAATCACTAGCTGCACTCCGCAATGGCACCGTAGACTTCTTCCTGAACCAGACCGTAGATTTTGGACATTTTCGTACCAGTGTTTCCATGGCATTTCTTTCGCCCAGCTTTGTGAAGGGCAACTACCATATTTGTGGCCTTGTTGACGACTGGGGATCCGGAAGAGCCGCCTTCCGTGTCGCAGGTGTAATCCACACCAATCCCAGAAACGGATTTGATTTCGCACATTCCGCTTTCTGTGAAGGTATCCGTAATTCCAATGGACTTGTCTCTACCAGCTGGATGTTGTGGAACGTAAATTTCGTCACCAACTTTGGGGGCCTCCCAATCGATATCAAAGTGACTTTATTTTGACAAGAATTGATGAGTATACCATACTAAACAGCCCAATACCACCATGCTGATTCGGAGCAAACGCATCCACTTACCCGTACGCGCAAACTGGATTCCCACTGACGAGTTTGACCAACGCGAAATCCAACTGCTTGTCTGCCATGATAAACTCTGCCCCATCTATAGTCATTTCTGCTGCCGCATCCGTATCTCGTACACCGCCCTGCTGGCAGTCACCCTGAGTTGATTCATACATGAACAGAAATTGCGCGGCAGCAGCCTCTTCTTTCGAACTTATACAATGATGATTGGTCATCAAGTAATTGTTGCCTCCAACAAGCCAACCAGTACAAACTAAGCCTCCTGTCCTAATCTTGGCAACTGCCATTGCTTTTTCATATATAGCTGGCAAGCTGTTCTCGTAACACCGAGCGTTGCGAAGATCCATGTGTCCACAAAGTGTCTTGCCATCCACAAGAACATCCAGATCATTGTTGTCGGATCTGCTACTATGAACACTCTTCTCTCCAATAGCTGGCCGAGCTTTTTCACTCTCCCGTGGATTGTTGTGACCACCACTAGGAGTCTTGACTGCTGGTCGAATTTTGCTCTCGCGCTCATTATGTCCACTGAAAGAAGCAACAAGAAGAAAGAAGGATGGTGAAGAAGAGGAGGATGAGAGGGATATCATTACAGTGTCTAGTAGAAGAAACGAAGATTGCATTTGTTCTTACGCAGTAACTCCAAGAATGGTGAATAGCAAAAGAGTAATCTTCATTATTTCAATGCCTGTCCTTTGATAAAAGTTCGAATTGTTTTTAGCAGTGGCAGTGATGTTCGGTGTATTAATACTAGTGCTTATTGTGGTTCAACGAAATCATCGCAACAAAAAATAAATGTTTCGTGCGAGATTTGGATACTATGACCCGCCGGTTACGTGAGTTTTTTCCTACCACGATTGCGTAGAAGAAAGATCCCACTTCATGCATGAAGGTAGAAATCATGCAATTTTGCAACGAGAAAACCGATTTCCAGTGTCACCATTAGTGCGTTCTGGTGATTTATATTATGGTACAGTAACGAGAAGTAGCTCAGAGGTAGTTTGCAAAGGGCGGACGAAAAGGGAAGGTTAATAAAAGTAGTATGCTGACCCATAATTTCAGTAGATGAGAGGACGACGGCAAACTGCTAGCTAAACATCTGAAAGCTTAAGATACTACGGTCGGTTTCATTCCATCACCGGGTAGTGCGCTTCACATTTACTGATAGCTATGATACCGGTAGAGTAGCTAAAAGGTAGCATGATATCTCAGCTGTTGATCGACTCGTTCGACCAAATATTAACGAACGACGTCATGCAGTTTCGACGACACTTCCCGAACCAGAACTTTTTGTTCTGAGAAATCTTGAGAACCGCCATCATTGTTGACAATACCAACTGTTTTGCCAAAGCAAAACTAGTCAAGAAACAAACAAGCAAAAATGTGGACCCGCATCTACGCCTGTGCCTTTATGGTTTTGAGTTGCCTTTGGGTGACGAGTGCATTCTTGCCCAACAACGATCACGCTCTCAAATCGCCCCAGAGAGCCGGGTCGATTTTTCCGTATCTGTCAATGACCAACAACAACAACAACAACAATGATGATGATGATGATGACGAAAGCACTGCATCCGAATCATCGTCATCACCATCATCAACACAAGCAAGTTACCTGGATGGTTTGACACCACCTCCACTCAACTTGAAACGTGAATCCATCTTGTTCAGCCCAAATCCATCGACCAAGAACGACAACGAAGTGCTCGATCTATGGAAGACTTGCAAGGATCGTTTGCCAGCGGTCATTACGGGCGTTTGGCCTTGGCGGTCAACACAAGTAGCCGACGCGAATCCCATGGGTGCCTTGTACAATATCGCTTTTGTCCGTTTGCCCGTAATTGGAGTATCGATCGGTTACATTCAGTACAATCTACTCCAAGGTCATCCACTGGTGATGGATATGGGACAAGGTCCATTCGAGATGAGTCCTTTGATTGTACTTTCCGTGCTGGCGCTGGTATTGGCATAATCCTATTTTTGAAATGGTGGCGGATGAGATGTGTCTAACCGTTGCGAGACAATACACTTCTTGGACGGAACCTTCCTACAATTTTTAATTCCAGGCTTCTTCGGGCGGAAAAGGTGACGAAAACAATGTTGGCAGACTAAACCACGCATATTACAATGCACTTTCTGTTTCAATAACCATGAATTGGGGCTAAGAGTGAAGTACCACCTACTGTACTTTTGTGAGTGAACAAAACACGGCCTTTATCATTATTTTTTCACAACAATAATATTTGCAATAATCCAAAGAGACGTTTATCACGTAAATCAAATAAATGTGAAGGCTTTAACTCATTGTAAATGCCAAGAAATAGAAAGACTCACAGAGTTGTCTATCGGTACCGGTAGTAGGTGGACTGTGGATCTGGAATCCTTCATGTGGTTGAGGTTTCAAAACGATTCGTTGCTAGAGTCTGTCCATCCATCGGTATTCCACGTCACATGTGGGGCAGGTTTCGACCGCACTTGCAAAATTCATGACTTCACACTACCTTCCGTCGTCAATTCTTCCATTCATTCATTCTGAATGCTCTATCGATTGCCCTACTTTTTGCTTACTTCCGTTTCTCAAAGCAACTTTAGACTAGCAGCAACAACAAAACTCCCCATCAGACTTGGAACTACTACTATCACACGACGATACAATCCGCTATTGCTGCACTTATCATCACAATCACAATCACAACTACAATCACAATCACAACGAACCTTTAGCATGACTGCCACACAAGTTCTCAACCGCGTCACTCCCGACAAAGTCTCCATGGAGATCAAAGATCCCGTCGATCCTACTGCTTTGGGCCAAGCCAAGGCCATTATTGAAGAATTGACCACAACAGATGGTTCTGTCGATCCCGATGCGTTGCTCAAAGTGGGAAAGCGATTGAAAGATATCCCCGAAGATGCCTCCAAGTTTCTTGTTTCCAAAGAAGAGTGCAAGGAGGCCTTTGACGGACTTTCTGATCAAGAACGAACTGCCTTGGTGAACATTCATGGACGCGTCAAGGCCTTTGCGGAAATGCAACGAAAGAGTGTTTCAGATGTGGAAATGGACATTCCTGGAGGAAAGGCTGGACACACTGTCAGCCCATGCAATGGTAAGTATCTAATCATGCTGTGATAGTGGGTTTTATGGATACGTGCAATGCAATGTACATCAAGCATATTCCAACCTTGGAAAAGTGATTTGAAAATGACGAATTGTCTTCTGACTCATTTCTTCCTCGTTTTCTATCACTACTGTACTATTACTCTTGACACATTCATTTTCTGTCATTGTCATGTTTGTTCCATTACAAACCACAGCTGCTGGATGTTACGCCCCTGGAGGTCGTTATCCTCTTCCTTCATCCGTTCTCATGACCGCTGTGACCGCCAGAGCCGCTGGTTGCAAAACTGTCGTCTTGGCCAGTCCCCGTCCCGCCAAGATTACCATGGCAGCTGCTCACATTGCCAATGTTGATTTGTTCTTGTGTGTTGGTGGAGCCCAAGCCATTGGTACCATGGCACAAGGTATCAATGGTGTGGTGCCAAAATGCGATGTCATTTGCGGACCAGGAAACAAATGGGTGACTGCGGCCAAATCCTTGGTCAATGGAAAGTGCGGAATTGACATGTTGGCGGGACCATCGGAAGTCTTGGTGATTTGTGACGAGACTGCCAATGCCAAGGTGGTAGCTGCCGATTTGATTGCTCAAGCCGAACACGATGTGGTGGCCCGAGCCATTCTATTGAGTACGGATGCCAGTATGATTGAAAAGATTGACAGTGAAGTGGCCGATCAAATTGAAGCACTTCCCGAACCCAACCGATCGACTGCATTGGAAGCCTTGAAGCAATCCTTTGCCGTTCAGTGTAAGACTATTGAGGAATGCGTGGCTATTTCGGACGATATTGCACCAGAGCATTTGGAAATTCAAACTGCCGACTCCCAAAAGGTTGCTGACTCTTGTGGCAACTATGGTGGATTATTCATTGGTGAAAATGCTGCAGAAGTATTGGGTGACTATGGTGCTGGACCAAACCACACTCTCCCTACTGGAGGAACAGGAAGATACACTGGTGGATTGAGTGTTTTCAACTTTTTGAGAATCAGAACTTGGATGCGAGTGGACGACAACAAGGCATCTCAGGGAATGGTGAATGACAGTGTCGTCATGGCACGATTGGAGGGTTTGGAAGGACATGCCCGAGCTGCTGAATCGCGCAAGCTTTAAATAACCATAAAGTTGAATGTAATTAAGAATGTCATGTCGTCTAAACCTTCCTTTGACAGAAAACGACGACTATGAACACAGTTTTGAATGAACGAATGAATGAATCAATCAATCAATCTTCAGATAGGAAATGTGGCCAACTGGAGCCCTATCGTCTGAACATTGAAGCACAGAGAATCTTGTAATAGGATGCTATGATAATGGCGTCGTCAGTTCGACAGGTTACAGCCCAGTGCATCACAGAAACAAACTTCCCGAAGGTGTCGGCAGTTCGAAAGTTCGCCATCAGTAATCAATCACATTGAAAGTTCAAATTTGGAGACGAAGAAAAGGAGAAGAAACCGACGACGGTAGGACGCAGCCTCACGACCACGTAAGATAAAGGCTTCGCCTGTCAGTTGACGATCTTTCAAACAACAACCAAAAACCGCAGGTTTGATATCATCATCGTCAGAGTAATATCCTTCCTATTTGATTGATTCCAAGTTCAGACCGCAGGTTTCAGCTTTATTCATCAACTCTATCCGTTTGGCACTTGTCGAACTCATAATTTCCATTATCCTTGATTAGATTCATTGATTCATTCACTTCTTCAAGAAGAAACATTATCAGAACCCTTTTCCCATCATGAGATATACCATCACCGCCCTCTTCGCCGTCTTCTCGGTGTCCACTGCCTTCAACCCTGCCAGCCTCCAAACTGCAGTCAAGCCTTCGGCGACTACTCTTCAAGCCGCACCACGCACTTTGTATGACAAGATCTGGGACGACCATCTTGTCGATGACGATGGAGATTCCACCTTGTTGTACGTCGACCGACACTTGGTTCATGAGGTGACCTCTCCTCAAGCCTTTGAAGGACTTCGTCTCAGCTCTCGAGGAGTCCGTCGTCCTGATTGTACTCTTACGACCGTTGACCACAATGTTCCTACCGAAGATCGCAGTCAGTTGATTGACGTCAAAACGTTTATTGAAGAAACTGCCAGTCGAACACAAGTTATGCAGTTGGAGCAGAACGTCGCAGACTTTGGACTCAAGTATTTTGGAATGGCCGATGAGCGTCAAGGAATTGTGCACATTATTGGACCCGAACAAGGATTCACCCTTCCAGGATGTGTCACTGTTTGTGGAGATTCCCACACGGCAACCCATGGAGCTTTCGGAGCTTTGGCCTTTGGCATTGGTACCAGTGAGGTCGAGCACGTCCTTGCCACTCAGGTAAGACTATATATGTGCATTGAATGGAGTATTTTGCTTTCTTTTTCATTTTATTAATCTGACCATTCTATTGTTCTTTAGACTTTGCCTCAAGTCAAGACAAAGAATATGTTGATCAAGGTTGATGGAACCTTGGAAGAAGGTGTCACCTCTAAAGATATCATTCTTCACATTATTGGTATTATCGGAACTGCCGGAGGAACTGGTTACACCATTGAGTTTGCTGGATCCGCAATTGAATCTCTCAGTATGGAAGCCCGCATGTCCATTTCCAATATGGCTATTGAAGCTGGTGCCCGTGCTGGTGTCATTGCGCCGGACGAAGTTACCTACGCATACCTCAAGGGACGTCCAATGAGTCCTTCTGCAGACGAATGGGAAGATGCTGTCGCCTACTGGGAGTCCCTCAAGAGTGACGAAGGTGCTGTATTTGACAAGACCATCCTCATTGAAGCCAAGGATATTGCCCCAACTGTTACTTGGGGAACCAGTCCTCAAGATGTTGCTCCCGTGACTGGTGCTACCCCTATTATTGACGATTCTGTTGAACCTGCCCGAGCTGTAAGCGCTTTTTTGTTGGTATGCCTGGTCAGATTTCCCTTTTTTCGGTTGCATTTCTCACACTGATGTTACCATATATAGGCTGGTATCACCCGTTCCTTGGAATACATTGGACTAGAGCAAGGACAAACACTTGAGGGAGTTCCAATCTCAAAGGCTTTCATTGGATCCTGTACCAACGGACGTATCGAAGATTTGCGCAATGTTGCCGCTATCGCAATGGGCCGCAAGGTTGCCGACGGTGTTCACGCGATGGTTGTTCCTGGATCCGGTTTGGTCAAGAAGCAAGCTGAAGAGGAAGGCTTGGATAAGATCTTGCTTGAGGCCGGATTCGATTGGAGAGAACCAGGATGCTCCATGTGCTTGGCCATGAATGCTGACAAGTTGAAGCCACAAGAACGTTGTGCTTCTACTTCAAATCGTAACTTTGAAGGACGTCAAGGAAACGGTGGGCGTACTCACCTTATGTCTCCTGCCATGGCTGCCGCTGCCGCCATCGCTGGAGGCCTTGCCGATGTTCGCAAGTACCCATACTTGGGAGATGAAGCTTCTGATCCACGCATCATCTCCAAAACCAACAGCCGTGCCTTTTCTACCGAAAGTTATCCCAGCGCTGGAGCAACCATTTCTCCCGTTCCACCGTACATGAAGGGTGCTGATGCTGCAAGCTCGAAATCAACCGCCGCTGGACTTCCCAGGTTTGAATCCTTGACTGGTATTGCTGCCCCTCTTGACATTCAAAACATTGATACCGATATGATCATTCCCAAGGAGTTCCTCAAGACCATCAAGCGTTCTGGACTTGGATTTGCTGCCTTTGCTGAATTGAGATACGAGAATGCTGACGAAGTTGCCACTATTGGAGCTGAAGTTGCCAAGGAAAAGCCCGATTTCATCCTGAACAAGGAAGGATACAAGGGATGCACCAAGATTTTGATTGCTGGCGATAACTTTGGATGCGGATCCAGTCGTGAGCACGCCCCATGGTCCATCAATGACATGGGTATCCAATGTATCATTGGTACTTCTTTTGCCGACATCTTTTACAACAACTGTTTTAACAATGGTATGTTGCCAGTCACTCTTCCCCGTGACCAAGTGGAACTTCTCTTGGCCGATTCTGCCACTCCTGGAACCGAGATCACTGTGGACTTGGTCAACCAGAAGGTCATTCGCCCCAATGGAGAGGAATTTGGCTTTGAAATTGATCCCTTCCGAAAGCGCTGCCTTGTCAATGGGCTTGACAAGATTGGTTTGACCCTTGAAAAGGAGGACAAGATCTCTAGTTTCGAAGCTACACGATCGTCTAGTTATCCATGGTTGGATGGAGCCGCATTCAAGGTCCCAGACGTCGTTCGAATGTACCCCGATGCTGAATTCTGGACAAAGGAAGGAGCTACTGCCTAGATGAGTACTATTTCAATTTATTTTAAAATAAACAATAGCTGATGTTACTGTTCCTAACATTTATGTATAATTTGCTCGAATGGGACTTAGCCTACTGCTGGAGCCCATGACGTTGCATGGGTATGTATCATTGAACCAAGAGATAGAAAGATGTGTGTGTGAGTGGAGTTGCCTGAAATCAATCGTTGCGAACACCTTGGGCATGACTTTTGAGTTCTCTTTTCAACCTTCAAATAAGTAAAAATATGGTTGTGTCTTGGGTGTCTAATAAGTCAGAAGTCATTTTTTAAATAAATGTTCGCGTTTGGGCCCAGCATCCACAGAACCGCTTTTTTTCGTTTCGGCTAAACAGTTGAGGAAAATAGCCCAAGACCTCATCTTGCCTTTTTGTCCTAATTCGTCTGCTGGAACTGCTGTACTATAATTGAATATTGCATGGCATTAGGACCACGAAAGTGAGCGACTGTGAGCAACCATGATGCCACTAATGCAATCAATACGTCGAAGCAAATCGCCGAAAAGAGACGTTGGACAAGATTCCTCAGCAATAATGCTGAGCCCTGTTGAAAGTGAATCCAGTTCCAGCTTTGCCAACACTGGCAACGATGATTACGAACTCGAAGCCGCTCCTCCACAGAGTCAAAGCTCCCAAATTAAGAAGCTGAAGAAAGTTTTCTTGCGGAACCCGGTGCATGCAGATTCCAATGATAGCTTGTCGCGTTCCAACAGAAGCCTTTCCACTAGTCTTAGAGGTGAAGAAGTCTTTCGCATTGCTATCAACGAGGATTCCATTCATGAAGATAGCAGCATACCATGTAGTCCCAGGTGGCAGAGAACAGTCGGTGCTGTAGAAAAGCCGCCAAGTATCAAAAAGCTTGATACTCTCTTGGCTATGGGTGAAAGCTATTCAGAATCAGAGGATGAGGGGCATTCATCGAGACGATCCACAATTCGTACTTCTGTTGATGATGATATGAATATGGATGATTCAACACATCCAATTCCAGCTCTAGCACCACCAAGCCTATCCGATCTGACTACTGTTTCGTCCAAGGTAGGCAACAAATCGACCAAGAGTATTGACACTGCCACAACAATGCAAATGTCAGAACTGTCTTTCCGAAATGGGAAGCCAAAGAGTTCACTTACGAGCTATGGTGGGGATAGTTACTCCGCGGCAAACTCAGCCAAAGCTTTCTGGAAGAATGCCTCGAGTCGAGCAAATCTTGACCAACCGAACAACGAGTCCTTTACTAGCCGAACGTCCACCATCCGTTCTGCTGTCGAGCAATCCTTGGAAGAGTCGACCCATGCTTTGCCTCCGCTGCAGAAAAACAGACCCCAAGGCCAGCAGCCAAGCATAGCTGAATTAAGCAATGATACGAGTACAAGTTCAAGACAACGACGATCCGATATCGACTTGTCGTTGGATGGTGAGTCGACGCACGCGCTTCTGGCAACAGAGCCACCTACTCTTTTACCGTCGGCGGAAGAATCATCAGCTACAACTTCGGTCATGGGAAGAAAGTCTAGGTCTCCTGGACCAGCATCGAATAACTCAGGAACATGCAAATCACGCCAATCGCCAGCTAGGGCCCGCTCTGGAAACCGAGTGCGTTCCTCAAAGTCACCACATAAAAATTCATCGGATCCTGCTATCCTGCAGCAAATCATCCAACCTAATTTTGATCCTTGCAGTCCATCCTTGCGTGGGGAACGAAAGGTCTTGGAAGGAAGCAATGAACGAGGGGAACGATTCACGGTTCGACGCACAGTGTCCTCTCCCGTCCATCCAGGATCACGAAAACAACTTCTCCCGAAACCCGAGGAAAGGGGTCAACGAATGCGACGCTCCATTACAGCGGGTACGCTCGAAAGAGATTTGTCGCAATCGCCTTCGCGTCCACGGGGAAGCAGGTCTGTGCTGGCGAAATCCATGAAGGAGGAAGTCAGCGAACGGAGGGGTGTTGGTCAGCTGAGGGGATCGCTTCTGGATCGTAGTCGTTCCGACAACGCCAATATGAATTCTGACATAAGCGAACGCGGAATCCAAAGCATAGATACCAGAGATTTCCCTGGCGTTCAGGTGACGGAGTTGACCCAGAGAAATGCGGTTAGGAGTAGCAGTCCAGGGCTCAGGTTCCGAAATGTATCTCGCCAGACCACCAGGACAGAGCCTATTGACAAAAGAAAAAGCCACTCCACTAGAGCCGAGCGTTCGATTCCCATCGATATGGACTCTGATGCTGATGAAGAAACGCCTCTCAGGGGCGAAAGCAAAACATTCCATAGTAGGCAATGTTTGTCGTTCGAGACAGAGTCAGGGGACGAAAGTCTGCATATGAACGACTACTCACTGAGCCCAAGAGGCAAAGTCGGTCCAATCAAAGGATTGCTTTTGAAGCGCAGTGGTTCCGACGGGGGGATCAGACCCTCCATGAGTGAACGCGGGGACCGAACCGCAGCCAGAAGAAATAGCACTGGTCTTCGGTTGGATCTGGCAGGGATGAGATCCAATTCGAGGAGCAAGAGTCCAGGATTTAGGCTTTTCGGAAATTCAGCTCGTCAGACTAGAACAGTACCGATCGATGAGGACAAAGACATAGATCCAGGTGAAAAGAGTCCGAGCAGGCTTGGAACGAAGGTCAAGGACAAGATCAAAAGTCTGAAAGAGAAGAGCATATCCCTGCGTGGCAAACGCTCGATCGAGGTAGAAGTAGATGACGAAAAACCCAAGCTGCAAAGTTTATCTTCGAGCCGTGAAACGCGTTCGGTCGATCTGGAATTGGATGGAGAAATGCCGACGTTGAAAAACAAGTCCTCGCGGCGTGAAAGACGTTCGATCGATTTGGAATTGGATGGAGAAAAGCCCAACTTGAAAAGCAAATCCTCGCGGCGTGAAAAACGTTCGATTGACTTTACATTAGATGAAGACAAGCCTAAGTTGAAAAACAAGTCCTCGCGCCGTGAAAGGCGGTCGATCGATTTGGAATTAAATGAAGACAAGCCGAAGTTGAACAAATCCTCGCGTCGCGAAAGGCGGTCGATCGATGTGGAAGTAGAGGAAGAAAAAGGCAAGAAAAGCAAATCGTCACGTCGTGAAAGGCGTTCGATCGATGTGGCATTAGATGAAGAAAGTGACAAGAAAAGCAAATCCTCGCGTCGTGAAAGGCGCTCGATCGATTTGGACTTGGATGAAGCAAGTAGCAAGAAAAGCAAATCCTCGCGTCGTGAAAGACGCACACTTTCAATTGATTTAGACTTTGGTTCAGACAAGCGGAAAGAGAAAAGTAAGAAGTCTAAAAGGCGAACTTATTCCGTGGATTCGGGGGATAGCTTGAACTTCGAAAGCAGTCAACCCAAAGGGCAGAGAAGTCTTCTGACGGAAACCCTTGAGGATATTGCAGAGACTCCCGCACGAGTATCACGGTCTCGTAGTCGGAAGAAAGTTAGCCCAAAAAATAAATCCAAGTCTCCAAAAGGAAAGGCGTCTTCAAAAATCGAAGGTGACGGGAATGAGACGAGCTCGACATTCGCTGACGCAGGCGACATTTCTGTTGACGGACCAAGCGCAACAAAATCACGCCCGGGGAGTCCTTCCAGCTTGTTCAGGAAGTTAAAAGGGATACGAAGCGAACGCTATCCCAAAAATGTCGCTGGTAGATCCTACAGCCCAAAGAAAGTCCCCTCGCCTTCCAAGAACAGAAAGTTGACGCGGCTGTCCATCTCGTAGCCGTTTGAAGGGCTTTATTCAAATAGACAAAGGTTCCAACGGCGCAATATCATACAGGGGGGAATTAGAAGTTAGGAATAACATAATATCATACAGATAAAGAAATTGATTAGAGACAGGAGGCTTCAGGTGATGTGCCTACCGTATGTCATTGCAATGTATGCAACAAATGCGATGAAGATCCGACTAAATCGACTTGCAAGTGCCATCAAGGATACTCAACAAAATCCTCATCATTCAATGTCAACATGATCTCCTCGTCGTTTGTGGCATTTGTTTTCTTCTCGCTGTACTTAGAACATCTCATCTTTGGCCCGAATGCTTTTGCTTTTGCTTTCCTGACCGTTGGGCAACGCAGATTCCAACAACAGAGTCGATCTTCAAGCAGATGCGCCACGAAGAAAGAAGGATACAAGTTTGGTGACATCAGTCGTGGGCTGATTGGTAAATTTCAAAAGGATGTCAACTCATTGACTGGCAAGAAGAAGTATGAACTCGGTAGGAAGATTGTTGATTTTGGTGTCACATTTGTAGCAAAGCTTTCGAACTGTATCGTATTTTTCACTTTCAAACAGGTGACTTTACTCGGTGGTTGGATCAAAAGGGACGAAGCGAGGTTGGCAGCTGGGTGCAAGGATTTACGGACAAGCCGAACTACAAAGTTGGCGACCTGTCCCGCGAAGTTCTTCGGAGATTGCGAAGCGGAGAATATAGCACAGAGGACATTATGTTGTTTTTGAAGATCGTCGCAATTGTCGGGGCTAATGTCCAGCCAGTGGCAGCGGTGCTTCCAATGAAAGTCTTGGTAGAAATGGTGGAGGTCAGCCTGGCACAGGACTTGTCAACCAAAGTTGTGGGAATACTAACGAACGAAGTTGACTCAAGGATGAAAGAGATGGTAACTGGGGACAAGGATTACAAATTGGGTGACGTGACAAAGAAGACATTGACAGGAAGTAAAGACTACCAGCTAGGGGATTTTACAAAAGGAATCGTAGAGCAAATGGCATCAAAGGACTATGAATTTGGTGATATCACAAGGAAGCTGTTGAATAGAGGGAATAAAGAAGAGGTGGGCGCGTCCAACACTGCTGACCAACAACAGATTGAGGACACAACAAACCAAATAATGGAAGCATGCGACAAGAGACACTTTTCCTCGAAGCAAGACGATGCAGCTATAAAAAATATCGAGTTAGAAGCATGGGACCAGAAACTTCTCAATACTATTGAGCGCAAGAACAGGGGTAATTCCTAATTTGATATATATATCGAGTTTAGGACTACAATCTCTTTACAGATAGAATTCATATTTAGTAGAAGCGCTCATCCAATCGGCTGTCAGTATCCCAGTCCGAATTTGGTGCTGCCAAAAGAACTGGTCTCCTTTTCGTATCAAATAACGTCAGCTTGAGCATGTAGATGAATACCAAAACACAAGCGACGACTGCGAATAAAAGAGTTTCGTTCACGAATTTAATATGTGCCAGAACTCCAATGACAATCATGATGAATCCGTACAGCGCTAGCATTGCTAGTGGGGGAAGACCGGGCATTGAGCCTTCTTGCTTGTACTTTCTTGCCTTCTTTGCTGATTTGAGTCGCTTGGCGACGATAAGCATCATCATGCCAGCAAGGAAAGTACATAAAATGGACAGGAGGATGATGTCTGAACCTGACCACAAATCTCTTCGAAACTGATCCAAACTTCTGCAATCTTCGTCGCACCAAACGCCATACTTGTAAATTCTTTGACACATGTTCCATTCACCAACGTCGTAGTTATCAGAGAGAGCGCGCTGTTGTTGGTCTTCAATGTCCTTCCAGAATTCGTTTGAAAAGACCTAAAGTAGAAGGTGAGACGATGTTATAACCGTGAAGCAATCCAAAAGTTGATAGTAGGATGACCCCATCCTTACCTCTAGTTGACCTTCGACAGCGACTGGTTTGCGCGATTCAAGCCCTGAACGGCGGACTAGGCCATCGGTTGCTGCAAGATTTCTATAACCATTGTCCTTGGCATAATAATAGTTGTTGTTGAAATCATCGTTCGCTTGGAAGGCATCATCGTGGAAATCATCGTTGAAGTAATCATCTCCTTGATTTGCGTTGTTATTCCCTTGCTCCTGTTCTTGATTCTCGCCGTTCCCATCATCGTCATAGTTTCGTTTTTCGCCATTTTCTGCAATGTAATCATCATCATACCAGCTCACTTTTAGCTTATTGAAGGTATCAGAGATTTGGTCGGGCTGACAGCCCTCGCATTTGTAAAATGGCGGTCTGAAAGAGACTTTGGAAGAAATGAGATTCCCATTCACAATGTATCCACTATTTTGGTGGAAACGTGGGGTCTTTCCATCATCGTACTGTTCTGAACATTGGGCATCTGTGTATATCTTCAGTGAAAACTTGGTGGAAGTATAGGTTTGTCGATCTTGGCAACCAATTTTGGCATAGAGAGGAGTGTCGGTATTTTCTGTCTCGCCCAGTTGAACACAGTTCAAATATCCAGCATCAGACGGGAGTGTGAACTTTGTCCCATAAACGAGCGCTTCATGATTGAAGTAGGCTCTCATGTAGTGAGCAATCGACACAATAAAGGTTCCAATTTCGTTGAAATGACATTGATTTCTATTGGCGGCGTCAAAGAAGGTATATTTGATCATGTATCCATTGTTGCTAAAAAAAGAAAATAGATATCACACAATGAAATGTGCGATGTGTTAAGCTGTGATTCTCTCGTAATTGGTCGTGGTGAACATGCATTAAGAACAACTTACTAGTTGATACAGGAAAGTGGCATTACGCTGACTCCATCAAATCCAATGTTGTCACTCCAATGAAACATGTCATCGTCAATGTCTTGATTGCTTGAAACCCAATCGTCGGCATACTCTCCACCACCGTTTTGTTGACCTTGGTCATCAGTATAGTAGTCATTCACATTGTAATATTGATTCCCATTATTTGCACCCCGCACTACTGCCACAAGGGCTAGAAATACCAGAGATGGCTGTACTCCTCGCATCATCGTGAGTTTGAAAAAGTTGATTTTTCATTTCTTGAAGTCGCAGGTTCGATCGGAGAAGTCTGCCTTCGTTTTGTCGCCTGCCGTCTAGTATTCTGTTGTAGAAATGTACCGGACATCAACATGAAACTGTCGTTATGCGTTATTGGCCGTTTTCTGGCAATTCAAACCTCTTTCCCCCTAACTCTGTCCTCAAACTCCCACGTCCCCTTCCCAAAATATCAGTTTTGGTTGTCCAACCTTTTTTCCTTCAACCATACTGTAGTGGCAACAACAACTTCAATCCGAAGTATTCGACTATACCAGTGTCAAGTCCATACCGGTATATAATAATGAAGAGCCATAAATATTGTTCAACTCTTAAGAGATTCAGTAATAAAGGTAACAAAAACCTTTGCCTACTGTGACACCACTGTATATGATGGTAGTACCACTGTATAGCAAAAGCTCCATCAGAATTTTGGGAGTTTCGAATACTCCAATGAGTCGAGCGAAAGAAATTGCGACGTGTTGGTTGACCAGTCAAGACTCCAGCAAATATCACGAGTGAACCTCCGGAAAACATCATAATGCAAGCACAAGAAGACACACCCTTGCTCAGTTGACAAAAAGATATGACTGAAACTAGTGCTATGGTATCGTCGGCGAGCCAACAGATAGAAAGCAGCCCTGCAAGCAGCATTATGCAAAATGGTGGGAGTGATGCGGAAAGTCCATCGCATGCTTCCGTTAATGAAACCTTATCATTCCGTCTCCCTATATCTGGTGATGATGATGAATTCGGCGTTTCCGATGTTGTGGAACAAGTTTTACTATTCGGATGTGGGTTAGGCAGTTCTCTGTGTTGTAAGTTCCTTCTCAATTTGCGTGCCGTCTCGCAACCAACTTTAATGCTCACGCTTCTGGTTCCTCTCGTCTTCCAAACAAATCCAGACATTGCAACGCTCTCGTCTCTGGTATATTTCATGCTGCTATATGGTCCGAAATCTTATGTTGACCTGAATCTTGCCGTATATCTACCTCTTTTGCCCATTTCCTTTGCCCAGGCAAAATGGGATGCCTATTACGACCACGTATTTCAGTCTCGTCGGACATTTTTGTTTCGTGGTTTATTGGCCTTTGGATTGTCACTGTGGGGGGCGATTGGTATGACTTCACCGAAGTCTCCGGGACTTGGAATGGTTATTTGGAATGCAGTGCTGCAGGGTACTGGTGGCGCCATCTTATACGGCACACTCAATCAATTGGCATCTTTTGTGGGTGTCACAGACAAGGAGCACCGAAGGGCCAAGGCCACAGTGTCAGCCGGAGTGCAAGCTTCAGCAGTAGTAGTACTCTTGGTTACGATTTTCAGTGACTTTGAGCAGCAGGACAGAGCAAAATATGTTTCCTTTATGTGGATCATTGTTGCCATCGAAGCAGTTTGCTTTTTAATGTTCGTGTGGCTGATAGTGAAGCAGCCAAGAGTTGCAGCATCATTGATTCGACGAGACTCCTCGTTGGAGCTCAGTCAGAGTAGTTTTGGAGAATCAGAACGACGTGACGAAGGGGACGGATTGATCACAGAGCCACTGTTGGTACAATCGAATGAAATTGGCAACAGCTCTTCCAATCGGCAACTAACGTATGTTGACTTGTGGAGTCTGACGAAAAGTTGCATCTACGTCATGCTTGCAACCTTGATACCCAGTTTTCTAGTGGGATCATGGTTCACAAATGTGAAAACGGAATGGATGCGATTGCCACAAATCCTATTCTATACTCGGATTTTTGCCGATTTTGCGGGGCGCTTGGCGACCATTGTCCTTCCTCCTCGCGGGATCAGTTGTCTTGTCTATGGTGCAGCATTCCGCCTGATCCCAGTGATCATCTTCTTTAGCCTCGGTGAAGGAAACGATATTTTACTCATTGCCCTTGTGGCAGCAATCGCATTCTTGTCGGGATATCTGGTGACGGGATGCTTCCAACTGGCACCAGAGTGCATACCAGAAGCGATGAGGGCTTCCAACCTTTCGAAGCAAGCAAGTTTGCTGACAGTGGCATTTTCAGTAGCTGCTGTTGGTGGTCTTTGTGCCAGTTTTGCGCTAATGGATCTTGGTCTGTAGAAGGAAACAGTAACGTGATCTTGCAACTCTTGAAATAGCATCACAAAGGACTTACTTAGCTCCTTTTGTCATGGATTTTTATATTTGAATTTTGAAAGTTCACGTCAACAATATATTATAGTAGTATTAATATCATATAAAACCATGGCGGACAAGAATCAACAACCCAAAGAGTCACGCGGATATGCAGTAGCTCGAGGAAGTTCTAGAGATGTAGACAATCACCGTCGACGAGATAAGGAGGAAGAAAGCCGCTCCAATAAGGGTTCTCGACACGACGACAGGAAATCGCGAAAACGGCACCATCCCAGTCGTCGTCGTCGTCGCCACCATCATCGAGAAGATCAAAGTAGTAGCTCCTCTGATTCTTCATCACACCGTTACAAACGCAAGCGTAGTAGAAAAAGGGAGCAGGAGAGGTATGACGATGACGATGACGATACCGATAAAAGACTCCCAGAATCATCGAGAAGTCACAAACGAAGACGTCGAGACTTTGGTGGCGATTCCTCCACTGACCACCACTCGACTGATCAAAAGCCTAGATGGCCTGATAGGCAAGAACAACAACAACAACAACAAGAGACTACTGGATTGACTGCCAATAAAAATGATAGTCAAGAAGAATCATCGACAAAGGGTTTAAAACCCTTACCCGAACGGCGTGCTACTGGTGTACCAATGTTTCTTCCCCGACAGCAGGGAGAACGACCAAGGCTCAACTTGGCGGTGAAACGAAGTCGTGGAGGCGTCATTGTCGCTCAAGCAATGAAGGCCAAAGGGCCAGATAGAACTATTGGCTTTGTATCTGGCTGGACATCTCGAAAGAGTCGTTTCACCGAAACGTAAATAGTAAATAGCAAACAAACCAGCATCTCGTCACTATAGCAGTAGAGGAAGTAGATTAAATATATCATAAAGTGAACGGCAGCTTTTTACTGGTAACTGCCTCAAAATTTAATGGGCATTTTAGAGGAGATGCAATGCATGGCATGCAGTTCGACAAGATACGAACTAGCACGACGTGTACAATTACAGTACGATAATTGTTTTACTTTTTGGAAGTGCCATCGTCCAACACCATACTCCCCACACTGTCACCCATGTTACCAACGAGGATGGCTCCCCAACCGGGCCACAAGATTGTCCCGACTCCACCTCCAATCGCTGTGCAAACCAGGCCAAATCCACGAGAGATGGCCAGTTGTGTGGATTTCTTGAGCATGGAAGTTGCCAAGGCACCATTGAATCCTTCCTTATCTTCTCCTTCGCCTTCTTGCAATCTCTTCTTTCGTCGGTCCCTGATATAAATGTAGTAACCATAAAAGAGAATTGCTTGGTGGACGCTGTAGTCTGCCATGTAAGCAATCAGATTGGCAGAAAAGGTGGTGTGGAACATGGAATGCATCACCTCTGATTTCGTCTCGCCCTTGGCCGACATTGTGAGGGAAGCCGTGAAAGGATCCATTGTCAATTTATCCATGCGGACCTCGTCGTAGTATTTGGCTGCAATCTTTTCATACAAGCGCATCACTAATGTGACGGCATGAAACTTGGCAAAGGCAACGACTGCCTTGCTTTGCAGAGAAGACCACTTCTTTTCCCATTCCTCCTGTAGAAAATGAAATAAATAACGAAATGTGAGATTATGTTTTGCTTGTGCACTCAATGCATAATACAGAAGGTTGATGAAAGGTGTTGGGAAGAATGAATGAATGAATCAATCAATCATCGCGATACCAAATGCTCTGTTGTACAAGTTAACTTCACAGCACCAGATGTTGTACAGATTTCCCTTTCGGGAAAATTGTAGAACGAGGGCCAAAACTTCAGATTTCAGCGATGGTAAAACCATCCATCATTGCAAGGTATATCGCACACTTCCCACACCACCTTTCACCAACTACTTTTAAAACTAAATCGCAATAAGAACGCACCGTTTCCCACTTGTCGGCCTCTTCATCCGCTTCTCGTTGGGTCAATTCTCCTTTCTTGACCTTTTCTTGGCGCTTCATGTCACCGTCCAATTGTTCCGTCATGAAGTTTGCCATGATTAGGGCTCCTTGTTGAGTGGTCACTCGTATTGACTGTTTGTTTTCATTTGCAATAAATACAATAGATAGTTAGTTTTGAAAAGAGTACAAGATACACAGAATCAAAAACAGTTGGAAAAAGATTCGATGGTTCCCAAAATCCAGCACAAAAATTGAGCAAGCACCCGGCGTATTGAATATGATGACCAGATTTCAGGAATTCCATTCGAACACATAGAAAGACTCACACCCAAAATAAAAGCACGAGGCTTCAAATGGTCAAAGAACCCCCTTTTGAAGTGGCCCACCGGACGTAGGGAAATCTCGGAAATCACCACTCTTGGTCTTCGGGCAGATGTGGCTAGAATTCTACTGCTTCCTCCATTATTGTTGCTGCTGCTCGCAATGGATGGTGAAGACCATTCGAACAGCATGTTCTGAAGGGGCAACATCTTTGCAGTGCTGGTGGGCTTTCAATATTTGTAAAAGCGTACAGCTAGCAAACACCGTTTGAAAGATGATAGCACTTTTTTGATTTCCCATGGATCTGCAATCGGACATGAGACATGCCGGCGTGGCTCGGTTGTCGTCTGTCCGCATGTTCTCCGATAAGAAGCAAAATCTGCTGATCTTCGAAATTCCAGATTCCTTTCTTTTCGGCCATGTAAGTACGTGAGTAAGCGATGACCTCTCATGCAGGAAGCAATAAAGCAGAGCAATCAGCAATCAATTCAAAAGAATATCACCATGGCCAAGTTTTCCTTCCTTCTTTCTCTTTTTATCACTGCCGTCTTGGCATTCAATGTCCAAGCCTTTGCTCCTCAGCAAGTCAATGGTGAGTTTTTTGCTTGTAAAACTGTAGTTACTTGGGTTGGGTGATGTCATCGGAACACCACAAACGAAGTTCTTCGCGTTTTCCTAGTCTTGCTGTAGGCAATTTTTGGTGATTTGAGATGCATGATTGCTACCGACGCAGTGCCATGAAAATCATTGAGATGAGAACTGTTTTGGTGTCGTAAAATTCACATGCCTGGGCCAATTTCTAACTTCTGCCTTTCCCATTTTCTCTTTTTTCGTTCCATGATTGATGTGCAGCCGGTCGTCTCTCCAACACCGAATTGAACGTCAACATTAAGGTTTCTGTTGGTGATGGCGAGCCCATTGAATCTGCCCTTCGTCGATTCAAGCGTGAAGTCAACAAGTCTGGACACTTGATGGAACTTCGTCACAGACGCACCTTTGAGAACTCTCAAGAAAAGGCGAAGCGCAAGGTCAAGGAGGGCCGAATGCGCATCAAGTTTGAACGCATGCAACGAAAGAGAATGGCCAACCGAACCTAAATTATTTAGTGCTGTTCTTGTTGTTGCTGCAGCAATATACTATAAACTACCTATAGGTTTTGCTGCGTACTTCGGTTGGGTTATTTTAATTAGAAACTAAAAAATTACTATTGAAAACTATGTGAACAGGAATGAATGAATCGCTAGGTATTTGAGTAGTAGTAGTTTTGTGATGTTGTGCCTGGACAAGGGTACCTATACACTTTTTCAATTTATACTATTGCTCTAGTGGTAGTTTCGTTGCCTGACTTGAGTAGTCGTTGGATGATCTTTTCGTCCGATTTGTTTCCCTTGACCTTGTACTGTTCCATCAACCGGACGACTGCTCGTGCCCGATCGGCCTTGTTGGAGACCTGTTTGCTTTCAGCAATCAAGTACAACATGGTACGAAAGGTTACCATTGTAGGCCTCAGACTACTACTAGTACTACTACTATTCTTCTTTTCGTGCAACGCCAACAGTTCTTGCAGCAGAATGGAGGCCCTTTCCAAGGCTTCGGGTGCGCCAAATTTGCGGGCAACCGTAACCCAAGCATTCAAGACGGTATTGTAGCAAATTATATTGGGCGCAATCTTGAATTCTTGTTGCATTTGTCGCAGCAACTCTTCCCCTTGGATGGCAGCCTCTTTGGATGTCTGGGCATGTTGGGTCCAACACTGCAACACCGATCCGAACGATACGACTGAAGGCGAAATGTTCGTGGTATCATCTTGCATCTCCCAGAGCAACGTCTCTGCTTTCTGTGGCGCTTTCGGGTCTTTGGATTGAGACCAAGCGTGAAGTACAGTATTGTAGCTCGTTTCATCTGGAATAACCCCATCCATTTCCTTGAGCCGTGCCAATAGCGCTTCCGCATCTACGCCATTGCCCCTCTTGGCGTACCCTCGTAGAATCACATTGTACGGTACAACGGAAGGAGCAATTGACATTGTTTCCAAAAGTTCCGCTAGAAGCTTCTCCGCTTCGTCTGGCCCCACGGTAGTGGTGCAGCAAAGTATCATGCTGGTCAAGCTGTACTGATCGGGAGCACACTTCCATCCTGCATTGCTCGACAAATCTTGCATCTGATGAAGAATGGCCTTGCACCGATCCAACGATTTGTCACCACTACCTCTATTGGACTTGGAAATAGCATTCAAGACGGCATTGAACGTTCTGGTATCCGGCTGGCAATCTTCGTTTCCTGCTTGAAAGTCTTCCAACTGCTCCTTCAAAAGAGCTTCTGCTTCGTCTGCCTTGTCTTCTTTCTGAGACCATCCATGGATTACAGTCGTATAGGCAATTTTATTTGGGCGGACTTCTTCCCATCCTTGTCGTTGGTACAACTTTTGCATCCGTCGAAACCAATCGGCAGCCTTGTCCGGGCGGCCGCTCTGACTCCAAGCCTTCATGACAATGCAAATGGACGCCGTATCAATCAGTACTTGGGAAGGTGTTGCCTCGGACACTTGCAATAATTTTTCAAGCAGCTCATCAGCAAAAACGGGAGTGGTCTCCAATGACGAAGCCGAGTCGAGTACAAAGGAAAAGGTTTTGTGATCGGGTTGCACAAGAGAACACCAACGATATCGATCAATCCGTTCGGCCATGACATCAGGAGACAGCATGCGATCCCGATTCTTGGCCACCCTATTTGGGCGTCTTGGATTCTTCTTTGTCTTCAGTGGCTGCTTTCCACCCAATGCCTTCATTCGACGGTTCCAAATGGCAAGTATCCGATTCAATACATCCGTCTCCAAAATGGATGCAAAGACAACTTGATCTTGTGGTAAGCTGTTGGCCAGTTTGTCCAGCAGCCGTATCGCATATTCCACTTCTTCCATGGACTTTGCATTCTTCTTCGCCGTCGCCTTTAGGGTTAGTAACTGCAAAATTTCTTCCACCTCCTCCCATATGGCTGGTTCGTTAATGTGAAAATGTTTTGCATCCAAGAGTACTTGAACTCGAGACATGACATCGTCTGAGACATCTTCTTCGTTCACCACCGAAGTAAGGAACCTACGAGCGCTAGAAGTCTCAACAATCTTGGATTCTTCAGGATATCGAGAAGGAAATGCAAATTGTCGAGGTGGATGTGCCAGTCGACCAATGGCTCGGATACTGCTTCTTCGTTCTCTTGACACGAGTCTATCATTTTGACGGTATAAGAACCCAGAATAACATCGGTGACATCGCAAAGAAGCTCGTTTCATGAAATCCCGATCGAAACTGCCAGGATCAAGATGAATGAGAGGGTGGACCAAACGGTACAGTACCGCAGTATATTCAATATAAATATGGGGACTGCTTTTCTTGATGCACGGTTCCTGCGGAATGGATTTCGTTGCAGTCGAACCAGTCGAAAGACAAAGAGATACCTACTTACTGTAGCTACCGGTATAGCTAGCTAGCTTCTAGTTAGTAGGGCGGTGCTTACACACAGACGGACGGTACTACTGTAGGATTTTGATATTCGATTGCGAGGTACCAGTACTGTAGGTTGGGATCCTACCTGTAATGTACAGCAGCAGTACCGGTACGTCCAGCGTTTCTTTGAATCATGTTCGACAGACATCACCTACTACAGGCTACTAAATGAATTGATCGAGTAACTCACTTGATAGTAGTATAGATATGAATCTAGCTAGTATTACCATAAATATCTAGCTTTTTCATGCTCAAGCTGCTGCTGGGGGTCGTGCTGGCATGCTGGTAGCCAAGAGGCTCTCGAGAAAACCGTGGAGGTGGCGCACTTGCGAAGTGTAACCTTCGTCCATCATAACCATGTAGATGGAAACCAAGTGCCCAACGCAGGCGTTCCACGAGTCCTTGTCCCCAATCTGCTGTAAATCGATCAATGCAGCATTGTTGTATACCACAAAGAGAAACAACGGATTATGCTCGACATCTTGTGAATGGTAAGCCAAGGTGTACAATTGCTTTGCTCGAAAAAGAAATCTGGGTGAATTTTCCTTGTCTTGCATTGCCACCAAGTGATGAGCAAGTGCTGCGTTGAAAATGAGAACTAGTGTAATGATGGCATAATCAGTCACGTTGTGAGGCAATGGAATGGCATGGCTGTACATAAATGTTTGGGTTCCACATATGTCGTCATTTTCCTGAATGGTAGTATGAAGCATGCACTGATCCAATGCAGTTTCTTCTTCAGATGGTGAGGAGCAGGAGGAGTTTTCTTGTCGTTGTAGTATCAGTGGGATGCTACCAAGGCACTCTAACGCAGACGAAGATGATACAATCGCACTGTAATAGTCTTTAGCTTCGATGAAAGCAATGGTTTGCTGGTTCTGATGGATAACAGTCTGAAGCGATGTCATCTTTTCTGTTGTTGCTTTGTTGAAAATGAGAGGGTGAAGTTTGAACCCTCTCGAAAATATGAGCGCTCAAATTGGATTTTTTTCTTGCGCTATTTTTAAAATACGATCAGAATTTCTGCTTCAACTTTTCGGATATAGCGGAGAGTTGGGGAAAAAATAGGACCTACTGTACCTTGAAAAAAATGACATTATATATATCTATTTAACATATATATAACTAGGAACGTTGTTATCAATGGAAAAGGGCCAACTTCACGCTGCCCATATTCTCTTGTCCAACCTACAGGAGCTATTCGACCTGAAGGAGAATCTTATTTGGCACCATGCAGATTGAGATCCTATGTCCTGCACCTCCTCTTTGAGTGACGATCGCTAGACCTGCACCTAGTACAAGCTGTTGAATCAATCGATCTACTCACTTCTTGACAGTATGATTATGAATCTAGCAGTACCACAATTGCCTATTAATATCTATCGATTTCATGATCAAGGTAGTGCCAATTGTTGTCAATCTGCAGATCGATTAATGCGGGATTGTTGTATACCACAAGAGAAACAACGGATGGTTCTCCTCGATATCTTGTGAATGGTATCCTAAAATACACAATTGCTTTGCTCTGCGAAGGCATTTGGATGACCTTTCTTTGTCCAGTCATGCCACAAATTGATGAGCAGCAAGCGCTGTGTTGAAAATTATAATGCTCGTGGTGATTCTTATGGCATGATGATCAGGCCCAGTCACGTTGGGAGGCAATGGAATGGCATGGATGTACGTTTGCATATCATAGCATAGCATAGCATATCATAGCATAGCATAGCATAGCATAGCATAGCATAGCATAGCATAGCATAGCATAGCATAGCATAGCATAGCATAGCATAGCATAGCATAGCATAGCATAGCATAGCATAGCATAGCATAGCATAGCATGGCATGGCATGGCATGGCATAGCATAGCATAGCATAGCATAGCATAGCATAGCATAGCATAGCATGCCATGCTGGCATGGCATGGCATGGCATAGCATACGGTAGTACTACGTGGTACCTTTTTTCCAATCGGAACAAAACTGATGATGAAAAGAGCTTTTCAAAATGAAAAAGCGTTTCGCACTGGTATAAATCCGAAGCAAGTGAGGATTTATCTGCCTCGTACAGCCATGGAGTAAGTGGTACGTGTAATCATACCTGGGGTGTTGTGAACTTCGCAATGAAAAAGAATGAGCGGTCTGATCGAAGCAATAATTAAAATGTGCATCAACCCTAACCCTGGGTCGCGGGTTTTGCTTCGTTCACTCGGTGCTCGTTGAGCAAGAACTATCATGCCTATTTCCAATCGGAACGAAACTGATGAAAGGCTTTTCAACATGAAAAAGCGTTTTGCATGGTATCATGAATCCGAAGCGAGCGGATGGTGTATCTGCCTCATACATGGAGTATCATATATGTGGTTGTTTTTAACCGAGCGGTCCGATCGGAGCAATATAATTTTTTTAAAAATGCGCGTCGATCGGACATGGAGTATCATATATATATGTGGTTGTTTTTTTAACCGAGCGGTCCGATCGGAGCAATATAATTTTTTTTAAAAATGCGCGTCGATCGGAAATCTGAATTGGCGCGATCTCGATGTTCAGATTTTACTGCAGGTGTTGGCTAGCGAAGGACGGACTGATCGGAACACCCAAGTACGTATGCAAAGAAGGCACAGTAGCAGGACAGTGGAAAGCTACGTACCAAAGAGGTTGTGAAAGAAGTTGGTGAATGAGCTGCAGCTCAGTTGCAGCTCATTCCTTTTGAAAAGACTGCTCTGTATTTGACAGAGTGAATTTGAAGTCTAGGAATAGATAGTTATTAAGATTAGGAAAGCACACGGCTCTTCTACCTGTAACACCCATCATCATGACCATTACGGACTTCACCGTGCGCAAAAAGAGCTACCGCTATCTCACCACCCAGGCGAGCTACCCAAACCATGATTCCAAGGCGGTCCTTGATGCCTTTGATCCCACCAAGGACCTTCAGTTGCAAGATCTAAACAGCCTTGTCGAAAAGGGTGTACAAGGAGGCGCCCCCGCCTGGTACACGGGATGGCCCAAGGAACAGGTGAACAACTTTAATTTTTGGCATCGTCCAATGATTAGGTACACAACGGTTGGCGAAAAGAAAGAGCAGCATTTCGATAAGTTGTACGTGCTGGACCATGACGTTCTGGAGAATGGGAGCGACCCACTGGCATTCTCTTGGCCCGCAAAGGCCTTCTCAAAAACCGACCCGGTTAGGGTTCCAAAGTTGGAGGCGTGGTTGATAAACGAGGAGCTCGAGCAGGATCACTCCAAGTTGTTCGTGATGGAGGATATCACTGACGAAGATCCTGAGACGGCATACGACCTACTGGTTACACACAAGCGAATGCCCATTCCCAAGGAGTTCTTGGATATCGCTTGGGACGGATCGTTGGCACACAACGTCTTGCGATTGGTGATTGACAGAATCAAGATTCTCGCCAACAGCGAGGAGCCTAAAAAAATTTCGGAATTGCATGAAAAGTTCCGGCACTTTGTGGACCAGCGAACACGGTCATCGGGAGAGATCATCAGCTTTTGAAGAACGTCGGAGAACCTGCTGTTCTCACTGCAACATCTGCCCTACGTTGGGTTTCCGGAGTAATCAATTCGGATTTCGCCGGATTGGACTCAGAGGACTCAATTGGAGATCCCCCCTACAAGACCTACGAACTGCTCACCAAGACCTTGGCAGCCGTTGAGGAGAGTAATAAGACGACAAAGACCTCTGTGGAATCGCTTTCGGAGGTAGTGGTAGCGGGCATCCATGGACAAGCATTGGACAAGGCGCCCCCAAATACAGTGGAAAAGAAGTGGCCCACAAGGCTCTCCTATCTGAAGAGAGTTGCTGGTACTACGACCTCAGCTCAGCTTCCCACCCTCTGGCACGAGCTAGCAAAGTGTAAGAAGCACAAATCGATTGGAATTGTGCAGTCCCTGCTGGATGATGAGGCCGAGAAACTGAACCTCAATCTGGAATTCATCGTTTCAGCCCGAGTAGTCAAGAGCCTGATGGAATTGGAATTTTGTTCGCGTGGCGACGTTGAAAAGGGTTTGAACGTGTTTGATAGTGTCTGTTTCCAGCACTACAAAAATGCAAACGCGATCAACGATTACAACAAGAGCGATTACTGGTTGACAGGCAAAAAGACGACCGCGTCAATGAAGGATCATCAAGCCCACAACAAGATCAAGCACGCTATCTTCCCAAAGGATCCCATGCAGTTCCGTGAGATGGTCAATGGTATGCGGGTATTCTACCATGTAGTGTTTGGGAAAACACATCCACTGACAGCCGTGTACGAAAAGTTTGCAAAGAATGTGGATTCGATCGCACAAAAAATGGGACTGTCCCAACAGGAGCGAGCACTTGAGTGGTTTCTCTTCGGAATCTATTCCCGAATTGATCGTTACTTTGAGCGTTTGGTGAGATCCGGCACGAACGCAGAAGAAAACCTACCAGACTTGGGCACCTACATGGAGGCATGCTACCATGGAGGAAGCCTACCAGAGTCAAACTTGTTTGTTGTCGCCAAGGACTCTGCAGGACTTGGTGGAACAGGAGACAAGACTGAGAGTCAGCTGAAGAGAGAGAAGGAAAGGGCCCAGAAGAAGAGCCTGGGCAAATCAGTGAAAAATCCTGACATGAACAAAGAACATCGCTACACCAGAAGAACTACTACTGAGTTAATCAAACGGACAGGCGAACAGCCTCCAAAGCACGCAAACGGAAAGGAACTGTGCCTCATTTGGCACACAAAGGGCAAATGCAAGGAGAACTGTGAACGTAAGCATTCCCATTGTAAGCTGACTGACGAGGAAGCAACTGCAATGAAGGATTATGTAAATAAGAATAAGTGAGATGGAGGCTGGGAATCATCGGATTCTTGCAGGCCATCTCAATTGGACCCACTTTTGTTATGATCTACTTTAATTGGAGGTAGTGCTAATACTATAGGTGAGCTGGTTGTGTTGGCTAATGAAACTTATTTAAAATACGGTTGGCAAGTCACTGCTTGTTTATTCCGTTCAGATGATGCTGCACCAGACATTGATAAGCTTCCGCACCCTGCCGCACCAATGCTACACCGAGTAATGAAAAATGGGGCTCCTGTGGTGGTTCATTTGGAGCCATGGAGCCAGAGCCAACTCGACAGCATGCGAGTCGCTTGGGGCTGTCACTCATCAGCAAACGAATTCAAAGAGTTTCTGATGGAGGAGTTTTTGGATTTTGGAAGGAAGGGATTTTGGATCCTACTTCCATATGACGCCATCAAGGACGAGAAAGGACTTCGCCTTTCTCCAATTGGCTGCATACCACAAGATAACAGAAGACTGCGGATGATTGTTGATTATTCGTTCTGGGGACTCAACGACGAGACAATGAAACCAGCCACTGACTTACCAGCGCCCATTGAAAAGATGGAAGTATTTGTGGACGATTTTGTTGGAATGGGCCAAGACCATCCAAGCAATCCCTTGACAAATCAACAACAGCCACAACATTGACAAGGTCTTCTGACCGAATCGACCCACAGACAATCAGTGGCAAAAAGAGCCACAGTCACAATCGAAAATGGCCAAGGGAGATGCCTCTTGGCACACAATCAAAGAAGCCTTGGGTTGGAACTGGGGAGTGACAACAAAGACATTGCAATTGAAAGAGAAACGAGTGAGCAAGGCCCTGTCACTCGGGGGCGAGGTCTTGGATTGCAAACGCGTCTCCCTGAAACAATGGCAGCAGGTGTTGGGAGTCTTACGAAGCCTGCAGCCAGGAATGTCGGGCAGTGAGGGACATTTCTCCCTGCTGCAGGATGCACTGATTTGACAGGTGGATTGTAGGGTGGGGTTGACTCCTGAGGTCCGTGAGCAAATGGAAATCTTCCAAGATTTTCTTCATAGCCATGCAAAGCGCCCCACAATACTTGAAGAACTGGTGCTAGGCGTTGACTTACACGTTGGCGCTTGCGATGCGGCAAAGTTGGGAAGGGGAGGAGTGTGGTTCACAGACGATGGAGAGGCCATTGTCTGGCGCGAACCATATCAAGAAGTAGTGAAAAAAGAGGTTATTTCAGATCACAATCTGACAGGAAAACTTACCAACTCAGACTCGGAGCTGGAAGGCACCGTTCTCCATCATTTTGTCCTTGGAAAGACCGCCCAGGTGGAAGGCGAAACCACTTATACTGGCTGTGATAACACACCTGCAGTGTTGTGGCGCACAAAAGGATTGTCCACCTCTCAAAAGGCAAGAGCAAGAATATTACGGTTAGCGGCAGGATTACAGCGGGAACAAAGAGCACATCATCGTATTGGGCACTTATCTGGAACAAACAATCAAATGGCCGACGATGCTATCCAACTGTGGCACCTGTCTGACGCCAAATTTATCTCATATTTTAATTGCACGTATCCACAGATCAACTCTTGGCAACTGTACAGGATGCCAAACGCCGTGAACTCCTTGATGACATCCGTGCTGTTGAACTCGGAATCAAACACGGAGTCTGTCCTTCAAGAGTTGCAAAGGCACACTCTGTCTGGACCACAGCCTCACCCTCGACCCAGGATTGTCAACGGCTGAAGATGCCATGCGCCAGGTGAGCCAGGCCTTTTCCTCATTGGGACTGCTTGATCCGAGGATGAACCGATATGCACCAGGAACAATGGACTTTTGTTGGACACGGCTGCTGAAAAGTTAGAAGAAAGAGGATCCAGCAGCACAACAAGTACGCCCATTGCCAAAGTCCTTGTTAAGGCAAGCATCAAAGCTTGCCAAAAAACCCACAAGTACACATGCCGCAAAGGCAATGAATCGATTGATATAAAATTCAGTTTCAAAAATCAAAAAACAAAAATCACGCATTTTGCAAAAACAAAAAGTCATCTTCTCTAGTACTTTATCTACGCAATGACCGTGTAGCGACACCGGTTTTGCTGTTAAAAGTGCTTGATTGAGGACTTCAACCATGGGCTCTGATGATGATCAATCAGATGAGATGGCTCTGAACTTGACAAAGGCTGCAACTGATCAAGGTCAGGGAGGCCTGGAGGAAAAAAACCGTTCAAATTCGACCACCCAACTGACGGTTGACTTGGTAAAGGATGATCCAAGCGATGACCCCATGGAACTGTTTCAAACCGTTTGGCATGCTTTGATACCTCCCAAGAGCGGACACAAGCAACCCCCTCCTTCCAAAATCGCCAAGGATGGCGCACTGAAAGGACAGCCGCTTGTTGCCTCTCCCAAGAAACTCAATCCAAGCAATGACCCCATGGAATTTGTTGAAATTGTTTGGCATGCTTTGACAACGGCGTTTCCACCAACCATTGATCATTCTTTGGACAGATTCTCAATTGGATGGTCCACAAAACAAGGTTGGAACCAGAACAAAATTTTCAACTATTTACACACAACAACAATCCTATTTTATGATGTCTGCGCTGCCCATCAGAAGTGGCCAACAACCATGGGCTCGAATGAAGCAAAATCACAAGAGATGGCTTTGAAATCGACAAGGACTGCACCTGAGCACGCTCAGGAAGGTCTGGAGGCAACAACCCGCTCGAATTCTACCACCCTATTGACGGTTGACCTGGTGAAGGACAACCCCAATGCTTGCATTTCCTCCATGTTGTACAGCATATTTGTCTTGTTTCTTTCTCTGGAAAAGATACAGCAGACCGATTTTCTTGGTCTACCTTTCCAAATCCCCACCAACAGAGTGGGAGCGCCAATCTGCCCATTGACAGATGACTTGAGAGAATTGCATCCAATTCTTTCCTTGGAAAAGGTACCCACAAAATTCCTCTGTATCCCAGGAGATATTCTTGCATCTTGTTTGTACTTCCCCACCAACAGTGGGAGCGCCAATCTGTCCCCTGACATGATTGACTAGAGCAATTTTTTCTTGAAAAATGCCTCAACGTGGTTCAAACTTATCTGACAAAAAGCAGCATAGTTCCTGGCCTCTACAGACGTATTACACCGGCAGTTGGATACTCTAGAAGTAGCATAAAAACGAATTAATGATTCAGTTATATATACAATGAATCGATTGATGTGGTTGGGGTTTTTCTTTTTGTTATACGTCCAGGCAAATTTCTGTTAAAAGCGGGAACGCAATTTCCCTTCAAGTTGAAGCAAGTGTTTTTTCGTATCAACGACGCAGAATTTTGTGGCGACGTCATTCCCCTTTGCCTCCTGGACACGTCACTTGTGACATTCGCCAGTCTGATATTTGACAAGCAAAAAAATGTGGTGCCAGACAAAAAGATCGCTTTGGGCACGTCATTTAATGGTGACAACCCAACAGCTACGCTGATTGCCATTGTCTGACACCTTCGACAGAGTCAACACACAACTGGCAACACCCCCCTGTTTACCTACTACTCCGAGTTTGGAGTCCCTTGCAATGTCACAGATCGAATGATGACAAAATATTTGAGAGCAGTTGCTCTCTCCATGGAGGTTGATTGAACTCCCACAATTGGTGCTCTTCGATGCACCGGGGCTACCGCGCTTCTGGAAGGCAATATCCCGACTAGTCTCATCAAACTACTCGGTCGGTGGCGCTCCGATGAAGTTTTTCGGTATCTTCACACCCGCAGTCCGAGCCGTTGATGCAACGCTTGACCAATGTTCTTGTTGATCACGTCGGGCACTAGCGTTTTTTCCCACCCACCACACCCTGGACGGCAACAAGATGGCCGAATGGAGGAAACCAGCGCTTGCGCTGGAGGATTGGGGGCCAACAGCTAGTAATTGGGGGCCAACAGCTAGTAACAACTGTCAGCCCAAAAACATCATTGAAACTCTTTTAGACCCAATTGGAGTCTGCGGAATCCAAAGCGATTGAGAAGGATGAGCAATTGCTGTAGGTCCCATATGTTTGGTGCTGCGTTGTGGCTTTTGCTTCCTCCATTTTGAATCACTCTTCCTCCGAGCCATTAGCTACTAGTATAGGATAGTATAGGATAGTTGTATGCTGCCAGAAGGAGAAACAACGGATCCTGCTCGACAGCTTGTGAATGGTACGCCAAGGTCGATAGCCAACTGGCGCCTTCCGTTCTGGTTCTTCTGCTTGGTGTTTCTTTGGAGTGACTCTGGTGGGTTGTGGTGTGAAGCTGGTCCTTTTCGTTTCAGTTGCGCGTGAGGCAGGCGACTCAAAGGACCAGTCTCAGATTGACTTGCTTGTCTGCCAAACCTTGACACGAAGATCGTGTCAAGGCCCAACAGGGTGTGGTGGGATGGGAAAGAAAGAAAGAACTCTATCTTTCTGTCAGTTCTTCCGTCTACGTTAGAGTACAATTGTTTTGCTCGATGAAGCTTCTTGCATTTTCCATTATCATGTCCCTCCCCCCTTCATATTTGGGCCTCAGAGAGGTCATGACCAGGCCCTGCTTGTCTGAAGGAAGCAAACGATCCTTGTCGTGAGAAAGAAGATCTTATTGCTGGATACCGTACTTTTTGCCTACGAAGCATGTCTTGTCCAAAGTTTGAAATAGATTTTCAATCAAACTAGTCTCTCTTAGCATTCAAGGTGAGTAAATGGGACCTATAATAGCTTCGTGAGCTAGCAATGCATGGAAAGAAGACGAAGTGCGAGATGGCCAATGGCTCTCTAAGATTGAGTCGTTTTCTTGGCTTCGGTCATCATCCTTTATTTTGGTAAAAAAATAACTGCAGGAGTTCCACAATTTATTGCGCTCGGACTAGTCGACAGTATTTCAATCGTCCAACGTATAGACCGCAGGCACACTGTTCGATTTCTTTGATAGATTATCGTATCGTTCATTCAGTCTCTTCATCTGCCATAAAGTGACATATTGGTATTGATGATGATCCAACGTATCGATCGCAAAAACAAAAAATTAGAGTCTCTATACCGTATCTATATCCACAAAAACGTCTGTTCCAGATGAAGCCTCCATTTCCGTGTATCTTTTTGTCAGTGGTACTGAGAGCCAGATTTATTCTGACACAAACGCACCACCCTGGAAATGTGGGAGCATCCGCAAGGGCACTGAAAACCATGGGCTTTGATGAGCTTGTCCTAGTGAAACCCCACGATCCCAAAGTTTTGATTCGGAAAAAATGTAAGGACAGGGCCAGTGGCGCAGCTGATGTCTTGGATGGAGCCAAAGTATATGAAGCCTTGCATGAAGCATTAGAAGGTACGGATGTTTGGTGTGGCACTGGAATGCCCGTGGATATGGCACAATCGCGGGACTTGAACGAACGACAATTTTGCGAACCTCGGCCCTTTTTGGAAGACTTGGCGCGTGCCACTGAAGCCAAATCGATTTCCTTTGTTTTTGGGAATGAACGAGCGGGAATGTCAAAAGAAGATATTGAGCTATGCCATGTCATGCTTGGTATTCCGACGAATCCTACCTTTGGATCTCTCAATCTTGCTTCAGCAGTTCAACTCATTGCTTATGATTGCCGGCAGGCACTGGGAGGGTTCAATTCGGGCAACGACGAGGACGATGGTTAAACGCATGTCATCAAGGCCAGTGTAGAATGCATACAGCATCTCTAGATAAGAATGAATGAATGACTCAGCCGGTGGCCGGGATCTGGTAAACGAGCGACAGCTTTCTTTTTATTGTACAATCGAAGAAGCTCCTTTTTCCTCGAAAGTGACGCCTCTACCCAACCATTCCCGTTAGGATCAAGGTTTATAGCCTAGAACCTAGAACTAAAACAATGGCTGAGTCTGAGTGAATCAGGATATCACAGATTGCATATTGTATGTAGCGTGTGCTCTGAACTCGCACTTGAAGAAGAGTTCCTAGCATGGATATTAACTACAACATTTACTGTTCTTACATATGCCTAATATCGCGCTCTTCTACTTGAAGTATAATACAAAGGCGCGTACTTTCAATTTGTGGGTTTCGTGGCAACAAATACAATCGAATTTTGCAGGGCACCGTTCCATTTCGACTGGCCACACCGCTCAGGTATGGCATAAATGTTGTTTCTACATTGCTGTCGCAACAATCATACCTCGGAGGACGATAGTGAATCGACCAAAAGTAACAAGCATCACAAGACTGCTGTTTACTTGATGGAAGCAAGGATGAAAGTTCCGTAGTCCTACTAGTGCCCATATTTCAAAATTCATCAGCATGTGCAGACTGGTTGGTGCTTACTTGATGATACAAGTGTCCATATGATCTGCAAGCTTCTTGTTGATCTTTGCTGCTTTTGCATATACAGTCTCATAAAAGGGATGTCCACTGCCCTTGAAGCGTTTGTGGAAATATAGACCTGGAACATCTGATACAAAGCCGGCTTTGACCACTCGACCGACCTCTGCCATCTTGCCAAATCTAGGATCATCGACATCCAACCAAAGCGGATCCACCATATTCCAATCCATCAGGGTATGGTCCAACGAGTGAAGCACGGTTCCAACAAACATGGCCTCTCCATCAGTTCCAGGAAACATGTGTTTGCACTTTGCAAATTCCGACATGAAGATTGCCCGAACACTGACAACAAAATGGATAAAGTCCGAGTATTTGACGAGTTCCTTGATTTGCGAATGTTGCCAGACGTTGTCTTCAATTCCATGATTCACGCATTGCACAAAGGGCTTGTCTTCGTTGGCCCAGCCTTCCGAAACCATACCCTCATCTGCCCAAATCCTCATGAATCTATTAAAGCAAGTGTATCCAAAGAAATTGTACATGACAGTGACAACGCTATTCCGGCGAAAGAATGGATTGACATCTTCCAGTGTTTCGTCCAGATTGAGACCCCAGTTGGCTGTCGAATGGAGTTTCACATGTTGTGCCGCAATGGTATTGAACCAGAGCAGAATCATTGTTTCCGACGCATTCAGAACGAGATCGTCCAGTTTTCCATCGACAAATTTCTTGGTATCTAAATCAATTTCGACTGCAAACAAATCAGCGACTCGGTATTCGCAATTCTCATCCACGTAGGGGAAATTCGCAAAGTAGAAACCAGCTACATTGCCTCGCTCACTATCCGGATTGGTTCTAGCATAATAATGAATGGCTTGGGTCTGCTCTAGCAAAAGTGTCGCACACATACTCTCGTAATCGCAAGGAGCGGGTGTGATATAACCATTGCTGGACAGGTAGTCCCGCAGCCTCAACATGAGGGTGCCTATATAGTATAGTATAATATAGTAGGACGATTTCAGATGAGTTGGGTGTGTGTATGTGTTATAGACACCATAATTCCGAGAGTTGGATACAAAAACAACAATGTTGCCACCAGATAAGTACTTACCTTTCTTCCAAAGATAGTAGGAGCATGGGCCGATGAATGTATACGCCCATAGAAAGTCAAAGAATCCAACGTAGACGTGGTCCATGTCAAGTTCTTTTGCTGGCTCTACCATGTTCAATGACCCCATCACGGAACCTCGCAAGGATGCCAATTTTCCAGGAGTCAACGAAATGGTCCTCATGGCTCGTTCACGAAAGAGACTGTTTCTCCTCTTTGTTTCTTTCAGGCCAAACATGCTGTTTATTAATTCACAGTCGTCAAAGAGTTCATGAAATTTGGAGTTTTCGACGATTCGCTGCTTGTTTTCTGACATTCTGTGTGCGATGCGGTAATGAGCAAGAGTAGCAATGATAGCAATTGTATCATCACCTTAAATCACAAAAGGACGCACCTCTTCATGTCAGGGAGTTTCAGATTGCTGGGAGATGACTTGTTCCGCCGCGTGACGCGTTGTCCGGACATGTGTTTCTCCCATTCTTTGAAGCACCATCCTACGTACAAAATATATAAAAAGACGATGCCGAAGGTGTTCAAAAATAGCCGAGCAACAGCATTGTACACGCTCCAGTAGGAAATCTCTTCAAACCAAGGATGTTCAAACAATCCGCTCCAATCGTACATCATTGTGGTTAGGTTCGTCATGTTATAGTCCTACTATGGTAATGGTCACACGAAAAATAATTGTTTCACCTTATACTTGTACTGTATGATGCGCGATATGTGCTGGATGACGGGTCAAAATTTCCGGTTTCGAGAGGCCTCTTCGCTATTATTTCTCGGATTCTTTTAGTAGCTGGTGGCAGAATGAATCCGCGTTAGCAGGGGGAAATAAGAGGGGAAAGCGAGACTTTAACGGATTGTATCGAACAGCATGCGGTGGCATAATGTTGGAGAGAAACCAGAATCCTTAACATAACGGTAACCTGAACAAAGTAGTAGCATTTCGCCTGCATATTTCAATCCAGATACTATACTGGTACTGTACAATTACCGATAGGATTGGAGAGTGATGAACAAAAACAAAATCCCCTTCTTATGTGTCACTATTTCTGTTCGTCCTAATCCTCACGGGGTGAATGAATCAATCGACTCGTTCGATCATTTTTCAACAAAGGCTACATACTCAATACTGTAAATGATGACTCCTCATATATTATAATCTGATGCTGTACTGTACCGGTAGGCCATTGTTGTCGTTTTTTAAAAATGCGATGACAAATTACAGTGACAGTCGTCGACGTCAGTGTATTGACTCATAGTAGTCGACTGAGCTAACAAGTAACTGGCTCTCTCTCTACCAGTATACTCCACTTCCTGGTAGTGCATCCTCTCTGGGGACTGCCAAGACGGAAGAAAGACTGATCCAAAATCGAGGTTTAGGCACGTTGGATAGATGAGAATGACCTGTTATCATGGGCGGGTCATTACTCAACACAGGTTTCTTGTGGGTATGCGGGTATGGCTCTTGTGGGACTTCAGTCGACTCAATCGACCAATGTCAGTATCGAATTCTATTCCAACACGTCATTTTCCACCAAACCGGAACGACGACGAGACGACGATGATGGGTGATGTCGCATACCGGTACCGTCACGGGTAGAATCATCAATCACAATCATCCCTAGTATCCCATTGCCGGATATGCACAGCAGACCATCTACCATGACTGTCATCTTTGCCGCTGTACAGCTATCCACACGAGTAGCCAGTCGACAATCCAAAGCCACCAATTTGAGTCATCAATTATTCCGTCGAGGCTCCTCTCTACGATCGTTGTCCACATCATCATCATCATCGTCATCTTCATTGAATGACGACAACAAATATTTTACGATTGGCCTTACAGGTGCCAGCGGATTGATTGGTACAGCATTACGAGATGAAATCAGCAACATAGGTTCCATTAATGGCAAGCCAGTTCGGTGCGTTGCTTTGAAACGAGGTTCCAAGGCTGACAAAAAGCCATTAAACGATGATTCAGCAAATACCAGTTTGGTGTGGAATCCGAATGGAAAGACCCCCGAAGAAGTTATTGATCCTTCTGCACTCCAAGACATGGATGCTATCGTACATCTTTCGGGAGAGAATATTTCCACAGGACTGTCGGGTCCACTCGCGCCACTTGGAATTCGACCTTGGACGGATGCCAAAAAGAAGGAAATCATTGATTCTCGAGTCATTACTACTCGGGCTCTTGCCCAGGCAATTGCTAAAAGCGAAAAGAAACCCTCGTTTCTAGTAGCTGGAGGTGTGGGGGCATATGGTCCTGATTTTTTCGAGGGGGCTAAGGCAGCTGACGAATCGGCCGATATTTCCAAATCCACTGGCTTTCTGGCGGAAATCAGCCGCAAGTGGGAAGGAGCCGCACAAGAGGCAGATGACAGTGGAGCCCGAGTTGTGAAAATGCGCAATGGTGTCGTCTTGTCGACGAAAGGTGGTGCCATGGCCAAATTATATCCCATTTTCTTGTTGGGTGGAGGAGGCATTGTGGGATCCGGAAAGCAGTACTTTCCCTTTATCTCCGCCAGAGACATGGCACGGGCCATGATCCATGTCCTACAAACTCCCAGTCTAAATGGCCCAGTGAACATGTGTGCTCCTAGTGGATGCACCAATGCGGAATTCACGAGTGCTATTGGCAAAGTGTTACGTCGGCCAACCATTTTGCCGTTTCCAAGCTTTGCGGTGTCACTCCTCTTTGGAGAAATGGGTGAAGAAATTCTACTTGGCGGAACGAGAGCACAACCACAAAAGCTGCTGGATTCTGGTTTTGAGTTTGCTCATCCTACTGTGGAAGAAGCCGTTCAGAGTGCTGTGGATGAAGATATTTAATACCTACAGGAAATAGAATAATAGTTATGGTTAGCGATGAATGATATAGTTGGTTCCTGAGATTTTCAATTGGGTATGCTTGCAATCATAAGCAATATATCTGAGATTGCTGATAGCTGATAGAAACCACTGTAGAAAGAGGTCACATCTTGGTGTAGCTACTGCATACTACTACTACTATCAAAGAATTATCATTCTTCGGTTCCTCAACAAGCTCTAAAAGCACCGACCACCAAAATAAATTTCGATGTCTCAAGCGCTTTCGGTGCAAGAGCCATTGGAACATGATGTTGCGATGGCCGAATCGTTTCGGTGGTGCCGCAGCTACTCAAAGTGGTAGTCGAAGCAATTAGTAATACAAGCATAGTAAAATTATTCTGTTCGAGTGAACAGCTTGTCGCTCACTTTTTATCAGTCCTTCCTGCATGAGGCAGGTATTCTGCCGTACCGGTATCGTACTGTAGTGAATGGTAAATTATTTGAGGCAACCGTTATCATACAATATGAAGTAATACCAATGATACGAGTACGGTGGGTATAAGTGTACCTACCGTAGCATGATGGTCATTCCCTTCTCTGGAGCTTGATGGAGCACGAACAATAGGTCCTAAAATTCCTTACTGCGACGGGATCGGGTACGATACTGTGTTTTTTAAAATTAATCATATGTTCTATATGCTGTGAGCCTCAAAAATAGTGCAATAGACATTATTCTAATAAAATGTGCAAAAGGTCACAGGGAAGCAACCCTGCTAGTATTTTTAGGCTCGTCTGAAGTGGAATATCAATATTTGCAACGAGACCGCATGATCGGACCACATCACTGATGGCGAACTGTGAATTATTATTATAAAAGCGCCAAAAAGAGTTTCAGAAAAGCAAAACAAATTCATCATCCACATATTATATTTCTCATCAGAAAGCAGCCTACCAAAGAACGAACGATGTCGACAAGCCTTGATAGAACTAAAACGTCGAGATCGTTCCCTTCTTCCTCTCTCGAGTTCTCAGCCTCTCTCGAGTTCTCAGAAGCCCTTCACTCTCTTCAAGAATCCGCTCCAGAGGTTGCCAAATGTTTGTACGAGCAAAATCTGTCAAAGTGCCGATTTGTGGCAGAGGAGAACGTTGCGGAGATTCCGCGGTTCCTCAATACGGAAATTGCTGAAGGTTTGATACTAGGCAAGGGCGGATTTGGTACGGTTTATAGCGCCAAAGGCTTCTCAATGGTGATTGAGGAAGGAAAGGAAGGTCTCGATGACAGCGTTCACGACGGAGAGATTGAATCCAGGAATTTCATCGCTAGGCATTGTCATCGAAGCAACGGAGATGCTAGATACGCCATCAAAAGACTAGCCAAGACAACAGTCGAAGATGTTCACAAATTCCTTCATGGAATGACAGACCTGGCCAACGAGACACTCTTCTTAAGTTCGATTCAACACCCACACATTATCAAGCTACGAGGGATTTCGATGGAGGAGATGTTCAGTGAGAACTATTTTCTCATACTTGATCGTTTGTATGATACGCTAGCAGCTCGCTTACTAAAATGGAAGAATAAACAACGGAAGCATCGTGGCTTGGTTCGCATTCTCCGAAGACAAGACAAGTCCAAGAGGAAGAAACTGTTGGCCACGAGACTGACATTTGCTTCAGACCTAGCGTCGGCTCTGGCCTATCTTCATAGTCATCGCATCATCCACAGAGACGTCAAACCAACGAATATTGGCTTTGATGTGAGGGGCGACATCAAAATATTCGACTTCGGATTGGCGAAGGAAATCCCGTTGGACCTCAAGGGATCAGACACTGCCTTCAAACTCACAGCTATGGCAGGCACGCCGCGATACATGAGTCCCGAAGTTGCTCTGGGACAAAAGTACAACGAAACCTGCGATATCTATAGTTTTGGATTATTGCTCTGGGAAATTATCACGTTGCGACTGCCTTATTCCAGCCAGAAGAGCATAGAAGATTTCCGAGAGAATGTTTGGAGCACAAATGGGACGATAGTGCGCCCTGAAGTACCAAAGAAACTATCCTCAAACTTGAAACAGCTTCTGCATCGTACGTGGGACCGAGACTTGACAAATCGTCCGAGCGCCAGAAATTTCGAGAATGCCCTTCGGTTCGAAGCTTCTATGCTCCGAGATGGTGCTTTGAATGATGTTGAAGAGAGTCTAGTGCCGCAGAGAAGACGGTCGACGTTCTTGTTCATACCAGGAAAGGGCGAGGCTGTCAATCGATCTTCCCCAACAATCATGGCATTGTCTGAGATCGCCGAGTCAGATACTGACATCTTCCATGCTGTTGGAGCCTCGCACAATAGTGTCTTTACTTTATCTGATGAATCCGAAAATACGAGTACACCTTCGATGAAAGTGTTCAACACATCCATTCGATCCGAAAGTGCTGTAATGTCGTCATCGCCGCTTAAACATGCTCAGAGCGACGGTGCAATTCCGAAGCGAATAGACCATGCCGTCGGAGCCTCTCACAATAATGTATTCACTTTGTCTGAACGTTCCGATGGTACACCCAAGACGAATATGTTCGATACATCCGTTCGTTCCGACGGTACGCCTAAGACCAATATGTTTGACGCATCCATTCGATCCGAAAGTGCAGGGCTTTTGTCACCTCACCTGAAAGAATCGAAGGATGGTAATATTATCTTGAATGGATTTGCTGTTACAAGGGATTGTCAAATAAGCTTGTCTGTCGGTTTGGAGGACCCTGGTTATTCTCCGCCAGCTCTTAAAAGTCTCAGTCGAGCGGAATCAGGACAATCGATGGCAAGTATTGACTCGCTAGATTTTTGATTCATTGCAAATCTCGCCTTTGTGCGCGGCCACCAGCCCAATTGGCATCCTGCACTTGTTTGCATACAACGACGACACGGCTGGGTGTGCAAAAAACTTACGCGTCATCTGGTCTTGTTTGCATTTGGAAGATGATGCATAATCAAATAGTGAAAAATGGTAAACTCTTTATAAAACAGGCAGTTTTCTTGCAAGTGACGCCTGTTGTATTAACAGAAGAAGCCTTTATTCAACAGATGATATGTATCCATTTGCCACCAACAAGCTATGGTACATTGCAAGAGGCAATACTAGTCTAGAAGGTTTCACATAGTGACGTTCCTATCGAATCATTCAGTCTCTCAAGCCATCAAAATACCGACTGATTGTATTTCAACGTCTGAAGTGTTTTCCGTGTCTGGGACTTAAATAGAGAATGAATCTCGGTTAGTCGACATTACTTTCGGTACATGCTACGTGTACTTTGCGTTCTGTTGTGAGCTCTGTAGTTTACGAGTAGCCTCCAAGAATATTGCGACACTCTTCCTCGCTTCAAACTTCCGTGAAGCTATGCTTGAAGTACGTAGTATATTCGCAACTGTAAATAAACCTTACCTTCAAATATCAAATTCGATTTTTCTATCGGTGTGCTGACCGTTACATCTTCTTTGTTTCGTATCAGAATCACCAAGAATGTGAATTCACCTTTTGGGTTCTGTTTCCAGCTAGAGAACCAAGGATTGGTGTCATTCCATCGTCATCGTCGTTTTGTCCTTCGCTATAATGAGGAGATCCGCCCAGAAGTCAAAATTTTGAACAGCCCATTTGGGCAATTCTACGAGCCCTCGCACGTGGAAACCGACATCACTAGTGTGTTCCAGACCTCCTGGTGATCTGCAAAGTGTCTCGTCTTCTTTTCCAGAGCAGCTTTGCTTACTATGCTTCGTGTCTGCACGTGAGACTGAGATTGGTTGGGGTTATTGGGATTTGGGATTTGGTGTTGGGGTGTCAGGAATTCGCAGTTGACCACCATACACACAAGAGCATATAGACACAGACAAACAAATATAAAAAACTTTGTCGTTTTTCCGCCGACTGACGAGCGAGCAAGACGCCGGCGTCTGTGCTTTACTGGTGACAGTCGTCGATACTACTAGAAGAGAGCTAGAAGTAAGGAAGGCGTATCCAACTAGTAACTTTACGAGGTAACTAGTTTCACCAAACCAGGAGTATTTTATATTTTAATACTGTGAGTACCGCTACTCTTGTTAGTACTGTACCTACTGTACCTTTACCTACTCACGATGAAGCACCAACATATCGGTTTCTCATTCAGTAGATTTCTACTACCTCCCCGATTGATGTTCTGTGCAGCTGGTTGAAGCAACACATCAGTACCAGGTACAAGTACCACGTGTATCAGCAGTACCTGGTACCCCTACACGTACGCGTATGCCGTGTATCAGCACACACGACTAACAAGACAACATTAAATACCGCGTTAAGGTCGTGGTAACAATCCTTTTACTAAGGTAATGTACGCATCTTCTGTGGGATACGTCACTCTGATCAGAGACTCTTCCAGAGAAAAAGAAAGTTGTGGCGGTCGCGACATCGACTCCAGACAGCCGCTGGACAACAGGTGCAGCACGACTCAGTATTCGTCACACAACAGGTCCACGCTGTATATA